CAGTCTGACAATGTGTGTGTGTGTCTCTGCCTATAAGACCTGCATGTACACACATTAATATGTGTCTACTTCACCACCTATCTCCTCCCACAAACTTTGAGCTACAGAAACCATTCAGGGCTCCAAAAATTCAGCTCATTGAGGACATTATGGTGTGTATTTAGGATTTTGTTAATTAATTGTGTCAATATGTTCAGTAGAGTCTAGCAGTTCTCAAAAGTTCCTTATCATGAATATAGCCGTTACAGAGGATGGGCATTAGGGCATTATCTGGGATTTTGTTTCTCAGCTTCAAGCCTCCTCTCTCCTGCTGTAGTGATGCATCTTCCGTCCCCATGGCAATTAATTAGTACAACTGGAGACACACAGCTGACTGGAAAGCTGCTTATAATGGTCATTTGAGATACATGAAGCCAGGCTCAGCACACAGAGCATGAAGGGTAACATTTAAAACCCTTCACTAGAGCACCTGACAAACTTTGACACCGATCTCCTCCCACAAACTGTGAACTCCAGAAACCATTCAGTTTATTGAAGACATTATGGGGTGTATTCAGGATTTTTATTCATTTAAATTTTCCCCACTTTCAATGTTAACCCATTATTGATACATTATTCAATTATTCAGACAAATTTAAACTCATTGAAACTGATTCAAACCTTTCTAATACTTCAAACTTGTCTAATACTTGAGGATTTTTAATTATTCAAATTGTTTCCATTTTAAAATCATTCTTATTATTTTGCATTTTTTTAAATTCTTAAAACAGATTCCCAGATTTACTACTACAATTACTACTTATATCACTTTAACTTGTATCTTCACTTCTACCTCTACTACTCTCGCTTCTCTAAATATTGTTTTACTGCGTCTCTTACTTTTATTGCCAGTTACTTCTACCACGAACCCTACTGCTTTGACTTCCACTTCTTCTATTATAAAACTACTACTACTTTTTACATTACTACTAATATTACTACTATAACTACCTATTGTCACACTACTTCTAGTACTACAACTTAAACTTATGCCATTTCTCACTTTTCTGTGTTTTAAGGTAATTTTCTTCCTTATCCAATTTTTTTGCAATTTCAGACAGTTTTTCTCGCCTCTTTCAGCATGAATGCATTTTAATTTATAAAGCACGTTCATACTGTTTGGACTTCAACAGTTTTCACTTTCATCCAACTTCCACTTCTTCTTCACCCCTTTAACCAATTTTACATTTAAACCTTCTTCCATTTTTTATTAGCAGTTTAGCATGGCTTTTTCAGCTTTCAGCACTCAGCATTTCCACGCATTTTCTGCAAGGAAATGCAATTTTTCTATTTTATAAATGAAATAAATGTAATATTTATTAAAAATTCCTGTTACTTGTGATTAAAAAGCTGTTTATATATTTTTCAAACCTGGATTACAGTGTGTGTGTGTTGTCACAATGCCTCAGCCTCCTCATCTGAATGTGACATAAGAAAAGAGCACCACCATGTTAAGATGGTGAAAGGCTCACTGTGACATAATGACACAGCTGAGCGCTACACTCTCAGGGGTAAACCTCAAATCTCTGGACCTTGTTTCAAGTATTTACTTTGGTGTCTTTGTGGTAGAGCCTCAGATTTATAGAGCTCTTCATTAGTTCACCTGACATGTTTCTGAATTTTGACTCCGGACTGAATGATGATCTAGCTGTACTTCAACTTTGACCTGTTCAGACCTGTAAATGCTACTTTTAGTGTATGTTTGGACTTTTTCGAAGTCAAGGTTTTCCTCCTTAGACTGGGTGTTTTGTTTTTGTTCCGTCTGTTCACCTTCCTCAAGGTCTGCGTGGTGCCGTCCATCCCCCATCACATCTGCTGCTCCCTGGGATTACAGCACAAATGTCTGTCTGAAACTCTCAGTGGTGAGGGGGAAGATTACAAGTGCACTGCACCCTCCAAGAGAGATTAACCAATCAGTGAGTGCAGACACAGGGATTAACCAATCACACCAGGAGAGGGAGGGCAGAGGAAGTAAATTGAGCACAGAGTGGGATTACGCTGTTGAGTGCTGAAAAATACTTTGAAATTTCTCTGGTTTACTTCTCTCTGTGCTCTCAATGTGTAAGCTAAATGTCATGACAGTTTACATGTTTGAATACAGGAGAATGGTATCCCTAACAAAGCAACCAAAGCTGTACAACTGTTTTATTTTCACATCAGAAATCGGGTCTCTTGCACAAATTTAGCTGACACGAAGCATTAATCATGTGACTTCTACAAACGTACTCTAATCTCAAACAATGCCAAAAGAAACATCTGGTAAGACATGTTCATGCTTTTACAGCTCTGCAATAAAAAATTAATAAATAAATACTTTGCATTGAAATGACAAAATATGGAGTGAAAATCAACATGAAGTTGGTCAGAAAGTACAAAACATCTTGGTAGTTGATAAACAGAGAGACAGTCCTCTCCTTGTTTTATTGTCAACAAGACAGTGATATCGCACATATTATGTTCCCATGTTTGATGACATGGTGAAGTTTGCATGGCAGCAATGAGGTCATGTTGGGATTATCGGGTAGTCAGAGGAGTTGGAGAGATTGATATGGGGGTGGGGGTGGAATAAGGGGAACCTTAGTGCTGATGGATCGAGAAATTTAATTTTAAAAAAAGCTGGAGGAAAAAGATTTTATTCAACAGTATTTTTGTCAGACTCACCATGACTCTGTTCCCATCATGCTTTTTGTAGGGTTTGTTGTGGCATGCAGTCGTTACCTATTGTCTCTTTAGTTAATAAGAGTAATGGGGTCAAATATCCTGACTGATGATACCTGGATGCAGGGCTGTAATCATGCTGTCATGCAGTCTCACTGTTTACATGTGGTCACAGTGTCTTTGTTTACAGCATATTTCACACCAGCAATGCCACAATGACAGGTTTTTTCTCATATTTATCTTTGCCACAGTTATGACGTTCATAACATTTATAGATAACTTAAAATGAAAAAACACAATCAGACAAACTAAAACTCCTGAAAATGGATTGAGATACTGAAACAAACTCCTTTGTTTGTTCTTCTTTCATTGAGACAGAGCAAATCTCGATGAGATCATCCAATTTTGGCAGACATCTGGAGGTGTTTTCATTACTGCTGTGCTGGTGCAGAACTGACAGCTTGGAAATGGAGATATAAACCCTTTCTTCCGTCAGTCATCATGGGAAACGTCAACTCTCTGCCCAACAAAAGCGATGAGCTGGAGATATTGGTGAAGACTGAGAAAGCATACCGTGAGTGCAGTTTCCTGTGTTTTACTGAAACCTGGTTGAATCAAAACAACTCCAACTCCAGTGTGGATCTACCTGGCTTCACTCTCATAAGGTCAGACAGAGATGCTCAAGCTAGTGGCCAGAAGAAAGGGGGAGGTCTGGTTTTATTTGTCAACCAGAGATGGTGTAACCCTTCACACATAACTGTCAAGGAGAAGTTGTGTTGTCCAGATATTGAACTGTTGGCAGTTGCTCTTCGGCCACATTTATCTCCAAAGGGAAATTCATTTGCCTGAAACATTAATTAAACAGCAGATAGACCAAATTATGATCTGACTTGCCCAGTGGTGGTAAGGCAGTGGCTCTTTAGGCTTCTTTGACGTTGGCATACAGCAGATCCAGGGATTTGTTTTCTCTGGTAGGACAGTTCACAAACTGTGTGAATCCAGTCAGGTGAGTGGAGAGAGTGACATAGTTGAAGTCTCCTGATATTATTATTAGTGCCTCTGGGTGTTAAAGCTGTAGCCTGGCTACACCATCATGCAAAAGATCGCATGGAATTTCTTCAGTTGATATGGGTGGGATGTAAACAACTATTGTTATGATATGACTTAATTCTCTTGAAACATAAAGTTCTTGCACTTCATTATTGCCTTTCTCCAGTAAGACGAGATAGGTGTGACTTTCCTTCTTAACAATAGAGACACTAAAGAAAAATATTGTGGGACATGGTGATTCAACAAAGTGAATCAGCTGTGAAATGAACTTCCCAGGGGAGGGAAATTTCAGCAAGCTTCGTGATTGGTGCACCCTTGAAAGAGCTGCGCTGGAGCTGTTGTCCAGTTTCATCCTTCAACATTTTTCTTATTGGATCTAAAGCCCAATGTCAGGTCCAGTCTCATGAAATCATTCAAATGAGCCAATCAAGGGAAACTACTTTCAGAGACAGTGCCACCTTCTGTATATCTTGAGTTCTGGGTGACATCCAATACAGTAATATAACATATTAAAGATGGATCAACACAGAAGGAGACTTAAGTGCTCTTTTTAAAAGAACTCAACACACTGAAACTTGAATTTACCCGTCTTTACTTTTTAATAGATATTACATAATATAGTAAATATGACCACCTTTAAAACTTTTTCACGCAACTTTTAGATTCACTTATTGATTTTGCTGATATTTCATTTGCTCTGATCACCTGCCACTGTGACAATTTTGGATCAATACAGTACAGCTTTGTTGATCTATATAATCTACCCTAGAGAAGCTCTGCTGGAGTTAAAACCCCCTACACAGTTAGGTAGCCTACAGCTAAGGTGATATAAAGTATAGAGTGACCGCAAAGTTATTGGGAAAAAAAGGTGGACAAGGATTTTGTTTTAAAAAGACTAAGGAAAAAAATAGGAGAGCACCAGAAAGGGAGGAGGAGAAGGCAGCGGTGGCTGAGACAGAGGGAGACAGAGGAGGATAGGGTAATAATCCGAACTAATTCACTTAGGGCATTGCTGAAGGGAGGCTAAGAGGATTGGGACGGTCCCAGATTCAGCTAAGCTAAAATAACCAAGATGGAGCAGTGAGAGCCATGCAGGCTATATGACGAACATGACGGGTCTGCACCTGAACACCGCTCTCCCCACCACCTGCATCAGTTGTCACTTCTAACTGTACCACCATGAACCATAAACCAGTGTCAAACACAGAGCAGAAATGAGGATTGAAACAGAAACAAGTGTAAAGAATATTTGACTTTAATTGTTCACACGACTAAAACAAAGATCTGACTTTCATCAAACAGGTGGGGGTTATAACACCACACACTAACACTAAAATACATGGCATAGATAATACAACAATGCTGGTCTAAACAAAACCAAAAATTCAAATATAGAACGAAATAATAACAATTATAATAATAATAGTATCAGAGCTCTTTCCTGTGAGAGCAGCTATCCCTCACTCTCTAACAAGTTTAAAACAAGTGTTTGTGTCTGTGCTCGACAGTCTCTTGGACAAAAAGGTGGCTCAGAATGTTTCAGTGTCTTCTACAAACTTTTTAAAGGCTTTTGTTCTCTTTTTCAACACAGCATGAAGAAGTTTAGAGATCTGGTTTTCAGTCAGGCAGTGTGAAGGTCAGCCCGGGGTCATTCATCTCTACAGAGGTGGCCTTCAGAAAACAAACAGAATCCTTACAAACAAACAAACAGACTGAAAAGAGTCCTCTGTGGCTGATATCCCTCCATACTTGGTTTTAAAGGACCTGGAACTTCCAGGAGTTCTGGTCCTTGTGGTCCAGGCAGTCCATTGTGGTGAAGCCAAGTTTCCAGGCCTGCTGGTCCTTGTAGTCGAGGCAGTCCACCGAGGTGAAGCCCAAGGAGGATGCTGTGCTGTAGCCCTGAGAGGACAATGAGGCGGGGGACTGGCTCAGGGAGCCCCCCATGGAGGGAACAGTGATGGGGCTGAGCGCCCCCACGGTGCCTGACAGCTGTGAGTGCATGGGGGACAGGTAGGCGCTACAGTCCAGGCCGGTGAAGTAGGAGGTGGTGCTGGCGTAGCCCTGGGTGTAGGCCGATGGCTGGCTGTAGCTCATGGGGTAAGGGGACGGCCGCTGCATGCAGGGGGCCGAGGAGGAGGCCAGGGGGTCAGGCAGTGGCGAGATGGCGGGGCTCCAGATTGACACGGCCGTGTTTCCTGTGCTGGAGCTGGGGGCCAGGCTCGGGCCAGACTGAGCCGAGGCGGGGCTGTAAGATCCAGTCGGGTTCGGGAGAGGGTCAGGGGCGCTGGGCTCCTGAACTGGAGAGGCCTTCTTTTTTGGTGGGCGGGGCTTAGACTGACCACTGCTCTGCTGCTGCTGCTGGCGACACTTTGCCCGGCGGTTCTTAAACCAAACCTGCAGATGGGAGGAAATTAAACAGTGTTTTTGTGTTTCTAAATAGTTGGAGGTAAAACAAACGTTTAAATTATCTTTCTTCTGTATTTGAATGTTTGATTATTTTTGTCCTTGTCTCATAAATCTGTGTTAAACCTTTAGGCTAAAAATGTCATTACACTGAATAAACTGATGGAGAGGAAAAGAGTAACCTCTGAAAATATCTTAAGTTTCTCGTTGACAGGAGGTAACTTGGTAGAAAGGGCTTCAAACTTAATAGGATGTGCAATGTGACTGCTAACCCACAAACACTGAACAGATCGGCCTCTATATTAGTGCTAGCCTACTTCCTCCTCACCTGAACACGTGACTCAGGCAGGTTGATCTTCAGGGCCACCTCCTCCCTCATGAAGATGTCAGGGTAGCGGGTCTTGGAGAACAGTGCCTCCAGGATGTCCAGCTGTGTGCGGGTGAAGGTGGTGCGCTCTCTGCGCTGCTTCCTGGGAGTGGCTGCAAATACAACAGACACTTCGAGATTTATTTTTATTATCATTATTATTATCATCATTATTATTGTTACAATCTGGCTACGGTGTTTGAGTAATGACCTTTTTTGTTACTTTAAGAGTAGGGCCTTCCCTCTGCTGTAACAGACACATCTTTGTCTCTCTGAATTATATGACTAGAACAGTTCATACAAATACAAAGGGGCTGTGTTAAAACCATTGTGAAGCCCAAGTTTATTTCTTTTCATTCAACTAAGGTTACAGTCACTGCTTCTTTAAAGCTGTAGCTTTCATATTTCAATAAAGTTTAAGGACATATCGGACTGTGTTCTATGGGCCAGTGTCTGTGTTCAATACTTAAAGACAAAGTAAAGATGCAGATGTACAGAAGAGTGAGATATCTCAGAGTTTGGAGTTTTCTGGTAGAAAATGTAAGAAGTGTTAAAAAGAATTGTTTCGTTTCCTGAGAGACACTGAACACACCACAGATGATGTGCGCCTCAGTCCTTGAAATGACTCAAAGTGTGGTGTTATTGTAAAGCAGGAACCAAAACATTAAAGTTCAGACAGTAAGTTCAAGTACAAATTATTACAGTGACTTCTTACTTAATAATGTTTCCCATAGCTTAAGTTATATATATATATGAGAATACCCGGTTTCTCCTTAGATGAAAAAGGAGTGGTAATTATTATTATTATTGTTATTATTATTTTTAACACGTTATCATTGTCGTTCAATCATCTGAACAGGACTTTGGCTCTTATGAAGCAGTGTTTATCCTCTTTCATTTGCCTTGGTGCGTTACAGCGTTACGCACAGCCATCGCGTTTTACGTGCCATTTTGGCTCGAACGTTGTCTCTTCCACAGAACCAGGAGAAGGAAAAGACTAAAAAAAACATATTAAAAGTTTAGAAAAACTTACATGGATAAGCGACGGTTGTGTGCAGCACATCCATCCCTGGGCCGGGCAAATTTAACCCGTTCATGGTGTAATGGGGTTGCTTTATGTAGGACATCATCCTTGCAGCTTGATTTGAAGTCCTGGAGCTGTCACCTGAAAACCCCCTCAGACCGCTGCTGCTGCGGCAACAAGTCTGTGCGTCGGGACCGGAACGAAGCGGGACGGGCGAAGTTCTCAGAAACACAAACTGTAACTCTCTTTCCCCCCTCTATCTCTTTCTCTACCTCTCTCTCTCTCCCTACATTTACAGCTCTTCCTATGGGTCAGCTGAGCAGCAGAGCACACTGCTGCGCACTCAACATCCGAACCTCCTCTGACCGTCACAGTTCAGTCATCACACAGAAGATGTCCCTCAACTCGGAGAGATGCTCCACTGTGTGTCTTTGACGGGACACGCTGCTAATTAGAGGCACTAAGTGGTTCCAGGCAACAAACCACACCTACCACACACACTTTTACACTCTGACGCACGCGCCCGAGTTTTCACAAAAAGTCAAAGAAGAAATCAAAGTTGGGAACAGGGTTTTGGTTCTACATTAAATCTGTAATTTTGGTCTTTGACAGGGAAATATGAGGTTCAAACATGAACAAAAATAATGCGAAAAGAAAAAGAAAAAACACGTCAAAAGAAATAAAAGATGCATGATTATTATTTCAAACCTAATATTGTATCAAGAAAAATCACCAAACAATGTTGACTTCTTTTATTTTTCAGCCCTTCATTTAAAGAACGGAAATAATGTTGGAACTTTTTTTTTATATTGACAGATAAATGTTCCCCCTGCTCTGATTATGTTCATAATTAAAACCTTTCACATGCAAAATCAAGCAGCTGCATGTTTACTGCAATATAAACATCAAATATAATCGACAGATGACATTCATCTCCACGCAGCGACATGTACAAACACACTCAAAAGCAAAAAGGCTCAATTGATTGAACATAATATGTTCCATCTGAAAACTATCTTATCTACAGATAAAGGCAGGAAAGCCAGAGTGATCTCTTCAGTGTCAGAGTGGGAAAGGAGGCTAAACTTATGGGAACTTAAATTTAACTAAATTTAAAAAAAGAAGATGGAGAATGAGGAGAGAGGAGGAATCGAAGATGGAGGGAGGAAGAGGAGAGTGTGGACGAAGTATTCAGCTCATTGAGAGTACAGATAGACTTGGGTGTTTGACACAGACATGGATGAAATGAAGTGTGTGGTTTCTGGAGTCTGACTTTGTTTTGTGTGGGGTCCAGTAGTACCAGTACAGAAAGCACTTTGTGGATCATAAAAAAATGTATACTTTGTGCAGAAACTGTTTGGATGATGTCAGTGATGATGATTTAATGTTCATGATGATAGTGGAACAGCTCCTCCTGCAGCTGCAACCAACAGCAAGTAGGGAAGAAGGTAGGAGGACTGAGCCGGTTTAATCCCTCCCTGACTGCCCTTCCCCCCTAAAAGCTGAACTCACAGAGATACTCTGAGTGATGCAAGCCAGCGTTTTTATTTTTGGACCAAACAGAGTTTATGTCGTACACAGTGTAAGCTGACTGAGGCCTGAAAACTTGGGATGGAAACAAGAGGGAGGACAGGTACATCAGGTGGACAGGGGGAGGAAGAGGAGGGGGAGAAGCAGGTGAAGGGGCAGCGGGTGGGGGAGGCTCCAGTTCGTCCCCACTGACATACTGCTGCAGTTAATCCAGATTAGAGTGTCTAAAACAGGTCAGCTAAATCTGTAGGCCAGCCAGCAATACAGAGGCTGCTGTCAGCCTCAATCACTCACCCTGCAAACACACACACACACACACACACACACACACACACACACACACACACACACACACACACACACAAATAATCCCATCTGTGCTAACCAGGTGCCACCAGCAGCTCAGCATAGGGCTGCCTTTAACCAACCCACTAACCCCACGTCACAACATTTATACTGTGAATATACCATCACCTCACTGATTTATAAATTTAGTTCAGTTTAAAGGAGATGGCTACTTTGGCATTGTGATTTACAACCCAACCTGCATCATCACCATGAAGCCCAACACCAGGAGCAGATCTAACTCGTCTTTTAAATGTGCACCTGTACACCTGCAAACAGAGGTGGACAAAGTACCCAACTTCCTAATCTGAGTCCCAAACTTTGAGCGTCAAAATGCTCAATCAACAGGAATATGGGGAGTGGGGAGAGGTATGCAGAAAAGGGTGATGGTGATGGAGAGTTGAACAAGCAACCACTGGGATAGGGACTGTAGCCTCTGTTCATGGGGTGCACTTAGACTGCCCTTTTTAGAAAAAGGAGCACTCTTGTGTCATGTGTTTCATATTTCCAAAGTAAAGGCACAGGAACAACTGACCATATCTTAAAACCTTGAAATAGGGACTATTTGAAACCACAATATCCACGATCACCAAAAATTAAGAATATATTAGGAATTCAAACTCTGGTATTTAGGTATTGATGAATGTAAAGTTGGATAACTGTTTTCTGCTGGTCATTTTTAACACTTCTGACTGCTCTGGGGGAAAGGGGTGAGGGTGGGGGGATAGGCAGGCAAACAGAAAGTTCCCTCAAAGAATTTGAAATAATATATTACATAATAACAATATAATAATAACTAAAAATAAGATATTCATGTTCACTGAAAGCTCGCCAATTCAAACCTGGTCAGCTTTTAGCGCAGGTGGAGCGCAGCTGGTCTAGTGGTATTTGGTAGACCGGCGGCGTATGCAATCGATGCCTCACCGGCAGGTTTCCACAGTTTCAGGCACATTTCAGTGCAATAAATAATTATCAACAACTAATAATCTGAGTCAGCACATACATTTAGATCTTTATCGATGTATTCTGATCTATATCTGATCTGATGATCGTGTTTGACACGCGTTTGGACACACTGACCGAATTAACACAGCTGAAACCGCATTAAATTAAATTAAATATCTTGTTAATAGACACCAATGATGCAGTGAACAAGATATGTAATTCATCTCCCTCCTTTTCTTTCTTACTCTTCCTCTTATTTCTCGCGCAGCTCGACCTGGACACGTCTCCGTGTCCTCTCCCCATCCCGCTGCGGCTGAACAGATGATTTATTTTAGTGATCAGATGAGTTATTTACGTTAAGCCTACATACAAATATTATAATATTCAGTTTTGTGAGCCAAATTTATTTTATATGCCAACATCTATGAAAGAAAAGAGCCAGGCTACGGAGCGCGATGCGTCATTTACGCACAGATGGTTCCGTTTTTTATGCCATTATTGGAATTTATGTCGTGATCTGGGCGCACAACCCACCTTTGTCACGTGAGGTTTGAATATGTGCAGCTTTATGTGAGTGTCTTTACTTGTGGAAAAGGATGTTTGTCTTGACAGTGGGTCCAACCTTACACACACCAAATCCATCTGTGCTTATATGAGACAGTGTGGAGGATGCCCTCTGCAGCGCTTACAGTGACACTTGTTGAGGGGCTGCTTCCTGTCACCATTGTGTGGCATTGCTGTCTTCAGACATCTCTTGATCTCTTTGACAACTTCACGAAAATTGTAATACGCCTCGTCAGTGGCGGATTTAAAGGTGAGGAGAGGAGCTGATCTGATTGGCGAAAACAGGTGTCGGCTGTGTTAAACCCACTCCACACCCTTTCTACGACTTATGCCGCTAGGAGGAGCTGAGTTAGGGAGGGGTGATACTTACGCCGGGCTGCGCCGCTCACCAAAATACCAACATGTGCTTGGGCACGCCTTGTCAGCGCGGCGGACCTGACTTACACCATGCCTATGCCACGTTGTCGGCGAGGAACGAAAATAGAGCCCTTTGAGTCTAAGGGATCAATCCACATCATGATCCAGGACCCAGTGTTCAGCCTGTTTCCAGTCTGGTACAGACTCCATTTGGGTGTCTGAGAACATTGCTGTCTGTGCTGAATCGCAACTCGAATACTGAGGATATGTTCTCATTTCTAGCTGGACCAGTGACGGTCAGTGTGAACTGACCCTTACAGCCCTCCAACCAACTTGACCCAAAAGGACTTTTTCTGGTTCTACTGATCAGCCACTTCAGGCCTGATGTGAAGTACAACCAGTGTTGCCTGCATAATGTCAATAAATCTCAGATGTCATCAGCTATCATCTGATGATGTTACATTTAAGAAGAAGAAGAAGAAGAAATGTATTGATCCTTGAAGGGAAATTCAATTGTCTGTAGTCTCATTTGTCATGCCTGAAAAAGTCATCTGCTATTTACAGAAGAATTATGAAGTCTGATGGCTGTTGGTACAAAAGATCTTCTGAATCTTTCTGTCCTGCAGCAAAGAGAGAGGAGCCATCCACCACCATTGGCCCTTTGGTCCATCAAGGTGTTGTGAAGTGGGTGATCCATGTTCTTGAGAATAGACTCCACCTTCCTCAGTGCAGCTCTCTCCACCACATCCTCCACTGAGTCCAGTTTGAGTCCTACCACAGAGCCAGCTTTTTTCACCAGTTTGTTCAGCCATATTGCATCTTTGTGTTTGATGCTTCCTCCCCAGCAGACTGAAGCGTAGAACAGAACACTTGCCACCACAGACTGATAAAACAGCTGCAGCATCTCACTACAGATATCCATTGATCTGAGTCTTTTCAGGCAAAAGAGGCGGCTCTGCCCCTTTCTGTAGATAAAGTCTATATTCTTAGACCAGTCCAACTTATTATCCAGATGTACACCTAGGTATTTATATGATGTCACCACTTCGATGTCCACTCCACAGGTGTTCATTGGCTGAAGAGAAGGTTTGGATCTACAGAAGTCTATGACCATCTCCTTTGTCTTTGAGGTGTTGAGGAGGAGGCAGTTTTTGTGACTCCAGTCACTGAAGGCTCTGCTCAGATCTCTGTATTCAGCTTCTTGTTCATTTCTGATAAATGCCACGATAGCAGTGTTATTTTGAGTATTTATGGGTGTGGCAGGACTCAGTACTGTATTTGAAGTCTGATGTGTACAGTGTGAACAGGAATGGCGCCAGCACTGTCCCTTGTGGAGCCCCTGTACTGCTCATTAATGTCCCAGAAACACAGTTCCCCAGCCTGACAAACTGTGGCCTTCCTGTCAGGTAATCTGTGATCCAGGAAACACAGGAAGGATCCACTCCCATCTCTGTGAACTTGTCTTTAAGTATGGTGGGTTGGATGGTGTTGAATGCACTTGAAAAGTCGAAGAACATGATCCTCACATAAATCCCAGGTTTCTCCAGATGAGACAGGGCACGGTGAAGCATGTAGAGGACAGCATCATCCACTCCAATGTGTTCTTTGTATGCAAACTACAGGGAGTCCAGTTTATCTTTGACCTCAGACCTCAGAAGGTGTAGAATCAGCCGTTCCAGGGTTTTCATGATGTGTGAAGTGAGGACCACTGGTCAGTAGTCATTGAGTTCAGCAGGACATTTTGTTTTTGGTACTGGCACAATGCATGATGTACCCACAGAGTAGGTATCCGCCTCAGCTGTAGACTCAGGTTGAAGATCTTGTGGAGAAGTTGACACAGTTCTGCAGCACAGTCTCTAAGCAGCCTTGGACACACACCATCTGGACCAGCTTCCTTCCCAGGGAAAAGTCTTCCAAGCTCAATCCTCACCCCTGTTTCAATGACAGACAAGGTCTGGTGTTCTAGGAGGGAGGCAATTGAAGTGGTTGAGACATTTGAACGAGATGGAGGAGGAAGGGGAGAAGTTGTAGTGGAGATTTGTTGCGGAGAGGAAGGTGGAGTAGCAGTGGAAGTGGGAGTGACAGCAGTGTCAAGTCTGTTGAAGAACAGGTTGAGTTCATTAGCTCTTTCCAAATCACCCACCACTGGCTGTCTTTTCTTTTTATTGCTGTGTCCAGAGATGGTACTGATTTCTTTCCAAACCTCACGGATGTTGCTGTGTTGTAAATTCCTCTTTATCTTCTTTTTGTATTCTCAATTTCTGTTGCACTTGTTTGAGTCGTTCTTTGTCACCACCTTTAAAAGCTTTCTTTTTCTGGTTAAGGATGCTCGGGCAGACAGGAGGCTCCGCACCAAGGTGTAGAGCTCTCTGGTTCTACTCCTTCTCATATTTGATTTCAGAACAGAAATGGTTAACTTCTCTCATAGGTATGCGTCACATCTGAGTAAAATTTGAAATGATGTGCTTTATTTTTGCTGATGGTGAGGAGACATGACTGGGCACTGAGATCTGAGGTGAGGAAGACGCTACCTTTGGGGGCCACGTTGACCGGGAGGCATCCCGGCCCATTGCTGCTGCAGGGGGCGCCGTCACAGGGACCACCAGCCCGGGCAGACAGGAGGCTCCGCACCAAGGTGTAGAGCTCTCTGGTTCTACTCCTTCTCATATTTGATTTCAGAACAGAAATGGTTAACTTCTCTCATAGGTATGCGTCACATCTGAGTAAAATTTGAAATGATGTGCTTTATTTTTGTACATTTCAAAATGTTTACGTTTTTGGCTGGTTGTGAAACATACTAAAATTGACATTGATGTGTTTCTCTGACCTGAAAGAAACACACAAGAACATCAAAAAGGAGAGAAACTATTTTACACAGTTGTTTCAATGTTTAGAATTTATAGCAGCAAGTACTGGTCAGGCCAGTTGGTTGTATAAACCCTGCGATTAAAGGCTTTCTCACACAATTCACACCCAGATTAAAGATCACTTTGTCCACAGGGGGTGCCAAAATCATCGCCTGAGTTCCTCACAGGACCATTAATACTCAGTCTTATTAGAGTGACAAAAATACAGTACGGCCTCCTTAAAGGTTAACATCCACATACCTGTGCTGGTTACGCAGTCCTTTTTTCCTGATTTCAGATCCTAATGAGTCTCAACTTATGAAGCAGCTACTGTTCCTGAGGTCCACATTCACCGAACACAACATACGAACGTATTAAACAGTAAATTCACAAATCTTCGTTACTTCATGTATTCAGGTTTAGCTAAAAGTTTGTGTTCAACATTTATAAAGTGAACTATGACTTTCATATTGAAAATGCTTTCTACAGCACCTTGAAGTTGTGACCAAATATGCTGAATATGTGTCTGTGGTTTTATTGCATTACCTGCATCTTAACCTCTGATTGGCCCACTCAGTGACATGTGATCAAGTAACAAGGAAGTGTTGGTTTTACTGCGATGAAACGTGTCCTAAGTGCATCAAAGACAGTTATGCTTCTCCATCCCGTTGTGTCTTCACTTTAGTTCATTTATGTCAGGTTGCTGGTTAAGTGTTTCTATAATAGCTCTCTTTGGTGCTTCAGACACACCGGAAACAGCTGACATACAACCTTATTTCTATTTTCTAGATCAAAATACTGACAAACCACACCGAGATGTCACCTGTGCTTGTTTATATCCAGGTAGTAAAGCATTAGAGCATTATAGAGATAACATCAATTAGAGCTCCTGCTGCAATTAGTGATCGGTGGCTGCATGACAGCTAAGACACAACATGTCAGAAATATTAATTATTTAATAATAATTATTTAATGATAATACTAATAATACTACTACTACTACTACTACTAATAATAATAATAATAATAGTTTAATCAAAAAGTACTCGTTGTGCCAACTAAGGAGGTTGTTGGACACATGCACACATCCTCAGATTAACAATATGAGGTTGTATAAAAAGGTGAAGTTACACTGGACTCAGGCCTTGAAGCTTGTGAGCCAAGTAAACAGCGAACAAGCTGGTTAAGCATTTCCATCACAGCAGCTGCTTCACTGCAGACAACACAACATCATGTGATCTTTTTGGTATCTGGGCTGGTTTAGTTCAAACTGCATTAAAAGGAACTTATAAATTAATAGTTCCTTTTTTTTGTTAACATCAAACCCGCCCACATGTGCAGAAAGATAGGGGTAGGTGCATAAAAAACAGCAAGATGCAGCATATTCAATTCGTAATGTGCTTTTTAAAACACTCTTTTTTTTTTAATTGTAAAGTGATGCTGTTGATATATAGTGAACTTCTTTTGCAAGACACAGTTTGTTTCTGTGTGTGTGTGTGTGTGTGTGTGTGTGTGTGTGTGTGTGTGTGTGTATTTGGTGCTGGCAGGGAGCAGACGGAGGTGAGGCCCAGTGAGCTGTTGCTCCATATTGTGACATTTCAGAGGTGGCCGTGTGCTTCACCCCCACTTCTCCTAACACCACCTGCTAATCCATCTGCAGGATTACTGTCCACTGTAATCACTTATCCTCAGCACTGACACACCTCATCTCACTCTCCTGACTCAGTGCACACACACACACACACACACACACACACACACACACACACACACACACACACACACACACACACACACACACACACACACACAAACAGTTTAGATGACCACCGATCTGTAACTGGGTTGTGGTGAACTGTTTATGTTTGATCATAGCTGCTGTGTTTACAGAGGAAGTGTTTGATTTAGGGTCCACGATGACCAGAAGAGAGAAGGTGACAAACCAGGACTAATTTCTGGACATAATAATCAGTTTTTACTTTGCAATTTGAAATTATTCTCACAGTGGGAGGGGGGGAATCCAAAAGCTGTCAAGGTCCGAGTTTCAAAGAAGATCAAAGTTTGAGGAAATAATTATAATTTTAATGCCTCCATTGATTAGCAACATAAAATGTAAAGTGAAATAAACTGGCTCATGTGTGTAAATTAAACACCCATAAATCGGTGTGCAGAAATAGCACAGATTCATCAATGCTTCAGTGAGCAGAACAAAGGGAAGAAACAATTTTATCTTAATTTCTATACTTAGATCAGACTATAACGTCTTTTTTTAGGAGGCCTTACTTCTAACTGGACCTGAACAGGTCAGCTGATCGCAGATACAGCCTCTGATTGGTCAACTGCCCAAACTAGAGGTGGCAGTCTCTTTCTAGCATAGTGAGTTGAGAAACAGAAGTATCATTATTTCACTAAAATCAAACCTGAATCATCACAGATGATCTTTGTTTTTGAAGGATCAATTGTGAAAAGCTTTTGAAAATACACTAATCTTGTCTGTGAGACACAGCGATAGACTCACAGAGTCCACAAAAAGTACTGTATGTCACCACAGTCAGGGGCTGTGTCCACTGGGGCCTAATTTTGAACTGGCAGCACCCACAACCTCAATTTCAGAGCTATACTCACTGTTGCGAAGCTACGAGAGTCATCCCACAGCACATGTGCTTACCTTGGCATTGACCATCAGTTTTACAGCACTCTGTATGCCGCATGTTTGCTTTAGTTCAAAACCTTTTTACAAAGAAAAACTATCAGTGATTGATAGAAATCATGTCATTGGTACCTACCTATTAGAAGTTCTGTCACTTCTTGATTCTGTTTGGTCAGTGGTCAAGAAGCGACGCTGATGAGTGTAGTAGGGTTCCATAAACTGAATTATTTACAATGAAAAGCGCAGCAACAAAATAGTATCTTTGCTCAGAGGGTCCTTGGGATTTGGTTTGAATAGAAAAAGATGCTGCCAGCACCGAAAACAGCGCCAGTCGACACAGCTCCTTAACCCCTCTGTTTTTGGAGCTGATAGTATAGACTCATTGATATTCTGTTGTATACCACAGTTTTGACTCTAGACAGTTTAAACACCAAACATAAGACAATTTCTGAGTTTATTTGGAACGGCAAAAGTGCCACAATATCAGTGTTGGACTAGAGTGATGTTTTGTACGTACATTCTTTGTCTCAGAACCTACATGCTCTAGACATAGTAAACCATGAAGCTCTTAGGAAAATGGTGTTGCAAAAAGACTTGGAACTCATCATTCATGCCTTTGTGTCATCACGTTTGGACTACTGTAATAGTTTGTTTTCATGTCTGAACAAAAAGGAGCTGTCTCGTCTTCAGTTAGTGCAAAACTCTGCAGCAAGAATTCTAACCCGCGCTAATAGGAGGACTCACATATCCCCTATTCTTGAAGCTCTACACTGGCTGCCTGTGTCCTCAAAGATCAATTTTAAAATTCTGGTCCTAACTACTGATGGTTCCGCGCACTTGTTTTCGGACCAGAGGAGACCGATCCTTCCAGGCTGTTGCCCCCAGGCTTTGGAATGATCTTCCTCTCTCTCTGTGTGCTTAATTGATTCTGTTGACTCTTTTAAAAACCAACTCAAAACTTATTTGCTCAGGCATTTGTTTAATTGTTTTGGGGGCTACTATGTCTGTTTAACTGTTGTTGTCTTGGCCTTTTAATTTGTATGTACATCTTTTTATTTTTGTCTATGTGAAGCACTTTGTGACTCTTTTGTCTGTGAAAATTGCTATACAAATAAAGTTTACTTACTTACTTACTTACTTAGAGGTAGAGTCATCATAGCTGGGCTGCAGCAGGAACAGACATTTATGTTTTGTACCTTAAACAAAACATTTTGTGACCCTGCAAGTAAAAAGAAAAACTGTTACAAGCTCTCAGCTTTCCTGGGACAATGAAGCAGACTAGCAGCCAGACAATACTCCTCTTTCCTCCTTTAGATTCACTTTAACAGCTAGATGATTGAATTTCACTGACATCTAGTGGACAAAGATGAACTGCCATAAAACTGAGTGGTTGTAGATATATTTGGATGCGTTAGCAGGGAGGATGACCTCATAATCTTTTGTAAAGTGGGCCTGGGCTTTAGTGGGTCTATGATAAATTCAACATTAAAGATACAGTGTTGGCACTGATTGAAATCAATTATTCAGCTCTTATAGTCAGTAGGTATTGTTTTTAAACCATCTTAAACAGAATGGTCTTAATTTGAACAAACAAGACTGGGTCAGCATCTGAACCTGAATCTAAAGAGCTTGAATAAGAGCGTAAATTCAACCCCAACTAAAAGTAAATCATTTTACATGCAATTGCAGAATCATCTTTAAAGATGCAGTGGGTAGAAATTGGGACGTGTACCTACATGGAGGGGTCAAACTCTGAATTGAGATGCTCCTTTGCTCACCCCTCCTGTTGTTAGTTTTCACCATCAAAAATGTCTTTCAGTACAAATTCTTTTGTGCGCTCTCTTCTTCTTTATCTTCATCTTCTAATCAACATGCTTTGTAGGGGATTAGATATTGACAAAATACAACATTTTAAATGTTATAAGTTTATCCTTTCAGTGCTACAGACCAACATGGTGGAACAAGGTGGCAACCTTTGTGGAAAGGGACTCATCCCTCCTCTAAATATGGGTCCCATTAAAAACATTTAGGAGAGTTGGCTAAAATGAAAAAAAAAAAAAAGAAACTTAAATTTTAAGTCACAATTAGGAGATTAAAAGTCTCAAGTGAGATGAAGAGTCTAAAATATAGATAAAAAAAATCCTGATTTTGAAATAGTCATTGTTGTCAGATAGTAGATAATGTGTGGCAAGTGTTTTTTTCTATGCTGCAGTCTGCTGGGGAGGAAGCATCAAACACAAAAATGCAAGATGTCTCAACAAACTGGTAAAAAAAGGCTGGCTCTGTGGTAGGACTCAAGCTGGACTCAGTGGAGGATGTGGTGGAGAGATCTACACTGAGGAAGGTGGAGTCTATTCTCAAGAACATGGATCACCCACTTCACAACTCCTTGATGGACCAAAGGGCCACTGGTGGTGGACGGCTCCTCTCTCTTCGCTGCAGGACAGAAAGATTCAGAAGATCTTTTGTACCAACAGCCATCAGACTTTATAACTCTTGTGTAAATAATAGATAACTTTTATAGACATATTACGTGAGACAACAGACAATTGAATTTCCCTTCGGGGATCAATAAAGTTATTCTTATTCTTATTCTTAATAAGATAGTAAGTCATAATTATGAAATAAAAAGCAACAAATATGAGTTAATAAGACATTATGATGAGATTAAAATACTAATTCAGGAGGTAGTAAGTTATACTAAAGTCATAAAAGACTGAAATTATGATGTGGTCATTATCACGAGAAAGTGAGTCACATATGGAAAACAATAAAACCAAGATTTTGACTTTTTATCTCATAATGATGCCATTTTATTTCATAATTATGATTTACTATCTCATCATTTTTTTTTTTTTTCAAATAAGAATCTTCCAATTTCGGCTTTAATTCCATTTATGACTTACTTTGTTACAATTTTGAGACTTTTTATCTTATGAGTATTTGATTTGATTTGAAAATCTTTATTGTCCCCTAAGGGCAATTCAGTTTGCAACAGAAGTTAAAACACACATTCTTATAATACCTCACATTGCAGAAATGCATACATCTGATATCACACACAAATACAATAAATATAAATACACAGAGTCAGCACAAACTAAGGGTGCATCATTTCCATCATGCCTGCATACAGCTTGTTTAAAAAACCAATGGCTGTTGGGACAAAGGATTTAAGGTACCGATTTGATTTGGCCTTGCGAGTGAAACTGTACCTTCTCTTAGACGGGAGAAGCTGATGGCAGTATGACTTATCGTCTCAGAATTTTGATGGTTTATTGCACAATGACTGTTTCATTGTGAGGTTCCGGAATCATTGAGATAAGGAACATGTGTGGAAAGCTTCGAGAGCAAAGGGCCAGCTGATTTACAGAAATAATGAGATCAGGTTCCATCCGGACCTATCTGCCGAGGTGTATAAACAACAACGGGATTTCTAATAGTCCGACAAAAGCTTTGAGAGAACGGACTCGACAGACACCAGATCATCTTTCCAGCAAAGCTACTTGTGACCCACGGAGACCACACACACACCTTTGATACATGGAAATTGACCAGTATAGCTGATCTGGAAGAAGAGGCATACAGTGGAAATTGAGGACATCTGACGCACAATTGATTCTTGTATATATGAACAGAATAATACCCCACTTCACTTCTTTTTTATTATTATTTATTTTATTTTATTTTTATTTACCTATTGTTTTCACTGTGAGACAGGATTCTCTTTTTTTTTTCTTTAGTGTCGACATTTGTTTTGTTAAATATTTTAGTGACGAGAAAAAGTTGAAAGTGGGAGAATAGAAATTATTTTCTTTTGAGTGGAGCGAGGAAAAAAAAAAGAGAAAGTGACACTATTGATGTGAGTGGGAGGCAAACACACGGGAGGTCTGTGAAAGCAGTGGGTGATACAAATTTACTGCTAAACTGCAGGAAACTATGCAGTCAGGGCCCTGGCTCCAATGTGGAAGATCTAAAAGACCTGGATAACCCTTTTCTTCTTTTCTTTTCAGTTCAAACTTATTTTAACTTTACTGCAAGGAAATCCCATTTATCTATGGGATAACATAATGGAGGTCTGGACACTGAATTTAGTTTAAAAAATTTGTGTTTGTTTTGAAATTTTATTTTATACCATGGGTTATGATTAAAGATTCAGCTCAGGGTAACTCATCTTAACAACTTTTGTGACAGCTAAAAGAGAATTGGGTCTACAAATTATATGCAATCACTAACAGATGGTATAAGAGTAATGTCAAAGGTTTACATCGCCCCCTCGAGAGGAAAAAGAATCTTAATGAGCTCAAAGATAGCCTTTACACAGGAAAGTCACCTGTTAGACACTGAGCATTAAAAACTCAGGAGATCTTGGGCAAGTACTGTGTATCACTCATCCCATAGTTCGGGTAGGAGATGTGGGGTAGCCATACTGTTACATACTTACTACAGTTTTCTTTACACTCAAAATTTACTGATAAGCAAGGGGGAATTATACTCGTGAATGGGTCCATCCGTGGAGTAGATGTCTCTGTGTTGAATACTTGTGCTCCAAATGAAAATGCCCAAATTTATTTAAAAAGTGTGCAATGTCATTATGGAAAAGGCAAAGGGATCATATTAATTGGAGGAGATTTTAACTGTGTCTTGTTAAATAGACTACATAAAAATCTTCCCTCAACAAATACACCTTTGATTGCAAGCCAGGCTTTCAAACAGATGACCGAGGATATGGGGCTTATTGATGCATGGAGACACCTGCATCCAAAGGAGAGAGACTACACATTTTACTCAAAGCCGCATTGCTCATACTCAAGAATTGATTACTTTTTTGCAGTGAAAAATGAGTCATATAGAGTGCTGAAGTGTAAATTACATAACATAACCCTGAGCAACCATGCCCCAGTTAGCCTGTTACAGGATTTAGGAAGAGATATTGAACCCAGGCAATGGCGACTAAATGTTTCACTCCTCAATGACAATACCTTTAAGGATATATAAGGACAGAATTAGCTCAATACTTAGAATTTAATGACACAAATGAGATGTCACCTGTGACCCTATAGGAGGCAGCTGAAGTAGTCTTGAGGGTTAAAATAATTTCATTTGCATCAGCTAAGAAAAATATGCAAAGAGGCAAAATGTATAGAACTTGAAAAACCGATAGAACAGCTGGAACAGAAGCATAAAAAACAGTTATCAATAAATTATCTGACACAGCTTAAAGCTAAGAGAGCTCCGGAAAATCTGTTTATGGAAAAGATGGAGAGAAATTTGAGATTTGTAAAACAACGTTATTATGAATGTTGGAGTAAAGCTAGAAGATAACCGACATTTCAACTTAAAAAAACAGATGGGCTTATCAGTCATACAAACAAGAAGAGATATTGGACACGTTTGCTACATTTTACAAAAAGCTGTACTCAAATTCAGATACATGCATAGATTCCAAACAATTAGATATTTATTTAGAAAATATGAAGTTGCCAATATTGTCTGATGAGACTTCACAAACTATGGATGATCCTTTAAGAGAGGAAATAGTGGAAGTAATAAGGGGGTTGAAAAACAGTAAAAGTCCAGGTTCAGATGGATTTTGCGACGAATCTTATAAGGTCTTTGTGGAGGAAGTTAGTCCAATTCTGGAGAAAGCCTATAGTCTTGCGTTTGAAACTGAGGAACTTCCCCAAAAATTGTAAAGAGACAATTGTTTCAGTGATACACAGAGAGGGCAAAGACCCCACAGAGTGCAGTTCTTATAGACCCATCATGCTTCAAAAGTCTGATTGTAAAATGTAAACCACAATACTTGCAAATAGACTTAAGTCTGCTATTACAACCTTGGTGCACCCAGATCAGATGGGGTTTATTGCAGGACGTCAAATGTCTGATAATATACATAAACAATTAAATGTTATGTCCCATGCTAAAATGGTGTCAGTGCCATGTATGGCATTGGCTCTAGATGCAGAAAAGGCATTCGACCAGATATCGTGGCCTTTTCTATTTAAAGTACTGAGGAAATGCGGTCTAGGGGAGGGATTTGTTAAATGGGTTCAGCTTTTATATTCATCCCCACAGGCATCGGTTAGGGCAAATGGATGTTTCTCACAAAAATTTGAGTTGGGGAGGGGTTGTAGGCGAGGTGACCCCCTCTCACCTCTTCTATTTGCCTTGAGCATAGAACCCCTAGCACGATTAATAAGGGAAAGTTCAAATATAAGTGGCATTGAAGTGAATGGAGAGAAACACAAGTTGTAGTTATACGCAGATCACGTAATTGTGTATATCTCTGATCCTGAAAAAAGTGTCCCCAATTTAACAAAGTGTCTTAAGACATTTGGACTTTACTCTGGTTACAAAGTAAATGTGACAAAAACCGAAGCGCTCCCTATGAATAACTTGAGCTCTCCTCAACTGAAAACCTAATTTTCATTAAAATGGCCGGGGGAGGGCATCAGATATATAGGGATAAACATCCATCTGATCATGCAAATTATGCAAAATTCGTAGAAAAAATTAAGAAAGATCTACACCACAGGGCTACACTCCTCCTTACATTGATTGGTAGAGTGGAGACTATAAGAATGAATTTATGGCCACGATTTCTCTTTCTTTTCCAGATATAACCTGTTTCCCCCTCCTAAATCTTTGTATAGTCTTATAGACTGTGTCATCTCAAGATTTATATGGTTGGGCAAAAAAAACAGGGTTAGATATAAAGTCTTACAATTAGCAAAGTCTAAGGGAGGATTAGGATTGCCCAGCTACACGCAATGATAATATGGCTATCAGATGACATAAACACAAGATGGCTTAATATGGAGAAGAGTTGTAGTACTGATATGCCTCTATTAGTGATCCCCTTTATTGGCATTAAATTAATTGGAGATTTCCCAGGAGAATGGTCAAGGATCACATATCAGGCTTGGAGTGAGGTACAACAAATGTTTAAGCTGCCAATAGGTCTTTTTATTATGAGCCCAATAGGTTACATTAAAGACTTCCTGCCTCTAAAACTTGACATAGGGTTCAAAAATTAGACACATGTCAACTTAAATTTTGTGTGTCAATTGTTTAGTAATAATAACTTTAAATCTTTCGATCAACTAAGAGCCGAATTTAGTTGATCAAAAACAGAACTCTATAGATACTTACAGTTAAGAAGTTTTATATTTGATCATCCAAATAGAAACAGATTAAAAGAACCTTCCCGCTTAGAACAATACTTATCAAAGATTCAGGAAGGAAATCACATACAAAAGCCAATAACTAACCTATATAGAATCCTGACTTCAATGTCAAAGGATAATACTTATCACATGAAAGAAAATGGGATAGAGAGTTACAAAAGGAAATTACTGAGGAAGGCTGGATAAAAATCTTTGCTGAGACACATAGAGTCACTAATGCTAATTCGTGGAGGGAATTTCAATGGAAGATGGTAAATAGATTTTTTAAAACACCAGATATTTTGACAAAGATGAGCTCAAGTACATGTTGGAAGGGATGCGGTGAGAACATAGCAACTCACCTACATATTTTCGCAGTGTCCATTGTTGGATAGTTTTTGGAAATCTGTTTTTGCTACTGTGAATAAAACACTAGAAGTTGAACTGGCTAGGGACCCTTTGATAGCGATTCTTGGGATGAAACCAGATGCCATTCTCAATAGGAAAAGGATGTACATCCAACATATAGTACTAATCACTGCAAAGATATCAATTACAGGAAGATGGCTTAAATAAGACCCCCCCCCCCCCCCAACATACGTTGAATGGCTAGCAAAAATTACATATATGTTAAGATTACAAAAAGAAGTGTTAATGGAAAGATAGCAACCATCAACGGAGGTAGTGGGAGAACAAATAGAACGATAACCTATAAAGCCTCTTGTCTGTTTGTTTTTGGTATTGAGCGAGATCGTAAATGATACCCAGAGGTAAATAATTAAGGTACGTACATGCAGATGAATTTAGGGAATTTATAACCCATGATCGGTATTGTCTCTGATACATTGTTTTTGTTTTTATCTATTTTTTTTCCTTTCTTAAATTTTCTAAAATTTTGGTTTTCTGATTTATTCAGTAAAAACACACACACATACACACGTATATATATATATATACATATATATAAACAAAAGGCGATTGTTTACTAAGACCCCTTGTAAAATAAATTGTTCTAATGGTTGTTGAATTATTATTGTAAAAGTGGATGCGAGAAAAGAAAGGGTGAAAAATAATAATAACTGTTTCATAGTAGTGAGTTGTTATTTCAACATTACTATTTTCGCCATAACTTAGACCTGTCACTTGAACCCAATCACAAGACCAACAGACAATAAACTGGAGAAAAGAGGGTGAATGCTGGCACTGGTAGGCTGGGTGGTATGGCTAGGGTGCCGGAGCTTGGAGGTGGAGATCAGTGGAGGTAGAGGAGAAGGCAAAATCAGTGAAGAAAAAAAGAAAATCAGATGAATCTCAGGAAGGAGCCAACAATACCTCTGGCGGAGTGGACAATCTGGTCGTGTGGCAGAGAGCTGCTGTGTTTTTCAGCAGCAATCACAAAAGGTCAGGTGTGAACTAGAAACTCTCGCACCAGCAGACCAAACCCAGGGACTGTGGGTTGGAGGGGTGGGGGCATGTGGGATTGTTTTTAATGGACTGTAAAGCAGTTTGTGTTAAATCTTTTTGTATGAAAAGCATTTTGTAAGTAAAGTATTATTGTTTGATTGATTGGTGCAAATTAGCTTTCAAACCAGGCTCATTGTAAGCTTACAAAAACAAGAATCAGAATCGCCTTTATTGTCATTGTACACAGTACAACAACATTTGAGTGCCACCCCATTTGGTGCACAGCAAAAGTAATCAATAAATACTAAAATGAAAGCCAAAACAAGATAAGTTAAGAATAAAAAAGAAAAAGAAAGTAAAAAGGCAGTAATATATACGGAGTATATACAAAAAAGGAATGATATGAGACCCGATAATTGCACGTGAAGCCCAGTGTTATTGCACGGTGATACATTAAATGATACATTTATTGCACTTGATCAGTGTGATCAGTATATAAGTTGGTTGAGGGGGACGGGTTTAACTGGACTTGTTGTTGTTGACTGCAGTGATAGCTCTCGGGAAGAAGCTATCCCTGAGTCTGTTGGTCCTTGTTTTGTGGGACCTGTACCTTCGGCCTGACGGTAACAGGTCAAACAGGTGGTTTCCAGGGTGGTAGAAGTCCTTGATGATGTTGCCAGCTCTGCTCAGGTAGCGAGAGTTGGCAATGTCCTCCAGGCTGGGCTGAGGGCAGCCTGTGATCTGGGCTGTGCAGACGACCCTCTGTAGTGCTCTCCTGTTGGCTGCAGAGCCCCCCGCATACCAAGCTGTGATGCAGTACGCCAGGATGCTTTCTATGGTGCCTCTGTAGAAGGTCACCAGCAACTTCTCCTCCAGGTTATTTTTCCTGAGCACTCTCAGGAAGTGGAGACGCTGCTGGGCCTTTCTCACCACTGCAGAAGTATTCGCAGTCCAGGAGAGGTCCTCTATCTGCACACCCAGGAATCTCATGGTGTGGACTCACCAATGATCAATATAAGGTCAGTATACACTGATTCCTTTGATAATCTGTATTTAAAATCTGTATTTTACCAAGTCTGCTCTAAATGCTCTTCGTATCTCAAAATGCTTGTTAATGAAAGATAATAATGTCAGTGCCTGTGTTCCGTTATATCGCCGCCCGGGGGCAGTATTGTGGGTCAATGCGTCGAATCTGTCATCAATTTTCCACGTGAAGAAAAGCAGCCGTATGTTGCATTTCAGGTTATCGGAAAATCAAAAGCAGTTACAGTCCCGTTCAAAACAAACATTAAACTTAATGATTGATAATACTTTCTTCAGAGCTTTATCATTAAAGCCTTGATTATGAAATGACTTAAGTACTTTGAAGTAACTTGAGTTACTTCAACTGTGGAGTTCTGTTCAGTTAACAAAAAATTAAAATACTGTGAGAAAACCGAAGAGAAAACAAAATATGAACAAAAGAAACAACTAAAGAAATGCATTTAGACATTTTCTGTATGTCATATTCTTTGAAGAAGTGCTTTAATTTCTCTTCGCTGAGCTGTGCGAGAACAGAGGGAGAAAGTACTTCAAGGGTGCGGGACATCATCGTGTACATCAAGTACAGAGTACTTGAACGCAGCTTTAAGCGAACCCGGATGTTCTGTTTCACGACCATAGACAGTTTGTTACGTTCTTTTATAACCGTCTACCAAAAGTTAAGGAAACTACCCTTAAAATAAGAATAAGCCAAACCAAATCTCTCCTGGACGAGGCTCAGCTGCCGCTCTATGAATCAACTGTTATGCCCGTAAAGCAACGATGAGAACTCCTGCTTTGGGACATTTGTCGTGTTTCTCATGTTTGTGAAGCGTCGTCGTGGTCTGTCAGGATGCTCCAGGACCCCTTTGTGGAGGACAGTTTCAGTCGTTTCCCCTCTCAGAGTAACATTTATGGACTCTGTCAGGCCGGGCAGCAGGAGCTGTTAGCGGCCACCCTGAAAGGAAAAGTGGTGTGTTTCAGGTACCAGGAGCTGCAGCACAAAGTCAGACCTGTGGCCAAGGAGGTGCAGTTCACCTACATCCCAGGTAACCCAGTTCACCTACATCCCAGGTAACCCAGTTAACCTACATACCAGGTAACCCAGTTCACCTACATACCAGGTAACCCAGAGGAAAACTGCAGATAAAGGAATATCTTATAGATAGATACATAGACTTTATTGATCCCAAACTGGGAAATTCTCATGTTACAGCAGCTAAAAACACGAAAATAAAATTAAATATAAGAAGTATGTACAATGCAGACGAAAAATACTAAATATGTACAATAAATACAAATTAAATATACTAAACATCCAATGAGAAAAAAATGAGATATGATGAATGTGGGCTATTGAAATGAGTAATACATATGAAATGAGTAATAAATATGAAATGTAAAATATACAGATGGGATGATAAACAAACAGACAATTTAAGGTGCTCAGTAGTGTGATGTGGTAGGAGTTTTTTTTTCCAAAAAGGGACCATACAGCAGACAGACATGAGTCCCTGTCTGACAGATGTGAGTTATTAAATAGTGCAATAGCTTGTGGTAGGAACGATTTCCTGTGTCTGTCTCTTCGACAGCGGAGCTGCAACAGTCTATTATTACAGTCTTATTACTACTTTATAACACCAGATTTAAACCCTGGAGGTTGCATTGTCGACGAGTATAAATCTCCCATCAGCTAACTGTGTCAAAGCTCCTGTCAGGAGTTTTGATATAAAAAAAAGACAAAATACACTCCTGATCAAAATCTTAAGATGAGTTAAATAACTGCAAGAATTTATATTTAGCACTGTTGGACCTTGAGACGGTTCTTTGTAGAGCTTCAAAATGCAAAAAGAAGAAATGGGAACAAGAGACCAAAAATTTTGAGCAGGTAATTTATTGAAAACAGCAATTTAACTGAAATTGGCTGTTCATCAGCTGATCAAAAGTTTAAGACCACATCTCAAAAAAACCTAAACACTTCCCAAGACAGAAATTTAAGTGTCAAAAACTGACTCAGTAATGAGGAGCTCCACCATTATTGTTTATAACTTCAAAAATTCGTTGTGGTAAGCTTGATACAAGTGTTTCCAAAAGGCCAGTGAGAATGTTGCTCCAAGTGGTGAAGATGGCTTCATGAAGGGCATCCACTGTCTGGAACTGATGTCCATTTTTATCAATCTCCCATGCCATTAATCCCCAAATGTTCTCAATTGGATTTAGATCAGGGGAACATGCAGGATGGTCCAAAAGAGTGATGCTATTCTCCTGGAAAAAGTTCTTGGTCAGATGGGCGTTGTGAATTGTAGCGTTGTCCTGCTGACAAACCCAGTCATTACCACACAGACGAGGGTCCTCAGTCATGAGGGATGCCCGCTGCAACATCTCCACATAGCCATGTAGCGATTTGAATTTATAATGAATGTCTGAAGAGTACTAATCTTCAATTATGACATTTATGCACTCGTTGAAGGGGCACCACCCACCTTTCTGGTGGGAAAAAGACAAAACAAAGTTCAATTGAATAATCAAACGTTGAATCAGTCTTAAACAGATTTAAATCAATCTTACATCTGAGGCCAGAATTTTCATTTCAGGGACTTCACTTCTGGATATTGACCACTAAGAGACGACAACTTAAAATTCAATGGACAATTTATTGACAAATGCTAGTTGTGACATAAATTCAATAAATGGCGATCAAATAATGAGAAATTAAAAAAAAAAATCTAGTGAATAAATGAAGAAATGGTTTGAACTGAACTAAGACCGGAGGTTAATGATAGTGGGTGAATAAGGAAAAATTTTAACCTATGTTAACAGAGTAAATAAATTTGGAAGGGGAATTTAGAGAAACTAAATTAAAATTAAAATTATAAGCTCTGAACGCTTGACAGCATCACCGGTTCTTCCATGTGTGTTTGCCTACTTATTGATGATGGTTCTCAGCGGCAATCTTGGAGCGGATCACTGAAGGCCCAGGCTACAGGTGGTCTTTGCAGGGCGGCTAGCAGCCAGCGAACAGTTGGGTGTCGTCACACCCAAATGCATGCCAAATGCGCCTCGTGGGTCCCACAGCGCTCTCCTTCCACTTGCCTATGGCGCATGCTCGGCTGCGACAACACGGTCTGTTCGCCTGTCACGTCTGTCCAGTTTTTCTTTTTGTCTATTTTTGTCTATTTGTCCAGCCGTCTGAGCCCCCGACTGTCCTGGCTAAACGCACATCATGCTGGACATGTACAGACTACTTTGGATCGTTTTTATAATACTGTGGATCCTAATCGATTCCACCGCGGTGGCACTGGTGGTTAGCTCGGCACGAGCCTCGGCGGCTAGTGGCGGCGGAACACTCACCTACAGACGGGAGGATCTACTCCAACTCCGATCATCTATCTTCTGCAAGGTGGGACTGGGGGATCCTATACCACCGGAGCTACGCCCGAGAAAAGGGGAAAACAGGGGGGTGTGCGGACCAGACTAAGGAAGCGCCGCTTCAGACCCCATCTCCCTTCCATTATCCTGGCGAATGTTCGCTCTTTAAAGCCAAAGATGGACGTACTGCACGCCAGATGTCGGCTGACAAGAGCCTTCAAGGAAGCATGCATCATCGCCCTGACGGAGACCTGGCTAAACGAGACCACCTCGGACTCCGAAGTCAATCTGGACGGATTCACCATCATCCGAGCCGACAGGTCAGTCAGACAAGGACAGCGGCGGGGGGGTGTGCGTGTTTATAAACAACAGGTGGTGTAACAACATCAAAATCCACAACACAGTCTGCACACGAAACATGGAAATGTTAACACTGTCACTTCGGCCTTTATATTTCCCACGTGAGTTCCCCACCGTGGTTATTGGGTGTGTTTACATCCATCCCAAAGCCAATAACAGAGTGGCAGCAGAAGAGGTAGCCGACGCGGCTAACTCCCTGTTAGCTAAATACCCCGGAGCCCTGGTGCTCTTTATGGGGGACTACAACAACTGCAGACTCGAGGGGGTACTGCCCTCTTTTCAACAGTACGTGGACGTTCCCACCAGGAAAGAACGCACCTTGGACTTGTGTTATGGAAACATTGACGATGCCTTCACTGTGAGGGCTCATCCTCCACTCGGTGGTTCTGGAGCCAGCTCCGATCATAACATTGTGTTCCTGCTTCTGCACTACAAGCCGGAACTGAAGCGCTCCAGACCACAATCACACTGTGCCCCTCAATGGTCAGAGGACGCTATAGCGCAGCTGCAGGGTTCACTAGCCTGTACAGACTGGGACGTCTTTCAAGGCGACCTAGACGAGAGGGTCTCTGTGATCACTGATTACATCAAATTCTGTGTCTCTACCACCATACCCACAAAGACAATAAAAAAATATCCAAACTCCAAACCATGGATCACTGCTCATCTCAGACAAAGTTTCAGGGAAAAACAGAAGGCATTTCAACGCCGTGATTGGGCCGCTCTAAAAATAATTGATGGGCAAATTAAGAAGGACATTCTTGAGGCCAAATTAAAATACAAAAACACCATGGAACAGGAATTTAGAATAATGAACACAAAAGAGGCCTTCAATAAAGTAAGAATTCTTACAGGTGGCGAGACAAAACAAAGAAACTGCACCACCCCTGATCCGTTAAAACTTGCAAACACCCTGAATACTTTTTATAAACGTTTTGACAACCATGATTATGCAGCAGAATACGAGGAACTGCTGGGAGCACTCCCCTTCCAGGAGCCCTCGCACCCCCCTTTCACGCAGGAAGAGGTACGACAGCTGCTGAGCAGGTGCAAACCTGGCAAGGCACCGGGCCCGGATGGCATCAAAGCAAAGGTGCTCAAACTTTGTGCTACGGAGCTCTCCCCCATCCTGCATTCCATCTTCTGGGAATCCTACAGAACTGCATCCATACCCACACTGTGGAAAACATCAACCATCATACCAGTTCCCAAGAAACCCCGCCCCTCGGAACCTAACCACTACAGACCCGTTGCATTAACATCAATCATGATGAAGCTCCTAGAAAGATTGATACTGAACATCATGCTGCCAGCTGTCAGGTCACAGCTGGACCCGTATCAGTTTGCCTATAGGGCCAAGAGGGGGACAGAGGATGCTGTGGCATGCCTCCTCCATTCCCTTCTCCAACAACTGGACTTATCATCGGACAATTTTTCCACGATCCTCTTCGTTGATTTCAGTTCCGCCTTTAACACCATACAACGCCATCACATGATCAAAAAACTGCACCTCCTCAACATTCCTACACTCCTCATCCACTGGGTCCACAATTTCCTGAGCAACAGACCACAATCAGTCAAAGTCCGCTCATCTTCCTCATCAACAGTTATCACCAACACGGGGGCCCCCCAGGGCTGTGTTCTCAGTCCCTTCCTCTACACACCATACACAAATGACAGCATCAGCCCCTCACCCACCAACATCACATACTTCAAATACTCAGACGACACTGCCATCCTCACACTGCTACATGACAATGGCTCTATTACGGACTATCAGAACACCATCACCCATTTCACCCAGTGGTGCACCGACAACTTCCTGGAGTTGAATGTGGACAAAACAAAAGAACTGGTCTTTCCATCAACCCGTACTAGGCTTAACCCACTCCTCATTCATGGCAAAACAGTTGAACAGGTTGACAATTTCACAAATCTTGGACTCATCTTGGACAATAAACTCGGGTTTGATCAACACATCACTTGCATCCATAAACGTTTCCAGCAACGACTTCATGTCATCCGTAGACTAAGGTCACTATCTGTTGCCCCTCATCTTTTGCTGTTACTGTACAAAAGCATTATCCAACCCATTCTGTTGTACTGCTCACCATGTTACTTTACCATACTGTCCATGCCAAATAGAAACAAACTGAACAATATCACCCGTATTGCTTCCAAGGTCATCGGACTTCCCACACCCACCCTTGCCGATCTGAACAATAAGGCCATCACCCGCTTGGCACTCTCAATAATAAGCGACAATGAGCATCCTCTCCATCATCACTTCGACCTCATGCCATCAGGCCGCAGATACAGATTACCCAGGTGGAAGAGGGTTCAGTTCAGTAGGAGTTTCATCCCAACAGCCATCGCCGCAGTAAACAAGCTCAAACTGCCTCTCCACTAGGATGGTCTCTTGATATTCTGGGGGGGTTCTCATGGCCTGTCCTTGTAATATGTTTTGTGACATATGGTATGTGTTGTCTGTACTCGTGTTTTGTGTTTGAATAAGACCTGTGAAAGCAAATTTCCCCCTGGGGACAATAAAGATTATTATTATTGTTCCTTCTTATGGCAAACGCAGCTCGGCGGATGATGCAGGTCGGTCCTCTGGGTGTTCAGGATTAGCTCTACTGCAGATCAATTTGCGATAACTGAAGAAAATAATTTCGCTGGCCAGTCGATATTATTCTCAAGAGTCACTTTAGCGAACTAAACAAAATAAAAGACTCAGACTTAAGTACTCTATGCGCGCAGCTGATTAATAATGTTTTAAAGGAACTTGGGTATGGTTTCATCCAAGTTTGTAGAAAAGTCTGAACTTAAGGCAAATAAAAAAAACACAGGAAAAGTTACAAGACGATGGACGGAGACAAAAACACACGAGACAAAAAGACGATAAGAGCAAAGATGGTAAGAGCACAAAAAGAGTCAGCTCAGCGCTTTTAAACCATTTGATGTGGGGCGTGAACCCAAAGAGGGGGAGCTCGTGCACCCATTCATTGTTCACAGCGGGGGCTGATCAGGCTGGCAAGAGAATTGATTTTAACTTGCGGGATTAATAAGCGAGTTGGGTCTAATGTACTCACTCACTATGATTAATGCTGTTTATCAAATCACATATGATATAGTTTCACTTCATAGTTTCTTATGAGCAGATGCATCAAACCATAACATTAAATGCAAGGTAAACTTTAATCATCCGTTTTCATCCGGTACTTAGTAAATGATTAAAATATTCTGATGAGGTAGACAGGCATAGCGTTAAAATGATCAAAACATTCTTAACTCATGTACAAAAGAGTTTTCAGTCACTACTTTTCATATTGCTAACCTACTTTGGGAAAACCATTCACTAAGCTACAAAGTATACAACATGCAACATAATTAAATAAAGGAATGACAATCATATTCGGGAGGCACCACTAGGGGGAGCTCTTGGTCCATCGAAAACCTGGAATAAATTTGTGAAGTTAGCAGTTTGGCTTATAAACATGCTAAACAAATGGGACAAAGACTGTTTCACTGCCGATGTGGTGTACAGATGGAAAATTGTGGTGAAGTGTCCATTAAACCTGAAATTGAATCATTTGCAGTTATTCTCTTTATTCTGCACCTAAAGAGAGTCACAGGAAACACAGCCACTCTGAAGATTTATGGCTGTGGTCTGTTCCACAGATTAAAGCTTTTGATGCACTCTTGAGTTGAGTTCTCATGATCTTTTAAGGTACCTTTAAGGTTAAGGTGTCAAATTTGAGAGTCTCCAGCCAAGAGCAGAGGGGTGAATGTTTATCCAGTCCGGGGGTCCTGCTGGAGATTAGCAACTTTTTCTCTTTGAAATGGAAAAGATTGACTGTCTGTCTTTTGGGGAATCACCTCTTGGTTAGTTTCCCACAAACAGGAGGTTGTAAAAGACTATGGTTTGGTGTGGAAATCCCCCCCCCCCCCCCCCATCTCCTTTCAGTGACCAGAGTCACTGCATTCCTTTGAGGGTGAATTAAAGATGAGAGAGCAGAAACCAGTCATCTGCTACAGCCAGGTGCTGTTTGACACCCCTGCACAACCTGAAGCTCCATTGTTCCATTAATGGAGAAAGCCCCCGCAGATCATGATGGTGTCCCCTCCACTGTGCTGTGTAGAAAACATCTCAGGTGACATCTCCTTGTCATGCCAGTATCGTTGGAAGCCATCAGGACCATCAAGGTTAACATTTTTCTTATCAGAGAATAAAACTTTCTTCCACCTTTGAATGTCCCATGTTTGGTGCTCCCTTGCAAAGCCCAAACAGGTAATCTTGTGGCGTTAAAGGAGATGTGACCTTTGAATACGTTTTTGTTTTTGAAGTCCTTCCTTCGCAGATGTCGTCTGTTGTTATTGGGCTGCAGTCAGCACCTATAATAGCCTTAATTTGGGATGAGGATCGTCCCGTGTCTTGACGGACACAAATTTGGATCCTCCGGCTCAGGGCTGGTGAGATTTTTTGGGGTTTACCACTTGATTTTTTGTTCCATAACCCTCCAGATCTTTTAAGAAATGAAAGACGACGGTCTTACTGCGTCCAACCTCAGCAGCGATGGCACGTTGTGAGAGGCCTTGTTTGTGCAGCTCAACAATCCATCCACGTTCAAAGGCAGTGAGCTTTTTTGCCTTTGCCATCAAGAGATGTTGACAGTGTGACTGCTTGACAAGAAATGACACGAAATCCACATTTTTGCACAGATTTGGGCTTTTAAAGGCTGTGGTCTTAAACTTTTGATCAGCTGATAAACAGCCTATTTCAGTTAAATTGTTGTTTTCAATAAATTACCTGCTCAAAACTTTTGGTCTCTTGTTCCCATTTCTTCTTTTTGCATTTTGAAGCTCTACTAAGAACCGTCTTAAGGTCCAACAGTGCTAAATATAAATTCTTGCAAGTTCTTAACTGGTCTTAAGATTTTGATCAGGAGTGTATTATTGATGTTTGTTGATGACCTACAAAAGACAAACTAGATTGCTTATTTATTCTCAAATTTTTCGTTGAAAGGTCAGCTGGACTTGAGTGACTGGGGCCTAAGTTGGACATTAATAGCCTCTGTTGGTCATCCAGCTGGGTGAATGGTCACCTGAGAGTAGGCCTGGGACGATAACAAATTTTGCTGGACGATATATTGTCCCACAAATTATTGACAATAAATGATATTATTGGGGACTAAGGCTGCACGATATTGGAAAAAATTAACATTGCGATTTTTTTCAACCCTGCGATACATATTGCGATATTAAAAAATACAGGAATTTTCACCAGATGACCTGAATAGCACTTAATGTTATGCTGCACCGCTGAAATCTTGAGGACAGTTAACCTGCACTGATCTTACCTCTTTTTGTGAATGTTAGTAGAATGGCTTCTGTCTGTCTCAGAGATATTTTTAGCTTTTATTGTGCTGGGACGTTATTGTGGCAACAGATGAACACAGAACGTTTTGGTCGACATTATCCATCTTGTCACCGAAATAATTCCAGATAACTGACTTTCCTTTTCTTTTTGGCAACAAGTCTTCATCTTCTGTGGTTTTCTCTGTCTGTTGCTCAGTTTGCAATCGTTGTTGTTGTTAGCGGGGTTGTGCTGAGAAACGCATGTCCTCCGAGAATTGCATGCACCTCACAAAACGCGCACCGCTTATAGTAGAGTGGTCCACGGAAATGTACAATTTAAAACCCATACAGTTCTTATTTGTTGGGCTAAACGGTGATGAAGAATGTTCCGAAAGTAATTCTCAGCGGACACGCGTCTCACTCCATGTGCAGAACATGTGCAGGGGTGGGTTCCCTCCTCTCTGATTTTGATTGACAGTTGGCAGGGTAGTCTGATTGGCAACTAAGAATTGAGTCTGATTGGCAACTGAGTAAAGAACGAACGTGATTGGTGGATTGCTGAACAGCACATGCAGAGTCACATGCAGTGTATCTCAGTCAGTTACAGGGCTCTCAAGTCTCACGCACTCAGCGTGAGACACACGCATTCCCACCTGTTCACACATCGTATTTCTCACGCATTTAAATGAACATGGTGATGTCCACCAAGTTGCACCTCTTTATGGAACGGGTACGAATCAACTGAGTTCCTCCGAGAGTTCAGAAGCTGCGTGCCACGCGCAAGCCAATCAAATAAAGTATATCTACTGAACAGCCAATCAAAAAGCAGCATTGCTGTATCCGGGTAGATTTTGATATCTTGCGGTTTGACTACAGGAGAGGACAGACACTCGCCGTAATAGAGCAGGTTTTTATAAGGACGAGATAGACCCGATGATTACAGTAAGTCAGTAACCTACACATGCAGAAACCTCAACACCTCATGGCATATAAACTCATATGATAAACTAAAGCCCTATGCTATTGCTATTAACAGCTGTATTGACGGATTTAGCCTCCGTACAGCCATTTCCAGCCATTTTCCCCTCCACAAAAGCTGCATTTCTCATATATCTCAAATATAAGTTCTGATACTCATGACAGTGTAATGCTCATGTACCAAAGGATTAAGTATCTCCATGTTTGTGAAACCTATACTAAAGTAAAATTCATCTAAATGCTCCACAGTGCAGATTTTAACAACTTTACGACTTAATACTTATACATTAATGATTTTATTCTCCCAAATAATAACTTTATTCTGTAAGATATAAAAACGTTTTTTTCTAATTGTGCCCCTTGTGCTCCGTTGTATTTAAGAGATAATTATACTAATAGTTATCTTCACCCCCCCCCCGGAAATGACTGAAGCTGGTCATCTGCAGGGTTATCTGTGGATGTATCAGCGGGTCATTCAGAGAGATTTTGTGGTTTCTGAAGAAACAATCAAACTGATGATGATCAACATTTGAGATCCAGAGGGAGTCGAGCTCCGACGAGCACCACGTCTCTGACACCGACCGTGGCCTACACCTGCAGTGACACCAACACCTTATTACTGCATATGGATTCATATCATAAACTAAAGCTCAATGTCATTCACGGATATTTACGGCTGCATTGACAGGTATATCCTCAGCATATTCATTTCTGCCTCCACAAAAGTAGCGATTTCCTTCAAGTACACCAGTTTTTTCCCCGTGGAAAAGACGTATTTCTCATATATATTCTTTTTTTAAAGTCTTTATACTTATGACAATGTTATGCTGATGTGCCAGAGGATGAAGTATCCCCTATCCTCCTTCTCAATATGGCCCTCATACTCCTTCATACAAAACAATCATTGGATGAATTTTGTGGGAATGATCTGTGCTTGTATGTATCTACTATTTTGTGTCTGTGCAAGGTCGCACAATTAAAACAATACATGCTGCGCTCCGCAGCTTTTTTTCTAATCAGTCGTGACGTAAGCCTGAGGGCGGGGACATTTGGAGACCTTCGGAGGACTTCCTGGTGGAGTTGCCAAATGTCCCCGCCCTCAGGCTCGCGTCACGACTGACTTAAAGGAAACCCGCGGAGCGCAGCATTTAATGTTTTAATTGTGCGACCATGCACAGACACAAAATAGTAGATACATACAAGCACAATTCATCCAATGATTGTTTTGTATGAAGGAGTATGAGGGCCATATTGAGATTTGGGACTTTAAGGACTTCGAGATTGAAGTCGTGAATTTACGAGAATAAAGTCATTAATTTATGAGAATAAAGTTTTAAAGTTTCCTGTTATTTCAGAGGAGACTTGTTAAAATTAGGACCATGAAGCATTTGAAGGAACTGTGCTTCAGTATAGGTTTCACAAACAAGGAGATTCTTCATCCTCTGGCACATCAGCATAACATTGTCATAAGTATAAAGACTTTAAAAAGAATATATGAGAAATACGTCTTTTCCACGGGGAAAAAAATTGGTGTACTTGAAGGAAATCGCTGCTTTTGTGGAGGCAGAAATGAATATGCTGAGGATATACCTGTCAATGCAGCCGTAAATATCTGTGAATGACATTGAGCTTTAGTTTATGATATGAATCCATATGCAGTAATAAGGTGTTGGTGTCTCTGCAGGTGTAGGCTACCGCCGGTGTCAGAGACGTGGTGCTCGTCGGAGCTCGACTCCCTCTGGATCTCAAATGTTGATCATCATCAGTTTGATTGTTTCTTCAGAAACCACAAAATCTCTCTGAATGACCCGCTGATACATCCACAGATAACCCTGCAGATGACCAGCTTCAGTCATTTCCCCCTCCACAAAAGCAGCTTTATGACTTTATATACTTTATGAGTTTATTCTCCTAAATTTACAACTTTAATCTCTAAATCTTAAAAGAAAGAAAAAAACTCAATGTTGTCCTGATACTCTGCTGTAGTTTTGTCAGCTTTCTTATTTCTAATGTTTTTGATAGTTGAAGCAGAGCGGATCAGTTCGTCTCTAAATCTATAATGTTTGGTTAACAGATTTTAGTGAGTTCAGAGATCATGCTCTCATACAGCCTGAGCTGACTGTCTGCTGTTTTTGGATTGCTTGTATTTTCTTCGAAGACACGCTGTGTCTCCAAGCGAGTCCAGCCTCTCACCTGAAATGCACAGCTGTGCAGCGGCACGCAAAGCATTCTGGGATACCGACGGCACGAAAGCGTGCATAAATGCACGCTTGAAAAAGAGGCGGGGGTAGTGTGGTTTTGAGACCGAATTTGAAGCGCGCTTAGTATTTTGTGCCAAACGGGACACCGTTCGTGCCGCGTGGTGACCTCACGTACGCGTCAGATGCGCCGTTCGATGGCTGCTGTATCTGAAATGGGACACAGGAAGGGCACAGAACGGCGCAAAACGGCTCAAAACGGCAGTGCACTCAGCTAAGCGCCGTTAAGTGCGCTTATCACGATGCGGTCTCTGAAATGAGACACAGCCTGTGTTCATTCACTTCGGACATCGCAGGCTCTGCGATGTGACTATCTCACACACGTACATCACGATGACGATGTTCAAATGATATATCGTGCAGGCCTATTGGGGACATTATCTAGACCAAAACAACCATTTTTGTAATGTTAATGTATCATAGTAATGCCAGTTCACCCTTTCAAATGCAACAATTAAACCTTTATTTCTCACTGGAATGTCAAGAACCAGAACTTTTAAATAACCTAAATAAATAAAACAAAACAAAAAAAAGCTGGCTTTTCAACCGTATTAAATGGCAGCACTTCTTTGGCAATGTGCCGATATGAAAAATTTGATATCACGATATTGGTGGCCCAAAATATCACGTTTCACGATATTATCAGGATATTAGTGCATTGCTTTTAACATTATTAAAAATGTCAAAACTGTGAAATCACTTCTCTGTGCACAACATGACATGCACAAACAATATGAGCAAGAGGCAGCTAACGCGACATTGGGATCATTAGCTTTTTGGAGCTCAAGTTAGCAGAAACCTTACTAACGTCGTCAATAATAAGCAGTAGAGTAGGCCAAACTTGTTGTGGTCATGTTGTTTTTACCTTGATTTGGGCGAACGATGCTGGATGGTGTTCACGGAGGTGGGCACGTAGGTTTGAAGTGTTAGACAACGGTGCTGCAACTTCCTTCTGCAGGCAAAACCTGCAGATTGGTGTCAGGTTTACCTGCTCCGTCTGTTTTGTGCAGCCGTAAGACGTCCATACTGCCGACGTAACCTTTTTAATAGGAGAATCCAGCCGAGGCGTTTCGTTATTCTCAGTCTCTGACTGTTCTTGTTTAGGTGTTATGCCGTAGAATGCACCCCTGACGGGAGCGCGGTTGAAAGTAAATAACAAGGTGAAATAATCCAAGTTTTCCTTACCGTTGGGTGGATTCAAAAGCGTGAGCCTTTAATGATTTCATTCAGACTATTCAGATAAGCCGAAAACAATAGCCCTCGGATTCAGAATATTTGCTGCCCCGAAAATATAATGTTCTCTACCTTGACAGCGTACTGTACAGTTTAAATACCCAAGTACACCTCTCTATGTGCTTTTTTTAAATACCTAAAAACAGAACGAAAGTTTGCTGCTCCATTTGACATGTTGTCATGATCCAATACTCATGTTTTTTTTTAAATATTAGGGGTGGAACGGTTCACAAAATCCACGGTTCGGTTCGTATCACGGTTTTGTGGTCACGGTTTTCGGTTCGGTTCAGTATACATTGACTGTTACAAAATTCAATTGCGTCTTGTATAGTAAACTGAAAGAATGAGGCAGTCTGACATTCAATACATCATTGTGACAGTCTTAGGTTAAAAGGTAGGTCAGATTCTGGCAGTGCAAGAGAGGAGACATAGTTCCAACATGCTTTACATTTATTTGGCAAAGGATATCTCTATCTAAACAAAAAGTAAAATGGCTCTTAAAGTTCTGACCCTTGAATTAGTGCATACAAAAGAATTTAACTTTACTATTTTACAAACAACATTATATACCATCAACATAAAGTGAAGCATAGGCTCTATCAGCACTAGACTTATGCCCTTTTAAAATCAACACAAAAACAACATGTTTCTCGTAACATGTAACATGTTTCAACTCCCTGATTATTAGTTGTTCATGAAAAGCTCAGTATTTTTCACTTGAAATTGAAGTGCAGTGAAGTGTGTGAAATACAATCAAAGAAATCAGGCTGTAGTTTTGATCAAACTTTAAGTGTCACTGTGTTATCTAAAGTCTAAACAAAATGAAATAAATAATCCAAATTAAGAGGTCATCAATATAAAATGCAGCATAAACCAAACTTAACAGATTCTGCGCTCTCCTGCACTCTCTCACACAACTCTGCTCATTGTATTATCATGTTCTTCTGCAAGAAGATCAGTTTGTCCACATTCTCTGCCAAGAGACGAGATCAACTTGCAGTGACAATGTCCCCTCATCTCCCACTCTGAGGTAATGTAATGGACAGTCACAGTCAGGAAACTTTCAGTTGCCCTGGAGGTCCATCCATCGGTAGTAAGAGCAACAGAGGCTGTGTCAGACAGTTCTTTCACAATTCCCCGTCGGATCTTTTCATAAAGTGCGGGAATTACCGTGCCGCTGAAGTGTTTGCGGGAGGGGATCTTATATCGTGGCTCGAGCGCCTTTATCATGCACTGAAATCCCGCACCCTCAACCACGACGTAAGGTTGCATATCTTTGGCGATGAAACACCCCAGTGCCTTTGTTATGCCCTGCGCCCTGTCCGACTCGTCATTGTACGGCTGTTTAAAAGCTGCGGGGAGAAGAAGTTGTGCAGCCTTGCCCCTCCTTGCGCTGTCAACAGCCACACTGGGATGATGTCTCCGTAAATGAACTGACATGTTAGATGTGTTCCCGTTAGCATAAGCAATGCGTGTTGCACAGTACTTGCACACTGTCGCACTTTTATCCACAACTTTCTTACCGCCTTCATAGTTCACCCTGAACGCAAAATGCTCCCATACACCAGACCTATATAACGCTGGTGGCACATCCTCCAGCCCAGAGTCTTCTCCGCTCGCCATGTTCACAGCTCTTCTACAACTAATTTCCGGGACACACCCATAGTTGCGCATGTGTATGACCCGAACGGGATGCAAGCGCACTGAACCGGGACGGTCGACCCGAACGGTTCAGTTCGGTTTCTTAAACCGTTCCATCCCTATTAAATATGAGATAATTTTTTTCCACTTTAAGAAGCTAATGAGTGGATGGGATGCAGGGGATGCATTCTACGGCAGGGGTGCATTCTACGGCTTAACACCCATCAAGCTACACAAGGAAGAAGGAGGATAAGCGGGGAGACGAATTAAGTATCTTGTTAACTTCATCATGTGTGACTGTTTACTGGATATTTAATTTAATGCAGTTTCAGCTGTGTTAATTTGGTCAGGTGGAGTGTCCAAACCCGTGCCAGACGCGCTCATCAAATCAGATATAGATCAGAATATATCAATATAGATCTACATGTACAGTGAGTCCAAGAAGTATTTGATCCCTTGCTGATTTTCTTCGTTTGCCCACTAATAAAGATGTGATCATTCTGCACATTTAATGGTAGATGCATTCTAACATGGAGAGACAGAATATCAAAAAGAAAATCCTGAAAAAAATCTAAGGAATATATATTAATTGATTTGTATTTCATTGAGGGAAATAAGTATTTGATCCCTCAGTATGCATTAGGAGTTCTGCCTTTCACAGACCAGTTAGACACTCCCAATCAGCTTGTTACCTGAACTGAAGCCACCTGTTCTCACTAATCACTTGTGTGAAAAACACCTGTTCACAGAATCAGACAATCTGACAGATTTCAAGTCTCCAACATGGGTAAGACCAAAGAGCTGTTTCAGGACCTCAGAGTCAGGATTGTTGACCTCCACAAAGCTGGAATGGGCTACAAAAAGATTAGCAAGGTGTTGGATGTGAAAGTAACAACTATTGGTGCAATTGTTAGAAAATTTAAAGAGTATAACATGACCATCAACAGACCTCGGCCCGGTGCTCCAAAGAAGATTTCACCTCGTGGGGTGACAATGCTCCTGAGAACGGTCAGAAATCATCCTGCAACCACTCGTCAGGAGTTGGTAAATGACCTGAAGGCAGCTGGGACCACAGTTTGCAAGGAAACAATTGGCAACACTTTGCGCAACAATGGATTAACATCCTGCAGTGCCCGAAAGGTACCCCTGCTCAAGAAGGCACATGTGGAGGTAGTGCTGGGCGATTGGACGATAGATATCGTGGGCACGATAGAAAATGTCTATCGTGCCATTTTTATTTTTATCGTTTCGGGCGATAGACTGTATTTTATCCATAGGGCTTGTGCCATCAGATGATTCATAGTAACAACAACAATAATTGCACATTCAGTAAGTGTATTTGGTGTCAAACGGGAAAGAAAACAATATTTCCTTACAAAGAAAAGGATGCGTTGACAAGTAGGCTCGCATTTCTCTTTCGATTTTGCGACATGACACCGCTTTACGTGCCCTCTTTGTGTCCAGCGTCTCCCGCCGTTGCGGGTTACCTGGGTTACACACGTGAGGGGATCATTGTAAGCAGTGCTTAATTTGTGCCGGAGCAAGTCGGAGCGCGATCCGGGACCTCTTTTGATCGGATCCGGGACCTATTTCAGCCGCTCCGGCACCTATTTTATGTGCTCCGGGACCTTCCCTGTAGAGGATGACATTTTTCGGGGATTCCCCGTGGGTCACGTGATTCCCGCGGGATGGGAGTCATTTTTTAATTAATCCCTTGATCGGGACAGGACGGGGAAAAAAAGCAACGGGAGTGGGCAGGAGCGGGAACAACATTAAAAGATGATCATTTTCTGCCGTGTTTAACAACCAGATGACCAGGTGCGTCCATTTTTGTAGTCATCTCTCAGTGAGAGCTAACACTCTTGACCGCGCTAGCAACACAAAAGAACTACAACAGTGGTTTGACTTCCTGTCAGCTGGGAGCGCGGCTGCGCATTTCTACCCTTCAAGCCAGCAGCGAGGAAACGTAATTTTGTGACATTCTGTAGTTTTTCAATCATTTCTGGAGTCGTGGCGAATCAAATCACCTTACCTGTCTGCCCCTGATAGGCGAATAAAGCGCTCGGATTCATGCTCGGGTCTTCCCACGTGCTTCAAGAGTAAAGTAAACAATGATGGAGGCATAGAGCAGCTTTGGAGGAGAAACATCTAGCAGTGTGAACAACCTCTTCAAAAGAGCCCTAAAGACCTACCTTTTTAATAAAGTCTTTGGTTAGTTTTCCTCTATGCTTTTACTACCTTGCCTCTTACATTGCAACTCTATATTTTTTATTTTTTTAATTCTTTTTTTATGCCAATCTGTGACTGTCATTCTATTGCTTTTTTTTATTGTTGCTGCTCTTTTTTTACTGTGTACTGTAGCACTTTGAGATTTTTTGTAAATGTAAAGTGCATTACAAATTAAATTTATTATTATTATTATTATTATTATTATTATGGAGTCCTTTGGCTCACACTCAGCGTTTTCTGTGAGTGTTGCATAACTTTGGGTGAGCACAGACATGAACGCACTTCAGCCACGTATTTATTTATTCATTTTTCTAGTTTTAAGTGCTGGTCTTGTACAGGTACTAGTGCAGCTGTATACACTTAAATTTTTCATAGAACTGAAAGCATACCATAGCTATATCGTGATATATATCGTTATCGTGATATAAAATGATCCATATCGTGATATACATTTTTTTCCATATCGCCCAGCACTATGTGGAGGCGCGCCTTAAGTATGCCAATGATCACCTGAAAGATGAACCAAGTTATTGGGAGAAGATTCTGTGGTCAGACGAGACCAAAATTGAACTTTTTGGCCTCAACTCTACCCGCTATGTGTGGAGGAAGAAAAATGCTGCCTATGACCCCAAGAACACTGTGCCCACCGTCAAGCATGGAGGTGGAAGCATAATGTTTTGGGGGTGTTTCTCTGCCAAGGGTACAGGGCTACTTCACCGCATCACTGGGAAGATGGATGGAGCCATGTACCGTACAATCCTGAGGGACAACCTCCTCCCCTCTGCCAGGAAGCTAAAAATGGGCCGTGGTTGGGTCTTCCAACATGATAACGACCCGAAACACACAGCAAAGGCAACAAAGGATTGGCTCAAGAAAAATCACATGAAGGTCATGGAGTGGCCCAGCCAGTCTCCGGACCTCAATCCGATTGAGAATCTATGGAGGGAGCTGAAGGTCAGAGTTGCCAAGCGACAGCCCACCAACCTTCCTGATTTAGAGAGGATCTGCAAAGAAGAGTGGGCCAAAATTCCCCCTGGTGTGTGTGCTAAACTTGTGGTTAACTACAACAAACGTCTCACTGCTGTGCTAGCTAACAAAGGCTTTGCCACTAAGTATTGAGTGTGTTTGGCTAGAGGGATCAAATACTTATTTCCCTCAATGAAATACAAATTAATTAAAATATATTCTTTAAAGTTATATTCTGGATTTTTGTCTTGATATTCTGTCTCTCCATGTTAGAATACAGCTACCATTAAACGTGCAGAATGATCACATCTTTATTAGTGGGCAAACGAAGAAAATCAGCAAGGGATCAAATACTTCTTGGACTCACTGTATGTGCTGACTCGAAATAAAACTACAGTGGTCTACTCCGTGTCGCTCCTTTTAAAACCTAACCTCGACCACGCAACGGACGTTGCCCCCTGTTTCGGCAGCAGCTCCTCTGTCTGCGTTGGCTCGTCTGCGTTTGATGCTCGAGAATTGTCATCTCTTTCGCCACAATCACCCGGCTCCTCCATGCTTGTGTTTTTCACAGTGGCAGTAGCGCGTGTCGGCATGCCATATATGGAGCGTCACGATGTAAAACACTGCCGTAAAGCGTGTTTTTGCGACACCGCGATAGAAAAGATAGAGCTCATGTATCCCGTTAGAAATTTTCTATCGTTTAGACGAAACATATTGTTATATCGTGAAGCCTTACTGTGCAGTGTGATGGCTGTTAGAAGCGCTGTGGTTCAGCCCTACCAATTTGACCCAGAGTCTGACCCAGAGAGAGAGGCTCCCAAAGACGGTCAAACTCTGCAGCTGCAACAGGACGTTTCTGAATGGTTAGTTACAAATATTATGTGTCTTTATATTTGTGTTTTTACTCAATGTGTTATGTTACACTGCTAGGTGGGTTAGCTCCTTTGACGCCTACGTCCATTTCTGAATGGTTGGTTACAAATATGTGTCTTTTATATTTTTGCTTTGTTAGTGTGTTATGTTACATTGCCAGGTGTGTTAGCTTATCTGAGGGCTCTGTCTCAGCTGTCTCGTCGTTACCTGGAGCTCTTTTGGTGAATACCCAATATTTTGAAAGTGGAATGTTATAGTTATCTCTCGTGACTAATGCCGTTTGGCGTCCGTCCGTCCAACTATAAAATAATTGGTTGGATTTGCTGCAACAATACCAGAGATTTTTGCTGTCATGTTAGGAACCATACCCTTTGGAAAACAGAGAAGGGGAACAGTGGAAACACAGTCACTGATTGGCCCGGTTATTTTCTGATTTCTAATACACGCTCCCAATTGGCCGAAGTTCAGACTGTTGTGGGAAGGAACGGCAAATGATTCACGTAACTGGATGGCCCAGGCAGGCTAATAATAAACCATCATAATCACAGTTTTAGTAGTTTTTAGTGGTTCAGCCCCGAAATTTGTGAACTGAGATGAAAATATGGTCATGCCCTTCTTTATCCAGTTGATGCAGAGATTGTTTCTATTGATGCCTTCATTAAGTCTCCACCCAACAGAGGCCTGGTGGTGGGAATCACATTCGTTAAGGTATTTTGAATATTTAAATTTCAAAGTCACATTGTGTGCATACTTTAAAAGCAGCTTAAATAATTGTAAACAGTAAACGAAACAATTTTCTGTCTGTTTATTCTGCAGGACTCTGGTGACAAAGCCACACCGTTTCTGAATATCTACTGCGACTATGAGCCTGGCTCAGAGTTCAACCTGGACTCCATTGCCCGTCAGTAAAGCGGAGTTTGATGTTTACAGCGCTGCCTCCCTCAATCACACTAAACACACTGATGTTTGTTTCTTCCCCTAAACAGAGAGCTGCCTCAACCTGGAGCTGCAGTTCACCCCCTTCCAGCTTTACCATACAGAGTGAGTGCGCCTAACAGCTTTGATGGACCCTTAAAGCTATGGTCTACAATTTGAAAACCAGTTTGGCTGTTGAGACAGATTTGAAAAACGCAGCCTGCCTCCCCCTTCACTCACCCCTCCCCTCCGTGTTCCAAGATCCCGCCCCCCCCAGCTCGTGTCGCCTCCTAACAACACGCCCCCTCCAATAGAGCAAGAGGCCGGCCAGCAGAAAATATCAGCAGTGGTACACAGTAGTAGCCATTTCAATTGGACTGGCGCGATCAAAACCATATATTAGCGGGGCGGAGCAGGTCTGGCGTCGCCACTGCTAGCCGGTCAGAGCAAAGCCGATTGTGGGCGAGGCTTTGCCTTTCTCGGCGTGTCTTCACCAGCCCAGTTTACAATGCTAAAGATGCGTGGCTAACTTATGCTAAAATCTATTGACTAGGCCTGCACGATATATCGTTTGAACATCGTCATCGCGATGTACGTGTGTGCGATAGTCACATCGCAGAGCCTGCGATATTGGAGGTGAATGAACTCATTTAATTTCAAGGGTAACTAACTGAGATACACTCCATGTGACTCTGCATGTGCTGTGCAGCGATCCACCAATCACCTACGTCCTTAACTCAGTTGCCAATCAGACTAAGTTCTCAGTTGCCAATCAGACTACCCTGCCAGCTGTCAATCAAAATCAGGGAGGAGGAAACCCACCCCTGCACATGTTCTGCACATGGAGGGAGACGTGTGTCCGCTGAGAATTACTTTCGGAACTTTACTCATGACAATTAATCCCAACAAATAAGAACTGTATGGGTTTTAAATTGTACATTTCCGTGGACCACTCTACTATAAGCGGCGCGCGTTTTGCGAGGTGCATGCAATTCTCGGAGGACATGCGTTTCTCGGCACAACACCGCTAACAACAACAACAACAACGATCGCAAAACGAACAACGAACAAGCGAAAACCACCGAAAATGAAGACTTGTTGCCAAAAAGAGAAGGAAACTCAGTTATCTGGAATTATTTCGGTTAAAAGAAGGATGATGGCGACCAAAACACGTGTTCTGTGTTCATCTGTCGCCACAATAACGTCCCAGCACAATAAAAGCTAAAAAGATCTCTGAGACAGACAGAAGCCATTCTAACATTCACAAAAAGAGGTAAGATCAGTGCAGGTTAACTGTCCTCAAGATTTCAGCAGTGCAGTATAACATTAAGTGCTATTCAGGTCATCTGGTGAAAATTCCTGTATTTTTAATATCGCAATATATATCGCAGGGTTGAAAAAAATCGCAATATTAGTTTTTTCCAATATCGTGCAGCCTTACTATTGACAGAGCCTACCCATTCCAACCAACAACGTTGCGTCATTAGCCAGTGTATGCACACCAGAGTTATTCAGCAGACATCTCCCACTGTAGTAAACAAAGTAATTACCTGTCCAACAGAAATTCGGCTGTCTCAGCATCAGTTTTCAGTCCCAAATCCTTCTGCAGCTTTTTCCACCGGTTGTACGTTTCTCCAATGTAGACTCTCCGTTGGCACCTGTATCGCTCATATTTCTTCCTTACTTCAGCCTTTTCCTCGAAACTTTTACGTTTCCTTCCCTTCGATGTGGAGGGTGACAGAAGTGGCCTCTTGATTTCGGTGTTTGTCTCCATTACGCTTCAGCAGCTGTGCAGCTCGCTAATCACATGTACGTGAGGGGGTAGTGGGGAGGAGGCGGGACCATGGGCTGGACGGTACGGAGCAGGGGAGACAGGGGAGTGGACTGATTTACGGACGGTTCTTTTTGATCTTTATATTGCGTAGATCGGACCATAGGACCATAACGGCCTTAAAAACTATGTTAAGTACCAAGCTTCCAAATGGTAGACCATAGCTTTAAGATAACTCTGAGTGTTTTCACAGTCTCTTTTAAAAGAACCAAAGTCAGTCCTCTTTAAGTGGATGGAAAGTCACATTGTGAGTTAGTTTCAAAGAGGAGCGGGTTCTCTTTCTGGTCCAGTTCAATTTTGATGTTGCCTCAGTCCTCTCTCCGTTCACACTAGGTCTTCAGGAGCATTTGGTCATGAGTGCCAAGGTACTTCTAAGTTGTTTTTTTTACTTTAACTCTGCACTGCACAGATGTTCAATTATATCCGGCTGCTCCCATCCTCTCTGAAATTTCTTGAAAGACTTCAACAATATGGTGGGTCGAATATAGTTGTGGTTTTGTGCTCTCGTAATTCCAAGTTTCCAAAAGACATTCAATTTTGTCTTCTTCCCAAAGTACGCCGTGTCCAGGTATTGTAGCAGAGTCTTGAAGGCCATACTTTGGATTTGGTGTTCTTTCTTTTCTCTACCATTCTAAGTAATCCCGGCTGCAGTCACGTGACCAATCTACGGCAAGCAGGAAGGGTTATAAATTATAATGCAGTGCAAAAAGCGAAGTGAACCCGTCGTGCTTTGTGTTCACAGGTGCAGATTAGGTGAACGATACCACAGACTTTCTGTGGTATCTGTGCTATACCCGAAAGCCTTCTTTCCCATTTCAGTTTGGACTCTGGGGACAACGAACTGTATAAATCTCAATGATCTCAGGTTGTGTAATCCGTCCTTTAAGATCAATAAGGAGGAGAAGTAGTCTGGAATTTTTCCAAGAATGCCTTTGTAAATGAAAACGTACTAATGACCAAGCTGACGAGTACTTAAAGAAGTCTAACTGACTTTGGAGTATAAAATACAGTGATGAGTTAAAAATCCACAATTTGTTATAAATCTCAGAGCTCCATGGTAAATACTGTCCAACATTTACAAACTCTGGGCAGAGGCATTCATGTATAAAACATCACCATAATCAAGAAGAGGTAAGAATGTAGACTCCACAAGTCTCTTTTTAACGTTAAAAGAGAAACAGGACTTGTTTCTATAGTAAAAGCCTAGTAAAACTTTCAGCTTTCCAACAACCTGCTGAATATGTTCTTTAAAAGACAAGTTTTCATCCAGCAAAAAACCCAGGTACTTAAAAGAAGACACAAGCTCAATTTCTTGACCGTCATTATTAACAATTTTCTCTGACAGTGTTTCTTGTGATGCTCTTGAAGATGAAAACAACACAAGTTTAGTTTTCTCCGCATGAAGCACAAGTTGCAGCTGCCTAAGCTGATCTTGGACCAAATTGAAAGCATGCTGAAGATTTACAAAAGCCAGCGCAGGTGTTGGTGCACAGCAATAAATGAATGACTGTATCATCTGCATAGAAATGAAAGTTTGCATTTGGAACATTTTGTCCCAGGCAGTTGATATATATTGTAAATAAGAGCGGTCCCAGAACTGAACCTTGAGGCACACCCTTGTGAATTTGAAGTACCTCTGACAAGAGGCCATCTGACTGAACAGCCTGGGTTCTGTCAAAGAGATAATTCGCAAACCACCCGACTGCTTGTTCTGAGAACCCAGAAGCTCTAAGATGGTCTAATAAAATACAGGGATCCACGGTGTCAAAAGTCAGAAAGACAACACTGCTTGTTGTCTAAGGCCTCTAGGATAACATTCACTACCTTCATTGCAGCAGTTGTAGTGCTGTGGTTCTTCCTACAGCCGGACTGAAATTGAGACAGAATAGAGTAACAGGCCAGGAACTCTTTCACCTGGTCACTGACCAATGTCTCAAGCACTTTAGATAATACAGACAGTTTAGATATTGGTCTGTAGTCTAAAAGTGTTGAGTCACCTCCTTTGAAAAGGGGGACCTCAAAGGTTGATTTCCAAACCTCTGGGATTCTATTACTTCTCAAAGTGAGGTTAAAAATGTGAGAAAGTGGTTCCGCAATAAAATCCGGGGTAAACTTTAAAAACAGGGGTTCCAAAAATGTCTGGAACAGCTGGTTTGCGGGGGTTCAGATTTTTAGAGCTATGAAAACATCAGAAATTTTAAAAGGAGCAAAGTTAAAACATGGATTTCACAATTGTGTCCTCCTTAATTGTGGACACCAATTGGGAAGTATCCTGTTCAAATGAAAATCCTGCGGATATAAAATGGTTATTAAAAACATTCAGAATATTTTATTTGTTTGACATTCTGTGGCCATCGGTTAAAATATTAACTGGGAGGTTAGCAGTTTTACAATTTGGGGACATGGATTTTATTGTGCTCAAGAACTTCTTTGGGTTGTTAAGATTTATCGGTTGTTAAAGACGAGTAATACTCAGCCTTGGTCTTGCGAACTGAGGATGTAAACTTGTTTCTCAGCTGTCTTAAAGAGAGCCAATCAGAGTCCTTCTGCGCTCTGGCCCAGGCAGAGTTACGCTCATGAAAGAGTTCTGATAAGTCACTTGAGAACCATGGGTCCTCACGCCCTTTGACTCTAAATCTGCGAATAGGTGCATGTTTGTCAACAATTTTTATAAAAGCAGAATGAAAATAATTTCAGAAAAGTTCAACATCATCGAAGATGGCAACTCTGTCCCAGCGAAAACTACAAAGATCATAAATAAAAGCCTGTTCAACAAAAATTTTCATATTTTTTATTCATATAGCATTTTCATTAAAACGAGGGATACTTTTCGGTATCCTCGTGTCTCGAATAACCCCTATCACACAATGATCACTGATATCATTGGGAAAGACACAGGAAGAAGTACATTTACAGGGCTTATTTGTTAAAACCAAATCAATCGATGTAGATTTCGGTGGGCACTTTAAGTTTGGCCTTGTCGGAGACTGAATTAACTGAGTCAGATTTAAAACATCACACGTCCTTGATGCTTGCTGTCAGCTCGTCTTTGTTTTTGGGTCTGGTGTCCCTCATTTTCCTCTTGATAATACCCCATAGAATCTCAATGGGGTTTAGGTCTGGCGAGTTGGCTGGCCAGTCAAGCACTGTGATGGCATGGGCATCAAACCATGTTTTGATGCTTCTGGCGGTATGGGTAGGGGCCAGGTCCTGCTGGAAGATCAAATAAGAATAAGAAGAACTTTATTCTTCTTTTTATTCTGAATAAGAATAAGAAGAATAAAGTTTGTGGCTGAGCGCCCTTAGAGTGGCAGCAAGTCACAGCAGCTCCTCACAGTGCTTACGTTTTTGCCTTTTTATTGTTGTTTTTTGCACCTGATTTGTCTTTCTTTTTATTAAGCGGTGTTGTGTTTTGCATATTCCAACCATGGGTGTGCATTTCATGACTCTAGCACTTTGTTTTCTTCTAATTTTGGGAGTTTTTAAGTCCGCGTCTGGTGACCCGTTCAGTGGCTCTATTGTTTACAGCCATGAACAGCTGTTGGCGCTGCGCCAAGCCTGGCCACCTTCGTGGGAGAAACCTGACATCCCCGCCAAGCTCTGCAGGAGAAGGAGAGGATGCAGAGCAGGAGCTTAGCATCGGGCAAAGCGGAGATGTTTTAAGCCAACTGTCCCGTCCATCTTCATGGGAAACGTGAGGTCTCTCCCCAACAAGATGGAAGAGCTCACAGCGCTGACTCGGCTGCAGTGGGAGTACCGGGAGTGCAGCCTCATGATGTTCACAGAGTCATGGCTGAACAAACTCACTACGGACCCGCTCGTAACTTAGAATGGATTTCATCTCGTCAGAGCAGACCGGAGCATGAGGGAGAGTGGTAAGAAGAAAGGAGGCGGTATAGCGGTGTATGTGAATGAGAGATGGTGTAATTCTGGGCACGTCAGTGTTAAAGAGCAGCGCTGCTCTAAGGACATTGAGCTGCTGGCTGTGAGTTTGCGGCTATATTACCTGCCGAGGGAGTTTTCGCACGTTATCGCGTTAACTGTTTACATCCCCCCCTTGGCTGATGCTGCTGCAGCATGGGAACTCCTCCATAGTGAAGTGTCCAAGCTACAAACATCACACCCTCAGTCTCTGATCATTATCTCTGGAGACTTAAGTCATGCATAGCTCTCCTCCAATCTCCCTACCTTCAGCCAGTATGTGGAATGCTCAACAAGAGACAATAAAACTTTGCACTTACTGTATGCAAACACCAAGGATGCATACACCTCCACCCCTCTCCCCCCGCTGGGCCGCTCAGATCACAACCTGGTGAGACTGCAGCCCATTTACATACCTATGGTGAAGAAACAAGCCCCCCCATCAGGTATGTTAAGAGGTGGTCTGAGGAGGCCACTGAGACGCTGCAGGACTGTTTTGAGACCACAGACTGGGATGTACTGTGCGGCCCACATGGTGATGACATTGACACCATGACAGATTGTATCACGGACTATATAAACTTATGTGTTGAGAACACCGTACCCACCAGGAAAGTACGGTGTTTCTCCAACAGCAAACCTTGGGTGACCCCGGAACTTAAAGTCCTCCTGAAGGAGAAGAGGAGGGTCTTTAAACCTAGGGACAAGGAGGAGCTGAGGAGGGTGCAGAAGGAGCTGAAGAAGAAGATCAGAGAGGGGAAGGCCAGCTACAAGACCAAGATGGAAAACCTTCTGCAACAGAACAACGCAGGGGAGGTCTGGAGAGGCCTGAAATCCATCTCAGGTTATTGCAGGGGCCACGAGAGGGGACCTGAAGCAGGAGACAGGGAGTGGGCCAACAAGCTGAATCTGTTCTTCAATAGATTTGACTCTGCTTCCACTCCTCCCCCGACTCATCAAACCAACAACCCGTCTGCTGCTTCTTCTTCACACCACCTCAGTTCCATGGCACCGGCATCATCAACCCCCCTCCACTCACCCTTCACCACCCCCTCCAGCACCACCCCCAGCCTCTCCATAACAGCTGACCAGGTGCGAAGTGAGCTGAGGAAGATGAAGCCAAGGAAGGCCACGGGTCCTGACGGCATCAGCTCCAGACTCCTGAAGGACTGTGCAGACCAGCTCTGTGAGGTGCTACTGCACATCTTCAGCTTGAGCCTGAGTCTGGAGAGGGTTCCAGCACTGTGGAAGACTTCCTGCATGATTCCTGTCCCCAAGACAGCACACCCCAGGGAGCCCAACCACTTCAGACGTATGGCCCTCATTTCTCACCTGATGAAGACTCTGGAGAGGATTGTGCTGAGGAGCCTCCGCCTCCTGGTGAGCTCCCATCTGGATCCTCTGCAGTTTGCGTACCAGCCGAACATCGGAGTGGATGACGCTGTCATCTACCTGCTGCAGAGGTCCATGGCTCACTTGGAGAACAGCGGCAGCACTGTGAGGGTCGTGTTTTTTGACTTCTCCAGTGCTTTCAACACCATCCAGCCTTCACTGCTCAGGGGGAAGCTCGAGAAGGCGGGAGTGGACTGTCACCTAGCCGCATGGACCGTGGACTACCTCATCGACAGACCACACTTTGTGGGGCTTCAGAACTGTGTGTCGGACATGGTGGTCTGAAGCACGGGGGCTCCACAGGGGACAGTGCTCTCCCCCTTCCTCTGTACCCTGTACACCTCGGACTTCAGCTATAACTCTGGGAGCTGTCACCTCCAGAAGTTCTCTGATGACACAGCCTCGTCGGATGTGTATCGTCAGGGGATGAGCGGGAATACAGGACTGTCATCAGTGACTTTGTCAACTGGTGTGGCACAAACCACCTCCAGCTCAACGCCAGTAAGACAAAGGAGATGGTCGTGGATTTCCGCAGGAGGAGGACACCTCAGACTGTTCCAGTGAACATCCAGGGTCTGGACATCGAGATGGTGGAGTCCTATAGATTCCTGGGTGTCCACCTCAACAATAAAATGGACTGGTCAACCAACACAGACGTCCTGTACAAGAAGGGCCAAAGTCGTCTCCACCTGCTGAGGAGTTTGAGGTCCTTTGGAGTGTGTAGGACTCTGCTCAGGACTTTCTATGACTCTGTGGTAGCATCTGCACTTTTCTATGCAGTGGTCTGCTGGGGGGCAGGGAGCACCGAGAGGGACAGGAAGAGACTGAACAGACTGGTCAGGAGGGCCAGTTCTGTCCTGGACTGTTCTTTAGACTCTCTGAAGGAGATGGGTGAGAGGAGGATGTTAGCAAAGCTTGTATCCATCATGGACAATCCCTATCACCCACTGCACCAGACTGTGGGGGCCTTAAGCAGCTCCTTCAGCAGCAGACTTAGACTCCCACCTTGCAAGACGGAGCGCTACCGCAGGTCATTCCTCCCTTCTGCAATAAGACTTTACAACGAACTGCAATGAAACTGAACTCACACCACCACTTTTTTTTTCTGGCATTTAAATTGTGTATATTGTATATAGTTTTATTTTTCTTCTCCCTTTTTCCTTTTTCTAAACTTTTTCTTAATTATTACATTTATTTAAGTTCTTAATAGTAAGATCTTTATTTTTATAATTGCATTTTTGCACTCTTTGTCAGTGATGCTACTCTGACAAAAAAATTTCCCCCATGGGGGATCAATAAAGGAATGTTCTATTCTGTTCTATTTTATTCTATTCTATTCTATTCTATTAATCACCCAAGGGAAATTCAATTGTCTGTTGTCTCACATAATATGTCTCTAAAAGTTATCTACTATTTGCACAAGAGTTATAAAGCCTGATGGCTGTTGGTACAAAAGATCTTCTGAATCTTTCTGTCTTGCAGCAAAGAGAGAGGAGCTGTCCACCACCAATTATTATCTGGATAATAAGTTGGACTAGTCTAAGAATACAGACTTCATCTACTGAAAGGGGCAGAGCCACCTCTTTTGCCTGAAAAGACTCCGATCAATAGACATCTGTAGTAAGATGACGTGCAGATGTTTTATCAGTCTGTAATAGCAAGTGTTCTGTTCTACGCTGCAGTCTGCTGGGGAGGAAGCATCAAACACAAAGATGCAAGACGTCAGAACAAACTGGTGAAAAAGGCTGGCACTGTGGTTGGACTCAAGCTGGACTCAGTGGAGGATGTGGTGGAGAGACCTACACTGAGGAAGGTGGAGACTATTCTGAAGAACATGGATTGCCCACTTCACAACACCTTGATGGACCAAAGGGCCAATGGTGGTGGACGGCTCCTCTCTCTTCACTGCAGGACAGAAAGATTCAGAAGATCTTTTGTACCAACAGCCATCAGACTTTATAAGTCTTGTGTAAATAGCAGATAACTTTTACAGACATATTGTGTGAGACAACAGACATTTGGATTTCCTTTCGGAGATTAATAAAGTCCTTCTTATTCTTATTCTTATTCTTAGCTATTAGTTAAAGATGACATTTTGTAATATAATGATATCGCTGTGTTTTGTTATGTTTGTGTAGTCAACATTTTAAATTTTTTGAGAGGCCCACTCTTTCTGACTCAAAACAAAGCCATTCTCCGCCTCCGCCAACCTGATTGGTTGTGAGGCGGATGCTGCTCCTTTGTGCTGATTGGTTGTGAGGCAGACGCTGCTCCCTCGTGTTGTGAGGCACGCTCCACGATCTCCAATAACATGCACAAGCCCAAACAAAGTTTGCGTGCTATAACATCGTACAGTAGAAACCAACCAGAACGTAGTGCAAACACAAGCAATAAAAGGAAGTAAATACCGGAGACTCTGGCGCAATAACGGGCGCTTAAAACGGAGGTAGACTTAACGAGCTAAAAAGCCGGGTCAACATAAGCATAAACGATGGGGGATGCATGGGGATCTTACGGACCCTGTAACCTTTCTGCTGGACAGGTAAACTGCTTTAACAAAGTAAGCCAAGGGTCTGTAACAGAAGTGTTTCTTGTCAAACGGGACCTGCTGTAGCCTGTTTTAGCGCCGCTAAACTGTTGACTTTGGGTCCTGGACTATGTCACTTTATCCTAGTTGTAGAAGTCCTGCAAACATGGTGTTTGCTGGTAGTCTGTTGGCATCTACAGTAGCTCTGTGGCTTAGCTTTTCTTGAAGATGAAGTATTTTCTTCAGCTCTTGTGGAAGCGGGCCGTGTGAGCTGGGATGCTCTCTGGCCTGTGTTGTCTTTGATTGTGGTCTGAGTCCTTCCACGTGAACAGAGCCTGAACTGGATGGTGTTAGTCTCTGATAATGTTGTGTGTTTCTTTCCGAAGCGTTGTGTATCCATGAAAGGGAGGAGGCCAGAACCAGTAATTTTCCCATCAGCCTTGATGACTTGAAGTGATTTCCAGGGTTATGCTTTCAAACTACACACAGTTATTATATTATTTGGGTTATATTTTAGTTTGTTCACTGTGTTTAGCCAATGCTACAGCTCTTTTTATGGCTCCTCACCTATGTGCAGGGTAGGGCTGTGCAGGTACACAAACATGCACACCAGTGGGTGCACACAGGTTAACTCCACTGTAGACCACACTGAACTAAAACTTTTTTTTACAGATCCACATTTACGACAAGACAAACAAACGAGGGGCTATTTCAGCTTCTGTTATTTATGACCCAATGAGAGGCTTGATATGTATTATTTTAGAGATAATGCTTACAGACTCGCAGCACAAATCTGAACAGAGGTAAAAAAAAATAATTTAAACTTGGCATGTTTGAAGTGATTATTTAAGGAAGTCACTGAAATCAATGTTTTATTACCCTATATAACAAACCATGCATGTTGTGTATGTGGTGCACTACTATGTGGAAACCTGAGAGACAAGACAGTTGTTCAGAGAAGCTGTGCAGCAGTATTACATCATGAATCATAGTGACATTTTCCAACAGCCCTGTTTAATATGCTGCTCTGAACAGTTTAAGCTGTTTCCACTCCTGCTACCTCCTCTGTGAGGCTCCAGTGAAGTGTTTCTGCTGATTTAAAGTCTGGCAACAGCTTTCACATGATAGACAATAAATGTCATCAATCTTTTCCTCCTCACTCAGAGTTCAGTGTCATGATGGCGGCAGAGAGACAGTTTTTCTGCTGAGCGGACACGACCAGAGAATCCACCTGTACAAAGAGGTCAGATCAGAGAACACCATATCATAAATGATTCAGCTTTATGTTCATATGTGGATGAATACTAATATTTTATCCCCTTCATTTTATCTTTTCAACTGTGTGAAATGTTATGCAGGTGCATTTCTCCTGCAATTACAAGTTTTACTTATAAATATAAGTAAAAGCAATCAATAAATAAAAGCAATCAAATTGCTTTTAAACCATTTCTTTTCTCATACCTATCCTCAGTTGAAAAATGAAAACAGAGACGTAAAAAAAATCTAATTAGAATTTTCAATATCACATTACCTTTAAAGATTAGGAGTTGTCTTTGTTTTGTCTTCTTGACTTCTGTTTAAAAGCTCATCTGAAGTTTTACAAACTTACTCAGTTGATAAAGTTTGTCTGCTTTTTTTAATGGAAATACAGGTGAAACTCAAAAAATTAGAATATCGTGGTAAAGTACATTCATATCAGCAATTCAACTTCAAATGTGAAACTCATATGTGATATCAACTCATTACATGCAAAGTGAGATATGTCAAGCCTTTATTTGTTTTAATCTTGATGATCATGGCTTACAGTTTTTGAAAACCCCAAATTCCAAATCTTAGAAAATTAGAAAAGGTTCAATACTGTAGGCTCAAAGTGTCACACGCTCCTCAGCTAATTAATCCAAAACACCTGTGAAGGGTTCCTGAGCCATTAAATGATCTCTAAAGGTCCTTACACACCAGGCGCAAATTCGCCAAGCGAATTATTCGCCTTTTTTTAAAACAGCTTAAAGTCAATGCAAGCTTCAACACCGGCGGCGATTTTTCCGCGGGGCGAAAAGCATCTTTTATTTTTTCGCTCTTGTGTCGAATTTTTGGGATATTCGCAGGCGAATATCTGGACCTGCTAGACCTCTGGCCAATCAAAAGTCATGTTGTTGATGACGTCACAGACCCATACGGCTGGAGGAGCGGGAGAAGTTTGAGATTATGAAAACGCAGAGAAAGACAGCTGAGGTGCATCCAAAACTCTTTCTAATTACTAATGAAGTAGTTTTCTCACAAGATGACACTCTCTTGTCTCCCTTAGGAGACAGATGTCATGCACACTTCACAGGGTGACCGCCTCATCATGCCTGATTCTCCCTCTTAGCTGTTTGACATACCGATGATCTGCAGCTACAGGGCCAACAGAATGACCAGACAACTTGAAGGATTACTGCTCAGCCCTCGCCTCTCCTGGCTGCTGCGGCGTCTCTCACAGCTTTTCCTCCTCTTTCTCCCTCGCTCATAATGCTAGACATGTCAATCAGCAGCCGTTCTCACAGCACACACCACCACTGGCACCAAAAGCAACGATGGGAGAGAGGCTGGTAATTGCGGTACAGGACCACCCCGCATCTCCTCTCCTCCGTGCCGCAAAGCGACTTTATTAATTCGCTTTGCGAAATGTATATGCATATTCGCTTCGCGCCCGGTGTGTATAGGCGAAAGCGATTTTTCGGACTGGCGAATATTTTCGCATTTTCGTCTCGCTTTTTCGCTTCGCTCCGCAAATTCGCTGGTGTGTAAGGACCTTAAGTCTGGTTCAGTAGATTCACAATCATGGGGAAGACTGCTGACCTGACAGTTGTGCAAAAAACCATCATTGACCCCCTCCACAAGGAGGGAAAGCCTCACATGGTAATTTTAAAAGAAGTTGGATGTTCTCAAAGTGCTGTATCAAAGCACATTAATAGAAGGTTAGCTAGAAGGGAAAAGTGTGGAAGAAAAAGGTGCACATGCTGCAAGGATGAACAGAGTCTGGAGAAGGTTGTCAGGAAAAGGCCATTCAAAAGTGTGGGGGAACTTCACAAGGAGTGGACCGAGGCTGGAGTTCGTACATCAAGAGCCACCACACACAGAGGGATCCTGGAAATGGGCTTCAAATGTTGTATTCCTCTTACTAAGCCGCTCCTGAACAAACAACATCAGAAGCGTTTTACCTGGACTAAAGAAAAAAGAACTGGTCTGTTGCTCAGTGGTCCAAAGTCCTCTTTTTCGATGAGAACAAATATTGCATTTTATTTGGAAACCAAGGTCCCAGGGTGTGGAGGAAGAATGGAGAAGCACACAATCCAAGATGCTTGAAGTCCAGTGTGAAGTTTCCTCAGTCCATGTTAGTTTGGGGAGCCATGTCGTCTGCTTGTCCACTGTGTCCAGAGTCAACACAGCTGTCTATCAGGAGATTTTTGAACACCAAATGGTTCCTTCAGCAGACAAGCTTTATGGAGGTGCTGACTTCATTTTCCAACAGTACATGTCACACACCCAAACAGCCGTAAGTACCAAAACCTGGTTAAATGACCATTGGATAACTATGCTTGATTGCCACGCTGCATTGAGGCAGTAATTCATGCAAAAGGGGCCCAAACAGAGTACTAAGTACATATGCAAGATTAGACTTTTCAGAGGGCCAGTATTTCTCTATTTAAAAGCCCCTTTCTATTAATTGTATGTAATATTCTAATTTTCTGAGGTTTTCAATTCGAGGTTTATATAAGCTGTAAGCCATAACCATCAAAATTCTATCAAATGAAGGCTTGAAAAATCTTGAGTTGCATGTTATGAGCCTGTGTCATATATTCATTTCATCTTGTAAATCTAATTGCTGGAGTAAACGAACTTTGCACAACATTCTAATTTTTTTAGTTTCACTTGTATAAATATCAACTGTTTGCAACTGTTTTTCTGCCAAATAAAAGACTGATGGGTGAAGTTTAAAGCTTGTTAGAAACAAAAAACATGATGGTAATGAGTTTTTAATATCTTTGGGAAACTTTCATTTTGATTAATTTCACATCAGAGTCGCATTTTCTCTGTTTTTTTTTTCAACAGAACGCCTCTCTGCACCAGTTTGAAGAGCAGCCAGTCGAGAAACTCTTCCCTGAGCTTCAGCACTTACCAAGCAAGTAAGTCTGATTCCCTCTGGCTCTTTTGGCTTTGTATTTATTATTATATGGTACAACCCATTTTCAAAGAAAGCTGGAAGGCTGGATAAAATGTTGGTTAAAACAGGATTTGATAATTGCAGATAATGAAAAGCCTGTACTCAATTGATCGTAGCGCAATGGTAACATATCAAATGTTGAAACTGAACACTAACTACAAGTTTCAAAAAAGTTTGGATGGATGTTTGTCAACTTTTAAAAACACTAAGCAAATGTTTGGGAACTCTGAAGACCAGTTTCTGTTTCCCTGAAAAAGTCATTTTCAGGGAAGCAGATGTTGCTCCTAAACCTGTAGATATTGTTCTGCATTAGTGGTGCCTTTACAGATGTAAAAGATACCCATGGTATGGAGTCTGATGATCTCTAAACCATTAGGGATGCTAGAATTGAACTGTTCGCTATGAACAAGCTGAATGGTCTCTCTCCTCTTTAGAGTTAGAGATGTACAGTCCGCGATTTTCAAAGGAGTGCCAAACGGCAGTTTTCCTTTGCTATTCAGTTCATCTTAACTGAATTTATAAACATTTTCCTCTCTAAATTATACTGTTTAAACCTCATTTGTGGATGCAGCAACAAACCCTGTATGTACAGTGTACAGTGTATTTTTTAGGTGATTTCCACCACAGAGTCCCGTCTGTTTTTAATATAGTGCTGCCTGAGATTCTCAGATTTCTCCAGATTCTATGAATCTTTTAATGGTTTTGTAAGTCAGATCACAATGGTTAAGGTTGTATGCCCTATTTTACTGTTATGTGTTACGTGTTGTAGAATATAGCAGGTGATTGGTTCGTGAGAGTCCCATGCACACGCATGAGGACATAGCGAGATTCGCGCTATATGTGTGTTCAGTTTATCGTTGGATGTTGAAGGGTTCTCACTGCTCATTGCATGGACATGCTAGTTAGCTGTCTGTGCCCGAGTCAGAGGCCCTAACCCAACTAAAAATGTATTTCCTGTATCTGTTGTACTTATAAATCTGTACTTACCAGCTTAAGTTTAGTAAAAGTTGCAAACGAAGAGTCTTTATTGTGCCAAGTGCTTTCAACCTACACACGTAGGATCACAAATCATCATCAAGGTCAGAGCACAAAAATATGTGCTCTCTTGGTGGAGCAGCTCACCCACCGCTTTGGAAGAAAGGACCCTATAGTTACGCAACCAACTTGCAACAGATGCTTTCCTGAAGGGTCTAAGAAACCAAAAGGTGGCCTATGAAGTCATGAACAGAGATCCATGCTCCCTTGCAGAGCCTCAGCAGAGTGTAGAAGCCCAGGAACGTAACTTCAGAGCCACTGTGAGGCGTGAGTCTAAAACAAAGAACAGAACTAGGCGTGCTTTTTGGGCCAGTAACGGTGACGCCTGCGTAGGCCTGGACGATATAGAAAAAAAGCATATCGATAAAAAATAAATCATATTGATCGATATCGATAATTATCGATATAATTATTATAATTATTTAACATATATTTTAATTGCAGCCCTGGATGTTTTATGCTATTGCTTAATGACCTACTTTTAATAAAGAACACATAAGCACTGAAATCAAATTCAAACCTTTATTCAACCACCTTTTTATTTTTTTTTTTACCACAACTGAAAGTTTTTTAAAAAAGAACTTAAAAAAAAAAAAAAATCAACTTAAGTGGCCTGAGTGACGTCAGTAAATACTGACAAACATAAAGACTAAAGTGACCAGAAAATCTGTTAAATAAATATTTAAATAGTCTTTTGATGAAAATAAACAAAACAAACAAATATATAAATAAACAGAATAGCTTTAGGTGGGAATAGCATACTACCAGTTTTAACTGTGTGAGAAACTGCCCACAGCCTGGTGTCTGAACACTGAAATATTTCTCCCGGGGTCGGGAGATTTATTTTTTTTAATTATCATGTGATTGACTTAATACGCAAACTGAGCACGAGAAGCAGGACTTATCCACGCCGGTGTTGTGTCGTAGAATGCACCCCTGCCGAACGCACCCCCTGCTAGTAGCCATGATCCAAATACTCGCGTCTTTATAAAATGTGAGCTCATTTTCTTCCACTTTAAGAAGCTAATGAGTGGACAGGATGCAGGGGTGCATTCTACAGCACAACACCGGAACGTATTTCCTCCGCACCCTTCTCAGCTTTTCAACCCCTGACCCGTTTTCATGCCTGAAGCGCTGTGTTTGAGAAATACTTGCGGCCGGGCACTTCATATCGCGGGTCAAGAGTGGCTAGAAGCTGGTCTAAGCCAGGCTTTTCAACGGTAGTTATTGGCAGTATGTCCCTCGCTATGGAGCATGTCACTGCATGGGTGATGTCCTTATGCCGCTTGGACGCTTTGTCGTATTTTGGCAAGAAACGAAGTCCAGTTTGGTCTGCTTCACTTGCTTTGTGCTGGCAGCGGTTCCAGAGGATTCCTCCGACGACGACGTGGAGTCGCGGCGCGGCCGACACAGCTCGTACTCCTGCGGGTGCGATCGGTTTAGATGGTAGAACAAGTTGGTTGTGTTACCAGACTTGGTTTTTACTAATTCTCTGCAAATTTTGCAAACGACCGCTGTTCGCTTTTTGTCAGACTTGTAAAAACCAAAACATTGCCATGCTGGTGAACTACTGAAACCTTTTTTCGGGACAATTTCCTCCGCTTCTCCTTGCTGTAACATTATTTCTAATACACGTGCTGTCTGTTGTGGTTTGAGAGGGGCTGGGCTTGGTGCCGTAGCGTACCTGGGTCTGCGTTTGTGATTGGTTGGGAGGAAGTAATGACTGTAGTAAAAGCTACATGATAGGCTATGATGAAAAAGAAAGGGAAACTGTGTTTTTCTATCGAACTTTTTATCGACCCGTTTTTTTTCTATCGCACCACACGTCTATCGATCGATATATATTGTTATCGAATTATCGTCCAGCACTACGCCTGCGAGGATATCACTGCTTCAGCTCGCAGGGTGCAGACTCCACAGTATGTGACAACAGATCAGTTCACTGCACTAACAGACCAAGTCAAGACCCCTGTTCATACAGTAGAGAAGCTACAGCTGCAGTTTGAACACTTCCAGTCCACCTACAATCAACATCAGCAGACTAGAATGACAACACAACTACCCCCAATGCTGGAGAGGAGGCCGAACCTATTTCAAGTGCAGCCCAACCAAACATGCTCCCAAGTCTCCAAGCCCAACCATTGGGACAGTTGGTCCATGTTTCAAATGTAGAAGATCTGGACACTTAAGGAAGGATTGCATGAGGTCATCAAGTTCAACAAGTGCATGCAACCATAATGGCGAGGACATAGGCCAACGATTGCAATCAGGAGCATCACTAAACTCAGATAACCAACCACAGGGACTTCAGAATGGCTGTACCAAAACAAACAAACAAAGGTGAGAGTCTGTAGATTCCAGTGACTGTGAATGGACACTGAGGCTCGGACAACTACTCACTTGTATCGTTCAGTTAAGGGTGGGGTGGGCAGGATCTGAGAAAGTGCCAGTTTTTGGGAGGATTCTTGAATGTAAACTCTACCCCTCCCAACCAGTTTTTCCCTCATCTCCTCCTCTCCCCTGCCTCTCTGCTCCAGCAAGCCCCGCCCACAAACAGACGCTCCTGCTCGCTCGTATTGTTTTAATTAAACTCAGATAGAATGCCGACAAAAACTTAAGATGTTTACAAATGGGGCCCAGTCAATGTGAAAGTAAAAAGCATTGGTGCTACAGTTGATGCCCACAGACTAGTCTCCGTTATTTACTTTGTTTTCTTGCTTGTGTTGGCAGTCATGGCCAAAGGAGGATTCAGACAATTTCCTTACTTTCTGGTTGGTTTACAGTGCATCTGGAAAGTATTCATACCACTTCACTTTTTCCACATTTTGTTATGTTACAGCCTTATTCCAAAATGGATTAAATTCATTTTTTCCCTCAAAAATTCTACACAAAATACCCCATAATGACAAAGCTAAAAACTTTTTTTTAGAACATTTTGCAAATTTATTAAAAATAAGACACTCAAATGTTGCATATACGTAAGTATTCACACCCTTTGCTATCAAACACAAAATTGAGCTCAGGTGCATCCTGTTTTCACTGATCAGCCTTGAAATGTTCCTCCAACTTGATTGCAGTCCACCTGTGGCAAATTCAGCTGATTGGACATGATTTGGAAAGCCACACCTGTCTATATAAGATCCCACAGCTGACAGAGCACGACAGAGCACAAACCAAGCCATGAAGTCAAAAGAATTGTCTGTAGACCTCTTAAACAGGGTTGTATCAGCACACAGATGTGGGGAAGGTTACAGAAAAATATCTGCTGTATTGAAGATCCCAAAAAGCACAGTGGTCTCCATTATTAAGAAATGGAAGACGTTTGGAACCATCAGGACTCTTCCTAGAGAAGGGCCTTGGTCAGGGATGTGACCAAGCACCCGATGGTCACTCTGACAGAGCTCCAGCGTTCCTCTGAGGAGATGGGAGAACCCTACAGAAGGACCACCATCTCTGCAGCACTCCACTAGTCAGGCATTTATGGTAGAGTGGCCAGACAGAAGCCACTCCTCATTAAAAAGCACATGACAGCCCGCTTGGAATTTGCTAGAAGGCATCTGAAGGACTCAAAGACCAGGAGAAACAAAATTCTCTGGTCTGATGAAATGTAGATCGAACTCTTTGGCCTGAATGCCAAGCGTCATGTCTGGGGGAAACCAGGTACCATCCCTACAGTGAAGCATGGTGGTGGCAGCATCATGCTGTGGGGATGTTTATCAGCGGCAGGAACTGGGAGACTTGTCAGGATCGAGGGAAAAATGAATGCAGCTAAGTACATCGAAATCCTTGATGAAAACCTGCTCCAAGTGCTGATGTGTATATATATATGTATATACATATATGTATATACTAGGCCTGCACGATATATCGTTTGACTATCGTCATCGCGATGTACGTGTGTGCGATAGTCACATCGCAGAGCCTGCGATATTGGAGGTGAATGAACTCATTTAATTTCAAGGGTAACCGACTGAGATACACTCCATGTGACTCTGCATGTGCTGTGCAGCGATCCACCAATCACCTTCGTCCTTAACTCAGTTGCCAATCAGACTCACTTCTCAGTTGCCAATCAGACTACCCTGCCAGCTGTCAATCAAAATCAGGGAGGAGAAAACCCACCCCTGCACATGTTCTGCACATGGAGGGAGACGTGTGTCCGCTGAGAATTACTTTCGGAACTTTACTCATGACTATTAAGCCCAACAAATAAGAACTGTATGGGTTTTAAATTGTACATTTCCGTGGACCACTCTACTATAAGCGGTGCGCGTTTTGCGAGGTGCATGCAATTCTCGGAAGACATGCGTTTCTCGGCACAACACCGCTAACAACAACAACAACGATTACAAAATGAACAACGAACAAGAGAAAACCACCGAAAATGAAGATTTGTTGCCAAAAAGAAAAGGAAAGTCAGTTATCTGGAATTATTTCGGTTAAAAGAAGGATGATGGCGACCAAAACACGTGTTCTGTGTTCATCTGTCGCCACAAGAACGTCCCAGCACAATAAAAGCTAAAAATATCTCTGAGACAGACAGAAGCCATTCTACTAACATTCACAAAAAGAGGTAAGATCAGTGCAGGTTAACTGTCCTCAAGATTTCAGCAGTGCAGCATAACATTAAGTGCTATTCAGGTCATCTGGTGAAAATTCCTGTATTTTTAATATCACAATATATATCGAAGGGTTGAAGTAAATCGCAATATTATTTTTTTCCAATATCGTGCAGCCTTAGTATATACATATATATATATACATATATGTATATATGTATATGTATATATGTGTATATACATATATGTATATATGTAAATATATATATATATATATTTTTGTATGAATGAAAAATCTGATTACTGATTAATCAGCCGATTCTTTAAAAGTTTTTATGAAGTTTTAAAATTTTGTTAATTTAAGTAATATATCTATATATTTACTTGTATTTTTTTAACAAATGGCTGCTTTTGGCCAGAAAACCGTTTTTATTTCTAAAACAACTGAAAAAGAATTAGGTATTTTGTGTAAAGAATCTGTCAAGTTATATATGGGCCATTTTTAAACCCAGAGCCTACATTAAGCAACTTTCATAGTTGTGTTCACATAGTATGACTTACACTACACCCCTGGCTATATATTTTAACTGTAATAAAGATGATAAACAGATTCTTTTCAGCTTGTTATTCAGACTGTTATGGGTTGATATGATGTCATATACAAGACCGGACTGTGTTCAATTGATGGCAGAAATGTTGCAGAGACAAGATATTTCTGATGTCCGATTATTTGCATACTAAGAACACATTGGAGTGGATGATGCTGTCCTCTACATGCTTCACTGTGCCCTGTCTCATCTGGAGGAACCTGGGGTTTATGTGAGGATCATGTTCTTAGACTTTTCAAGTGCATTCAACACCATCCAACCTACCATACTCAAAGACAAGCTCACAGAGATGGGAGTGGATCCTTCCTGTGTTTCCTGGATCACAGATTACATGACAGGAAGGCCACAGTTTGTCAGGCTGGGGAACTGTGTTGCTGGGACATTAATGAGCAGTACAGGGGCTCCACAAGGGACAGTGCTGGCGCCATTTCTGTTCACACTGCATACGTCAGACTTCAAATACAGTACTGAGTCCTGCCACATCCAGAAACACTCAGATGACACCGCTATTGTGGCATGTATCAGAAATGAACAAGAAGCTAAACACAGGGATCTGATAAGAGCCTTCAGTGATTGGTGTCACAAAAACTGCCGCCTCCTCAACACCTCAAAGACAAAGGAGATGGTCATAGACTTCCGTAGATCGTAACCACCTCTTCAGCCAGTCTAAATGAAGCCTGGGAAATGAGAGACTGCCCTGTTACTCCCCTATTCAATTTTACACCTGTGTCTACTGCCCATGTCTTTGGTGCCATTTTTAACTTAAGTATAAAAACTAAGAAGGTTCCCAAAGTCTGGAAGTTGGCCTTTGTGGTCCCGCTTCTGAAGGGTGGTGACCCTTCAGAGGTAAATAACTACAGGCCAATTTTCAAATTGTGTCCTTGCAAAAATGTTTGAAAAGAACATTAGTGAGCATAAAAAGTGTTTTTAGAGTCTGGTTTTAGAAAGCAGCACAATACTGTTACTGCTGCCTTGAAGGTTTAAAATGATATTATTCAGTTTTTAGATTGTAAAGATTATTGCGTGGCAATTTTATTGACTTGTCAAGGGCATTTGGTTCTGTTGATCACGCACTTTTAGTTAATGCGCTGCATAAGATCGGCATCTCAAGCCAGGCATCCACCTGGTTTTTAGATTACTTATCTAACAAAACGCAGTGTGTCCAATTGACTGGTTCATCCTCTTCTTTTCTCAACATCACAAAATACCTCAAGGATCAATTCTAGGACCAATTTTGTTTAATATTTATATTAACAATCTGTGTGACAATTTATCAAATGTCATCATTTTTATGCTGATGACACGTTATTTATTGCAGCTCAACCTCTCTTGCTCAGGCTCTAAAGTTTTTACGAACAGCTTTTAATTCTGTTCAGGCTCAGCTATCACTGAAATTGGTTTTACATGCAGAGAAAACTAAAATTATGTTTTTTTTCTCACAGGCATGAGATAGCAGAGCAAGTCAAGGCAATTACATCAATCAATGGCACGCAGATAAAGATGGTTATTTATTTTAAGTATTCGGGTTTTCTACTCGACCAGGAGCTATATGGCGCTGATGGCGAAACTGGGATTTTATTATCAAAATAAATCCAGTTTCTTCCTAAGAGCTCGGAAATATCTTGTCTCTGCAACATTTCTGCCATCAATTGAACACAGTCCGGTCTTGTATATGACATCATATCAAATGTCACTGTGCATTAGACACTGTCTATCATTGTGCACTACGTTTTGTGACTGGTTGTGGTCGCCTCACTTACCAATGTGAGCTAAATGCCAAAGTTGAGTGGTCCTCCTTGAGCTCCAGGAGGTACACCCATTGGATGTTGTTGATTTATAAGTCTCTCCTTGGACTGGTCCCTTCCTACCTCTGCTCTCTTCTGCAGAAATCAAGAAGTGCCTATGCCTTACGGTCTTGTGCAGCTTTTCATTTAAATGTGCCCAGAGACCGAACTGAATTGGGGAAACAGGCTTTTTGTTATGCTGTACATCCTGGAACACTACAAACAGAGCTGAAAATGCCAGAACTGGTTTTTATTGAAATATTTTCGTTCCATTTTATTTGCTAAGCAACAAGAATCCTATGAACAACACCTGTGTTTTCAAATTTTAATTGTCCCAAAATGTTTGTTGCACTTCAACCGTGAATTTGTTGTTGGTTCCCTTATATTTATTATGAGGCGTGCTGCTGAACTCTTGGCCAGGTCACCCTTGTAAATGAGATCATGATCTCAGTGGGATTTTACCTGGTTGAATAAAGGTTCAATAAAAAAACAAATAAAACTCTCATGACTTTTCTGCTTAATTTAGTGAACTTAATTCTCAAATCTTGAGTGAAACACACGGTCCTGTTTTCCCCCCCTGCAGTGTGCTGTGGTTGGATGTGTTGAGTATTTCTGGTGAGAGGCGACTCTCTGCATTCGGCTGTCAGAACGGCTGCGTTGGACTGGCTCTTGTCGACCAGACACAGCGAGGTGAGAAGGAAGACAAAAATCTGTTGTATCTCGTCTGTCTGGGATATGTAGATGCAGAAGGAGGCTTCGTGACACTGGCTCGTTTGTATAATAGGAATTTATTTCAAAGACAACACCAGTATCAGAACAGCACTGCAGTTGTTGAGAGGACTGTCAGTGATGTCCAGCTCTCCCAAACCTGAGTTTGGGATCATGTTATATAGGGTTAGAGGTTTTAGGTTCTCCTACATCCTCTGTTTATCTTTAAGTTATATTTCTTTACCATCTGCTTTACACCTATCTGACCTGTGACCAGCAAACCCGCAACAGCCAGGATGTCTGGACCATGTACCATAAAAGAGATCCAATGCCCACACTTCACCATTTGCTTATCTCAGGCTATCCCTGGGAAATGCTTTAATGCGTTGCATGTTGGTGCTGTACTCCAGATACCACACAGCTCTTCTATTTAAAAAAAATAATGAGTTGGAATAGAATTAACAGCGTCACTGATCAAACTCGCAAACATTTACTCAGTCCTCTATGTCTAAAATAGTTTCAGAGTTTGTGGTTGGTATCAACATGTTGTTTACAATCCACAAACTAAATTTAACGAACTGAGTTTTCCTTTTTTTCTCTAAACTATCACACATAAATACCTTGAGGACTCAAAGTATATCCAGTATTTTAGAGAGTTTATGCAAGAAACAGCAAAATGTTTTTATAAGTGAAAAAAAGTACAACTTTGAAACAGTTCAAAACAAACACAGACTCTCTTTTCCATGCTTTCTTTTTTTACTGGGCAATTGTGTTGCTTATTAAGACTCTTTGGCCTTAAACATGTAAAAAAAACCGCAGTGTGCAGCTAATTACTTGGATTGACACCTACCTGCCACCATAAAATAACTACAGTAATAGTCAGGCTTGCTGTCTTTGCATAATCTTTAATTCATAAAAAAGACATAAATATTCATTTCAGTTGGTTTAATTACCAGCTCCAAAACTCTGCATTAGATGCTTTAAAACAAGTCAGAAAATCTTTCAGTTGTCTGTATAGGTTCTCAATCATCCAGGTAGTGGTTATCCAATTCTTTTGTGAAACGGCAACTGGGAAATGCTGATGGGCTTTTTGAACTCACATCATGCAGATTTGTCTCTCAAGATTAAGCATTTGCAGATTGTCAACTGAGTCTGCATGTGCATACAAATGTGCATACAAATGTGCTACAATCAAACAAGAGCTAGAAATTGGAAATACAGATTAATTTTATGTCAAAAACCCCTTATCAATGGGATCATTAGTAGACAGGAAGATACTTTAATGATTTTTTTACATTTTGCCTGTTCTGTTTCAGAGGTTTTGCAGAACTGGAGGTTCCAGTTTGACAGTCCAGTCTCTACAGTGAAACTTTTTCCTCTAAGCTGCCAAAATAAACAAGGAGAGAAAAGTAAGCAACTCTTTTTGACTTTTTTTAGTTAATTGTGGACGCACATTTTTGGGCTTTGGCCAGGATTTGCTTCAGACTTAATGCCTGTGTCTGGTCTGTTTTAGGTGTGGAAATTGAAAGCTACAACCTGCTGGTAACAAGTACAATAGAAATGGCTGTTGTCTACAGGTAAGAATTAGATTACTTCAGAACAGTTGTTACTTTGTTTTTAGTATTTTTCCAAGTCTGAGTTTAGTACACTGGCCCTCATTTATCAATCTTGCATGGAACTGAACGTAGATCTGGTCGCAGGATTCATTGTACGATAGGACAAGCATGAGATTTATGAAGGGGTTCATATCTGACCAATCTCAGTGACAAATGATTGGTTCTAGATAGATATGGAGGCTGAAATCAATCGTCATTAACATGTCACGCCCTTAAATATTTGTGGTTCAGGTCAAACATGGAGAGGAGAAATATTAGAAAGATGCAAAACTTTTCAGAGCTGAATGTGGATACCCTCATGTCTAAGTTTGAGACTAACAAGGATGTGCTCTTTGGAAGCATAAAAACTGGTATAAAAAGAGTTCAGAAAAACCCTGTCTGGAGCAGGATTACGGTGGCGGTGAACAGTGTTGCCACAGAATAGTAGACACTGGCTGAAGTTTGAATAAATCATTATAAATAAGTAGCCCATGGTGACAAATTATCTTATACATGCCTCATATTTTTCATTGCCGTGACATAAGTTGCTGCTGTTATTAAAAGTATTTAGTTTTAATTTGTTGCTTCTTTATTATGAAGAGAGAACTGGAGATTCCGACAGAGGCTTCAATATATTTACTAAAAAATTGCATTTCCTTGCAGAAAATGTGAGGAAATGCTGAGTGCTGAAAAAGCAATGTAAAACTGCTAAAAAAAATGGAGAAAGGTATAAATGTAAAAATGTTGAAGAGGGGAAGAAGAAGAAATATAAGTTGTATGAATGTGAACATTATTGAAGTAAAGGTAGGATAAATGTGCTACTTAAGTTGAAATTGCATTCATGTAGAAAGAGGCTGAAAAAATGTCTGAAATTACACAAAATTTGTATAAAGAAGAGAATTACCTTAAAATGCAGGAAAGTAACAAGTGGCATAAGTTAAAGTAGTAGTACGCATAATAGTATGAATATGAGTAGTAGTGGAAGTGACATTAGTAGTTATAGAAGTAGTAGTCGTAGTTTTAGAAAAGAAGAAGGAGAGGTCACAGTAGTCACTAGTAGTAGTAGTGTGTGTGCGTGTAGGTTTCACAGGAAGAGACTTAAGAACACGGTCAAAGTGTGTGTGTGTGTGTGTGTGTGTGTGTGTGTGTGTGTAGGTCTCAAAGGCAGAAATAGATTCAGGTACACAGGGTCAGAGTGTGTGTGTTAGCGCTTTAGGCAGCATGGCCAAACTTCCCCATTGATTTCTATAGTATAAATTTTAGCACAAAAAGTGAAATACTACTAAAAGTATAAAGGTTAGAAAGGTGAAAAAATACAACAGCACTGGCCCTGAAGGAGTGAAATAGTATAAAGGTTGAATGGTAGAAATATCACAAAGTGGAAAGGAGCTAAAAACAGCCAAATATTGGTGGAAGAATAATAATAACTAGAAAATTGCATTCCCTTACAGAAAATGTGTGGAAATGCTGACAGCTGAAAAAGCCAAGCAGAAGTGCTAAAAAGGAGAGGAGTATGAATGGAAAAACTGTTTAAAGGGTGGAGTAGAAGAAGAAGAAGAAATTGTTGCATGAATGTAAAACATGCAGAATAGCTAAATGAAAAAAAAAATTTGTATGACTTATGTGAATAAACAGAAATGATTATCAATATAAGTGATTTGGAAAAACAAAAGCCTAAACATTAATTATAGCAATGTTCCTATTCAGTGTACAAATAGTAAAAAGATGTTTGCACTCTGCAGCATCTAACCATTTTAACTTGTGAAGGCATAACAGCACCATCTACAAGCGTGCTTCAGTTACTGCCTTACATACGAATGTAAAAAGTATTAAAGAGCTAAAGTTAAAGTAGTTGTATGAATTCCGAAACTAAAGAAAAGCAGAAGAGAAGAATAAGAAATAGTATGTATGTTAAAACAGTCAAAGACCTGAGCTTTAACAACATAGTAAAAATGCGGGTGTAGCTCTCATAGACAGAAAGACAGTACTGTACACACATGGTAACAGTGTGTGCGTGCGTGCGCGCACCTGAGCCTGTGTCCAGTGAATCAAAGCACACAGCCCATGAGAAGAGCTTCCAATGCGAATGAGGCAGAAACCGTCTGAACTCCTTCCCCTAGCGCAATTTCCTTAACTTTTATCATGAAAGTACGGTAGAAATCCTAAGAGTCTCGTGAAGACGATGCATTTTTCATTTACATAGTGTATAAAATGTGGCCACAACAGCGAGTTAAAAACAGCATCGCTGTAGTGATTTTCAGGGTTCCCTGGCCGAAATTTAACATGAGCGTTAGTGGGCAGAACGTCTGCACACCTTGGAAAACTACTCACCTCCTGTCAAAGTGGTACAATTTGATGACTTAAGACCGCTCTTTGTGAGAAGCAGGACTAATTTATCTACAGTTTGATGTATTTTTTATGTCTGTGGAGTGAAAATTGTTGGCATGGGAGCAAAATATTCATGCTAGCTGTAGTCAGTCTGAAATTATCTCCCGCTCTAGAATTTCCAGTACACATTTGTTGTAAAGGCTGGAAAGGGCAGAAAAGTTTGTGTTGCTGAAAGCTAAATTGTGCAAAAACAGTAGGAGGTAGTACAAAGAAGTGTGTACAACAATTGTAGCAGACAACATTGTGAACATTTTCAAGAAAAAATGAGGTATTGTTGTAGAAAGTCCAGCATAAACAATGCACAGGAGACAGGATGAGATCTGAAGAACAGCCTGGGGCGTCTTTAATAGTACAGATGTAGAAATCAGTACAGATGACAAACAGAGTCTCGACCAAGACCGAAGGAAGCCTCTCTAGCTTTTCTTCTACTCCCTTTTATCCTGTGTGTGTGTGTGTGTGTGTGTGTGTGTGTGTGTGTGTGTGTGTGTGTGTGTGTGTGTGTGTGTGTGTGTGTGTGTGTGTGTGTGTGTGTGTGTGTGTGTGTGTGTATGTGTATTCTCCAGAAGGCCCCTCATGATGTCATATCTGCCCCACGACACTTTGTTTAGGTTAGTCTTGACCCTGGCAGAGATTACATGTTCCAACAGACAGATAGTTTGGGCTCCTGCAAGACAGCCTTGCTTACAATCTCATGGTCGTGGGGCTGCAGGAGCAGGCCAATCTAAATTATTTGTAGCTTCTTACTAAAAGATAATTACTCTACATTTCTTAACCTAAATGTATGAAGAGATTCCCCTACACAGTCCCCCCTTTGAAAGTTCTTACTTTCATAAAAACCTAATCATCATATCAAACACTAAACATCCTTACGTGATTAAAATAGAACCTGTTCACTAATTTCTAAATCCTATGTGTACGATTTGCTGCATCTAAGACTTCATAATACCACATGAAACAAAAATCAATACCATAGCTAGGATCATTTCAAATTATATCAGCGCGTAAGACTGAAAACCCTGCTCGGCTGTTTCAGCAGGGAAAGAATCTTGCGGCCCCGCGCCCTGACGACCATCCATTTCCTGGATGCGTTGACATAATTTCATTTGCATAGAAGAAGTGTCAACTTCTGATAATACCATTACATTACATTGTAGCAACCTGCGACAAACCCCTTGATTAATATGTGATTAACCCCTTGATTAATGTGTGATTAGTGTAGTCCTTTAACTCTGCAAATGAAACATGTTCAGTTCAATATCTCCAGCTCACTGGATATGTTGTTTGTGTTGCTCAAAGTCCATTGCTCTTCTTCTTCTCCTTCAAAGTCCAGGAACCGTTCAGGTCCCTCAGTCCCTCCTTGATTAATCACACACTGTGCCAGCTGTTTTGGTGGCATTTCCTGTAGTTCATGGGCCAGTGTTAGGTCCACTTTAAGTCCCATCTCCTCCGTCAGCTTCCAACAATGTCTCCAAAGGATGTGTACGATGCGACATGTGAGAAAGGAAATCAGAATTAGGGCTATCGCAGCACTCATGGCTGGGCCAAAACGGCTCTCATTCATCTAAAATTTGGACCACCCAGTCCATTAACAGGCCCCCCTTACCAGCATTCTCCCGCATTTCCACTTTAAACTTTTCTTTACCCTTCATAGCTTTAGAAAAACCTCCCCCAGGGGCTTGTTTTGTTAGAAATGTATCTGCAACAGTACTTTCCAAACTTTTAAGACACATCTTGTCTCTTCAAATACCCAATTTAATGCTTGTCTGTATTGACATGTTACTGGACTTGTTACATGTAAATATCCTTTAATCTAAACATCTTCGCTGAATAATTAACAAATCAAATCAAACAATAATTTCTTTCACATAATTGCTTAACTTTAGGTTAAAAAAAACAAAAAACAATTCTTCTCTTATTTGTAAAAAAAACTGGCATGGGTTCTAGCTCTGTCTGGAGTGGTGTGGATTGTGTTTTGGGTTGCATCGTACTCACCCGCGATAACAATGTCTCCCACTTCTTCTTCTCACAGCTGTACTGGCACCAGTTTGACCTTCACCCTCATTGTTGTCATCAGTCTCTCTCTCGGTCTCTCTCCACACATTGTCCCTCAGCAGCAACACCAGGAAAACAGTTACTTTCAGGACGAGTGCTACAGTCATTCTGGGAGTGTCTCTTATCAAGTCATACTTCCCTTGTTTTTCTGGGCAGTCAGTGGTAGATGACGCCACATCATATTGCCCTCTTCCTGCACTGAAGTAGAGTTCACCAGGACCACAGTGTTCAGGTCTTCTCCTCGTTCTTTGTGCCACCCTCCTCAAAGGACGTTGATGTATACCTGGTGCTCTGGCTCGACTGGCCTCCACCTCTTGACTGGGATCAGATTTTGGCACTCCTCCTGCTAATCGATAGATCTTTGCATCGTAGTTAGCTGCCTCATATATTTAATTCACTAATTTTCAGCTGCTCAAGCGAAAAGCTTAATTGTTTAGCCGCAGTAAAGCATAGCTCTGTAGGTTAGAAATTCATGCAGTGAAAGATTTATCACCGTGCTTTTGATTGTGAAAGCTCATAAGCGCAAGTAGCAAAACATCTTTCTATAGGTTAGTGTTAGTGCAAATTCTCTGATCTGATATTTACTTGAGAGATTAACTTTCTTCCCCAAAATGATGTACCAAATCATGCAGTGACAGATTTATTTTGACTCCAAGATCTTTTGATGATGTTGCTTCCATCCATCGACTGAACCCGTCATCATTACAAACATGTAACATATCCCTTGGCAGTTTTAATCATGTCCACATTGTCTATGAATAGATTTCTAAAAGCGTCTCTCTGGAACTGGAAAAGTGTCCCGCTACTGTTTTATTGTTCTCTTCAATTCATCTAAAAAACACATATCACAATGACCCAAAAGTTTATCAACTATTGTCAGCATATTCTAAAAATCTCATGTTTTAATTGTCTCATTATCTCCCCCCTTGCACAGTGTGAATCACTGTGAAAGTCAGATCCTAAGTTCGCTTGTTAATACTATTGACCCCTTATTGACCCCTGATAGCTTCCCATTACTTTTACTTTTACACTAGGTGGCACATCTGTGAGGAGTGTATGCGGATTCAGCACAGCTGTATTTAGATTTATCATTATAAAACTAACAGAATAGAAATGTTACAATGTTAATGTCACGATATTCACTTAAAACTATAAATCATAACTGTCTACGTACACACCTTGCGGTGAGCACCAAATTTGAATGTTACTTCTACATAGGGCTCTTTGGTCTATAAGGTCAACAGGGTTAAAATTAAAACTAACAATTAACTTTTTTCCATCATCCACAAAAATCACACTGTAGTAAGCCACCACTTTCACATTGTCTGGGCTGGGGCCCCCCACCACAGCTCCAGCCAGAGGCATCCCTGGTCTGGGCAGTTGTCAAAAATGTCCGGTATGATCACATCCCCAGCAGGCCTTTAGACGTCACTCGTCCGTCAGAATTCCACTCTCTCCCCCTGCCGGGATGTATCATCTCTATGGAGCAGGGTTCTGTCTGAGGATAAACATTCACAACAGGTGATCAAACAGGTTACTGTCACAGGCTTTACTGCAGTTAGCGTCTGCACGGTCTGCATCACTGGGTCTCTTTTGCAGTGTCCCCCTTAGAGGTGGCTGTTTCAACTTCCGCTGAATGTTCTTTTCCTGTTCTTTCGGTCTCCGCTCTTCATCTGGCAGCACCCTCCACATCACATCACAATATGCATTGAACTCACTCCCATCAGTCATGGGATTCGTCATCCAACCTTTTTTTTTTTGCCTTGTGCAGAAACTCCTCCATCATCTTAGTTCCCAGCAGTTTAGCCAAGAGTGCTTTCATGTCTGGTGTAGTCAACATTTTCCTACAGTTCATCCTCAAAAACTCGTATCCATCTCCCTGCCCCCTGTTCAGTTTGTGGTAGTCTGGCAATCAACCCAACAAGGTGTGTGGTTTTCCACGGCACATAGCTAGCCTGTGTGCCCTTTTTAAGATTGAAAACATACTATCAGTGCATCTTCAGGTGAACATAATCTAGGCCAGGGGTGTCAAACTCAACCACAGCAAGGGCCATAATCTGGATTTAGGTCTAACCTCAGGGCCAAACAGGGTCAAAATTTCGCCAAAACTGTCAATCTCCTTTTCAAAACATATGGGACAAAAATAGCAATGATTTTAAATCATTTGGAAATTCAAAAGAGATAAATAAATAAAAAAATTAATAAGTTTAAAGGCAACCTAAGATAGAAAAATTTTAGTTTTTATTCTATTCTTATTTATTAGTTCAAAAGATCAGAGCATGATTAAGAAAAAAAATAATAATCTAAAGTATAAAAATGACACAAATCTAAGTGCTACTATTTAAAAAACAGTATTTTGGCAGAAACAGCAGATGTATAGAAGCAACCCTTAGATTTGAAGTTTTTTAGAAGTTTTGCACTTGTGGTACCTCATTTCTTTTCCCCTTTTTGTATCTCTTATACTTTCACAAACATTATTTCAGCAGCTTTAACACAGAAAATTTGTTTAGGAGCATAAGACGTGTTCACAACAAAAAAAACCATAATATTTAAGCATAAGCTAAAACCTTCATATCAGGAGTGTTCAACATGATACTAGGAACAGAACCTCTTTCCCAGGAGTATTTAACCTTCTATGTCTCAACTGATAACATGTCCGCAATGAGCACAGTATTCACATAAACAACTATGAAATAAACACAAGTGAGGAAAGCACAGCAATCTTTGACTAACATAACACACACACAGATGCAGAGTCTGGCTGTGAACACTGCCAGAGAACTTAGTTGACACAGAACAAAACAGACACACACAAACATCCAATCAACCCACACACTTCACTTTTTCATCACACAATGGTATACCCTTTCACACGTGTTTGAAGTCGAAGTCAGTCACTGGAGTCAGTCAGCAGTCTTCTATTTTAATTCTTGTTTTGATTTCTTCAATTTTTCCAATTTGTGTGATTTTTTCCAATTTGTGTGATTCTTCTACAATTGGTCAGGAGATATGGGACGTGCTTGTTCAATTGGGATCCCTGAATAGGCTTTTCAGCCTATCCTTATTGACCTCTTTTTCTATCTCCTGCTCATCAAGCCAATCTGTATCTGTAATTTAAGTCCAATTATAACACTGATTTTGTGAGGTCTTTGACATATAAAAGAGATATATATATATGTACATTTCAAATATCTACTATTCCGTCATTGTACTTATTCGGCCCTCTAGAGTTCTGGATCAGAATTTATGAGGAAATATGCCACTTTCGTTCTCCTTTTGGCTTTTTCTTAAGCCTCAGCGGAACTCCGCATGACAAATCCTCCTTTCTAGTGGAGTTTTCCAAATCCACGTATGTATTACGAGATGAATCTGCTCGTCCGTCGGCTGCCACCTTTCAGAGCTCATGAAAGATGGTCTAAAACTCACAGTTCAACAATGGACAGACACACTCGTGCCTGCTGCTCCCCTTGTTATCCCAACAATTACCCAGAATCTTTTATCACCAGGCATTCAGCCTAAAAAACACATCACAACCCGGGCCAGGCTGTCTCCCCAAACTACTGGCCAGTGCTTCTCCGCACCCAGTCTAGCTAGTTTCACATATGTCCGTCTCGCACATATAACAGCTTGAGGTGATCTCACCCTTTGAAGGAGACGAAGTGCTTCTGCACCCAGCCTATAGCTTCTCACACATGTAACAGCCTATAGCTTCACATATAACAATCTCACACACGTAAGGGCGTGAGGCGGTCACACCCTTTGAAGGAGACGAAGTGCTTCTGCACCCAGCCTATAGCTTCTCACACATGTAACAGCCTATAGCTTCACATATGGCAACTCACACATGTAACAGCCTATAGCTTCACATATGGCATCTCACACATGTAACAGCCTATTGCTTCACATATGGCATCTCACACATGTAACAGCCTATAGCTTTACATATGGCATCTCACACATGTAACAGCCTATAGCTTCACATATGGCATCTCACACATGTAACAGCCTATAGCTTCACATATGGCAATCTCACACATGTAACAGCCTATAGCTTCACATATGGCATCTCACACATGTAACAGCCTATAGCTTCCCATATGGCTTCTCACACATGTAACGGCCTATAGCTTCACATATGGCATCTCACACATGTAACAGCCTATAGCTTAACATGGCATCTCACACATGTAACAGCCTATAGCTTCACATATGGCAATCTCACACATGTAATAGCCTATAGCTTCACATATGGCATCTCACACACGTAACAGCCTATAGCTTCACATATGGCATCTCACACATGTAACAGCCTATAGCTTCACATATGGCATCTCACACATGTAACAGCCTATAGCTTAACATGGCATCTCACACATGTAACAGCCTATAGCTTCACATATGGCAATCTCACACATGTAATAGCCTATAGCTTCACATATGGCATCTCACACACGTAACAGCCTATAGCTTCACATATGGCATCTCACACATGTAACAGCCTATAGCTTCACATATGGCATCTCACACATGTAACAGCCTATAGCTTAACATGGCATCTCACACATGTAACAGCCTATAGCTTCACATATGACAATCTTACACATGTAACAGCCTATAGCTTCACATATGGCATCTCACACATGTAACAGCCTATAGCTTCACATATGGCATCTCACACATGTAACAGCCTATAGCTTTACATATGGCATCTCACACCTGTAACAGCCTATAGCTTTACATATGGCATCTCACACATGTAACAGCCTATAGCTTCACATATGGCAATCTCACACATGTAACAGCCTATAGCTTCACATATGGCATCTCACACATGTAACAGCCTATAGCTTCCCATATGGCATCTCACACATGTAACAGCCTATAGCTTCACATATGGCATCTCACACATGTAAAAGCCTATAGCTTAACATGGCATCTCACACATGTAACAGCCTATAGCTTCACATATGGCAATCTCACACATGTAATAGCCTATAGCTTCACATATGGCATCTCACACACGTAACAGCCTATAGCTTCACATATGGCATCTCACACATGTAACAGCCTATAGCTTCACATATGGCATCTCACACATGTAACAGCCTATAGCTTCACATATGGCAATCTTACGCATGTAACAGCCTATAGCTTCACATATGGCATCTCACACATGTAACAGCCTATAGCTTCACATATGGCATCTCACACATGTAACGGCCTATAGCTTCCCATATGGCATCTCACACATGTAACAGCCTATAGCTTCACATGGCATCTCACACATGTAACAGCCTATAGCTTCACATATGGCAATCTCACACATGTAACGGCCTATAGCTTCACATTTGGCATCTCACACATGTAACAGCCTATAGCTTCACATGGCATCTCACACATGTAACAGCCTATAGCTTTACATATGGCATCTCACACATGTAACAGCCTATAGCTTTACATATGGCATCTCCGAATGTAACAGCCTATAGCTTCACATATGGCATCTCACACATGTAACAGCCTATAGCTTTACATATGGCATCTCACACATGTAACAGCCTATAGCTTCACATATGGCAATCTCACACATGTAACGGCCTATAGCTTCACATTTGGCATCTCACACATGTAACAGCCTATAGCTTCACATGGCATCTCACACATGTAACAGCCTATAGCTTTACATATGGCATCTCACACATGTAACAGCCTATAGCTTTACATATGGCATCTCCGAATGTAACAGCCTATAGCTTCACATATGGCATCTCACACATGTAACAGCCTATAGCTTTACATATGGCATCTCACACATGTAACAGCCTATAGCTTCACATATGGCATCTCACACATGTAACAGCCTATAGCTTCACATATGGCAATCTCACACATGTAACAGCCTATAGCTTCACACATGGCATCTCACACATGTAACAGCCTATAGCTTCCCATATGGCTTCTCACACATGTAACAGCCTATAGCTTCTCATATGGCATCTCACACATGTAACAGCCTATAGCTTCACATATGGCATCTTACACATGTAACAGCCTATAGCTTCACATATGGCATCTCGCACATGAAACAGCCTATAGCTTTACATATGGCATCTCACACATGTAACAGTGTGAGGCGATTTCACACAACCAACTGCAGTTTCTCTTAATTCAGCTGATATATATCCAATTTTAATTGGCCTTCTCACAAATTTGGCAGACTTTGATCAGCTGACTGCATGCATGCAGTTTTCTCAGACTGTCTTCATTCCCACTGTCTCCTCTTATTTCTATTCTAGGTTCTTTGATTCGAAGAGGACAGAGAACAGTAGTCCACACCACCTCCTGGCTGGCTCACCAATTATGTTGTAGAAAGTCCAGCATAAACAATGCACAGGAGACAGGATGAGATCTGAAGATTAGCCTGGGGCGTCTTTAATAGTACAGATGTAGAAATCAGTACAGATGACAAACAGAGTCTCGACCAAGACCGAAGGAAGCCTCTCTAGCTTTTCTTCTACTCCCTTTTATCCTGTGTGAGTGTGTGTGTGTGTGTGTGTGTGTGTGTGTGTGTGTGTGTGTGTGTGTGTGTGTGTGTGTGTGTGTGTGTGTGTGTGTTCTCCAGAAGGCCCCTCATGATGACATATCTGCCCCACGACACTTTGTTTAGGTTCGTCTTGACCCTGGCAGAGATTACATGTTCCAACAGACAGATAGTTTGGGCTCCTGCAAGACAGCCTTGCTTACAATCTCATGGTCGTGGGGCTGCAGGAGCAGGCTACTTGGATTTTAATCACTGATTAAATAGCAAGAGCACTTTTTGAACTTATATACTGATGCTACATGTCAGAATCAGTTCAGGTCTGATCAGGTCCTGTCTCCTTAGTACAGCACACAGTGGAGGCTGTCCTTGCTATTGTTCTCTGGGTATCTGGTCATCACATTGCGCCAGCACATCCAACGGCACTCTATTCACCAACGCAGCATTATGCAAAACTGTACAGGCCAAAATGATGTCTGACACCATTTCAAGAGTGTACAACAATGTTCCCTCTGCTGAGCCAAGAAGAGCCACCGAGGAGTCAAAAGTGCACTCCACGGGGGCATGTGTGTCTGTGTGCGCAATGTTCAAACAGCGCTCCTGCTCTGTGGCAGCGTTTGCCGGCAGGGTTATCAAATATTCAGTAAGGGCATAACCAATTTATTTATTTTATTTCATGCCCTTCTTAATCTTAAATAAAATCTGACTGCTTGTGCTTAATGACAAGTTTAAAGTTTGATTAGTATCTATTTTGAGACAGACATTTGCTGCACTGCAGATCCACACTTACTCAAACTTGCGTACACGATGTGAGACCTGTCGGGGGCTTTGATCATATTGTGCGCTCATGTCCAAATTAATAAATGATGATCCTTGTGTGGAAAGAGTTGTATGGGACAGTTTTCTGCTGTACGTTTGTTTGATTAATGAGGGCCATTGTGTTTTGTGTGTTTTGTCAGAGATGTGCAGGATCGAGGTTTGTCGACCCTAGTTTGCCTCTCAGAGAGTGACCAATGGGATGCCGTGCTCTGTTCTCTGGTCATCGATCTGGATTTTGACGAACAGAAGGAGGTGCTGTTGGGAACATATGGCCAGGTCAGAGTTCGATTTACCTTCAACATTTTACTGATGGAAATCAACAGACTGTAGATCAGTAGCGGTCCTAGGCACGGGCGAACCGGGGTGGCAACCCGGGGCGGCATTTGTGTCATGACTCATTGGGGGTGGCACGAGCACTTCCAAAAAAAAAAAAAAAAAAAAAAAAGATAATAATAACAATAAATCTGGGCCCCAAAGCGGTTTTGTATTAATTTTTGTCAAATTGGCTCCCCCTGCTTCTGTGGGCACCCCTGCTTGTTGCGAAGGTGCCGCACAGAGGCTGACAGACTGTACGAGACGAAGCGGGGAGGGGGTCACGGGGGACAGCTCTGCTCTCAGGACTGCTCTCACTCTGCCAGTCACGGTGGCTCAAGCAGAGAGGAGCTTCTCAAAACTGAAGTTGATAAAGTCGTACCTAAGGTCAACCATGTCTCAGGAACGGCTCACTGGCCTTGCCGTCATCAGCATCAATCACTTAACCCATTTAAACCGGGACAGCATGTACGCAAATCAGCCAACCAGCCTTCCAAACCGGGAGCCCGGCTACGCATTTCTACCCTTCAAGCCGGGAGCGCGGTGTAGCGATTTGAAATGAGCCTCACAAGGCCGCACCAAAATAATACTGTAGCGATTGGAATTTATAATAAATGTCTGAAGATTAATAATCTCAAGTTATGACATTTATGCACTCGTTGAAAGGGGCACCACCCACCCTTAATGGTGGGAAAATAAAGAAAACAAAAGTTTAATTCAGAAATCAAACATCAAGTCAGTTTTAATTAATCAGTCTCATATCTTAAGTCGAAATTCTAATTTCAGGGACTCCTCTTCTGGAAGAACACTAACAGTCAAGAACTTAGAAAAATAATGATCTGTTTATTACAGGATAAATGATGGTACAACACACATGCAATAAATGATGATAAGATAATGATAAAATAATAATAGGTGAATAAATAAAGATTCTGAGTCAGGCTAGGAGCACTAAAGTTAATGATAGTGAGTGAATATGCGCTAACATATTAACCTACACTAAGTTTGGTGTCGAGATAAACTCGGATGTGGATTTGGAGGAATCTAAGATTACCAGAATAAGTGGATATCTGAGTTATGAACGCAGGAGACAGCACCAGCCCTCTTTAGAGCTCTGGAGGTTTGCATACTTAAGTGAGACTGGTCCTCTGCGAAGATGGAGCAGGTTCCGAAGGTCCGGGCTACTCTCAGAAGACGACTGAAGTCAGCCGAAGGATGAGCCAGGAGTTGCAGCACTCGGGCCCGAAGCAAAGCCAGCGCCTGTGGATCCTGTGGATGCTCCTTTGGGTACTTCTTTAGTCTCACTCAAAAACTCTGGCACAGAGGATGACCTGGGCCTGCTGGGTTGCGTTCAGAGGTGACTTTTGAAATCACGCAGATAACTCAGAAAAACGAGACTCGAGCATAGAAAACTTTCAAAAATGGCTTCGCGAAATTAAAGAAAAAATCAATCAAAGGCTTAATCTTGAATTGCTATGCGCACAAAAAGTTGAAGTTTCAAAACTTGAACTAAGACGATGTTAAAGAAAAATCAACGTGAATCAACACGTGGCGTAAAACTTAGTAGACTAAGAAAAAGTTCTAAGAGAAAACAAAGAAACGCACCACAGAAGGGTGTGGGCAGAAGAGAAGGGCACAAGAGAGGAAGGAAGACTAAGAGTGAACAAGAGAGTGAGCAACCCCACTTCACTGGTTTTATCTTCTCACACTGGGAGTGTTTCCGGGGTGTGTGTGTGAGGAGAAAGGAGGGGTCGTGGAATCTCTGATTATTTGATCTAACTTGTTCTTTTGGCTGGTAAAAGAGTCAGATCTGATACTCACTCACTATGATTAATATCATTGAATGCTTGGTTTCATGATAAATAATTTGATACTAAACACATATGAATGAAGTGTAGGATCACATCAAACATTCTCATTATGTTTTAAGTATCACATTGAACATGCTAAATTACTCTGAAATGAAACAGATAGTAACACATGGAAACTGTGAACAACAAAAGCGTAAACACATGTGAATGAACTTCATCATGATTAATAATGGATTCTAAATACTCACATTCAGATTATTCAATGACATTATAACCACCTAATGGTTAAAAATACTAAATAAACATCTACAATATAAACCAAACATTTCTAAACTATTTCTGTGTTCATAGAGTAAGTTATGATCCATAGTCAATAAATTTAACTCTTAACAGTTCATGAAACAGTCTGAAAAGCTGTTGGTCTAAAGAAACTAAAGAATAAGGATTTATTCTGTCAGTGATAACTCGGCTTCTGAAGCACATAGAAAAATGGGAAACATCTCATTTTAACACAAATTTCATGATTAGACAGATTAGTACATTGCTGAATGTATAAGATGTCAGGATCAGTCATTTGTATTCTTTTACCAAAGGAATGTAGTCTTTATCAGTGCATGGTCGAGCAGGGTTTTACGACCGAGGTCTGGAGGTCAGTGTCCCCCCTTATCCTGGGGTCCGTATGTTCACACACTTTAAGAAGGTAAATCTCAAATGGGAGATCTGGGTTGAGACGTTAATGTTTATTTAGATGGTCAGTGATGGAGTCAGTTTGAAAGGTAATAAAAACTCTGTCTCTGTTCTCCGAATTGACCAATCGTGAAGAGTCAGAAGTTTGGTCAACCTCCGGTTGGGTCATTTAGGTAACCTGAAAGTGTAAACGAGTCTGGAAAGATTTATATCCTGTTTCCTGGGACCAGATAAGGAAACTTTCCTCTGAGGAATGTGTGGGTTTCACATCCAGGGTTGTCTTGATTGCTACAGTCCCCCCTTCGTCACGGTGGTCCTGTCCATGGAGCATCGGGACGACGAGTAGACAACCATGAAGCAGCAGCAGCAGCAGCAGCAGGTGTATGCAAATAGGACTGATGCGTCTCATTATCCCTATGTGAATCACTAGTACTGCTTTGAGATAAAATTAAGCATGCATTAAGCTATCAAATAATATCATCTAGGTGTTAGACTTTTCTCAGTTAACTATTGGTAGACTAATGTGAAAGAAAATTTCCTAATTTTTAGTATTAATGAGATTTAGAAAAGCACTCTTTAGTCTGAATGCTAACTGGATCTAAAGCTATAGCTGTTTTTCATGCTTGCTGGAGAAGTCTGAAAGTTCAATTTCAGTTTCAAAAATTGTTAAGACTTAGGTGGAAAAGAAATGTCTGCTAAAGACATATTAACCATCTGTGTATGAGCATAGTCAACCTGAATCACAAACATCGAAAGTTTATTGCACAGAGTTTCTCTTAAACTTTGTCTGTTAAACTTTGGGATGATGCTCTTATCGGTTTGACTAATTATCTGCTGTTAAGTCTGAAATTTGTCAATCTGAGTCTTAATGACAGCAATTTCAGGTTTTAATCTGTTCATGGGACATTTGACAGCTGATTAGCTGACAATATTGACAGAGGAGCGACAAATGCTAACAAAGAAAGCAGCAACTGGGATTGCAGTCATCAATGTATCACCACAGCATTTGGATATCTTATTGGAGTCATTTAGCTTTGGCTGAGTGACTTCTGCTTTCGCAGGACTCACGCCTTCATGACTCCAGAGTGTGTTAATCTCAGTGGTTAGCTGAGTGGTCATGTTTATTCACCTTCAAAGTGGATGAAACCGATTGAGGTGGATAATAAGATTGTCGTTTCTGAGAGTGTGATTTACTCTGATTCTGCCAGTCATTCACCCCCCTTTGGCGGTGTTGATGGTTTTTCCTTTGTCTGGGACAAAACCCACTGTGACGGGAGTCTGAATAGCAACAGTTGGTCTCAAAGTTTACCTGGCATTGGTCTGTGTCAGACCTGGGCCTTGGTGTGTAACTTTGACCTTTGTGAGTTTGTTGAGGTCGAAAAGGTTTTGGAGGCCTGGTTAACCACTCATGTGGAGGCTTATCGGAGCCTGAAAATACACAGTCTGAAACTTCGTTCAGCTCCATGGGCAGTGATTTTGTCTCCATAGCCAAGAGAGTAACGGGCTCTGCTTTCTTAGCCAAAGTTTGTCGTTGTTTGGCAAAACCTTTTACAGCAAGTTCACGAAGCTGTCGGCTAGTCGAAGTGTTTGGACAAGCTAAGACGCCAAGGTGATGACTGGTGGTAGGGTGGAGGTTCTGGACGAACAGCGTTTTGAAGTTCAAGTCCTCCTCCATTTCTGGTTCATTTCGGAAACCAAAGTAAGCTTCGCGTAAGCGGTTGTAATACTGTTGGGGAGATTCTGATCTCCCTTGTTTAATAGACAGAGCAGCAGAAAGGCCTGTCTGGGTCAAATAGTCAGAAAACTCTTCATTTAATGCTTGGCAGAGCAAGTCATAATTATTTCTGACATGATAAGGCTGTCGTTCAAGGAAACTGCTAACCTCTCGACTTGACGTCGCCTTAATAAGGTAGATTTTGTCATCAATGGTTGCACCTGGAAATTTCCGCAGGTAAAAGTCAATGTCTTTCAAGTAGGTGCAGGTGTCAGTAGCACCTTGGTGCTCAGGTTCAAAGCGTGCTATGTTGCGAGCAATTTTGTCAAGATCCCTGTCTGAGGGAGATGGTAAGAAGCCATCATGAGGAGGAGAGTAGGACTCTTGGTTTAAGGATGACCTCTCAGGGTCAAGCAGGGTCCTGTCATGATGCTGAGAGAGATACTTAAGAGTTGGTTTGGAAGGAAGTGATGGCGCTCTCTCAGGAGGCTGATCACCTATCATTTCTTCAAGAAACGTTTGCTCCATGCGTTCTCTTTGGGCTCGACCTGACTGGAGGGAGCATTGTAACTCTCTTTGGGCATCTTCAAGTTCTTTGTCTGTCTTTTCTTGCCGTTCTTGACAAAGAATTAACTGTCTTTGAGCTATCTGGAGCTGGTGCTGTAAGGTAGAAGTTTGCTTCTCCTTAACTTCAAGAGCTTCAGCACGCACTTTGACCAGTGCTTTCAAAGCTTTTACATCTCCTGTTGCTTGCTCTAGTAGGGATTCTGACTGTATCAGATCCTCTGTGGTCTTAGCAAGCTGCTTATTCGTGTCATCAAGTTCTTTCTCCTTTTTGTAAAGGGTTTCATTAAGTCTTTCAATCTTGTCTTTGAGATCAAGATTTTCTTCATGACTTATCAGTGAGGGAAGCTTTGACGCTTCACATCTGGCACTGTGTTTTTCTAAAACACTTACAGACTTCTTAGTCTCTTCTAGCGTCTTTTTCAGAGCGCTGTTTTCTTCTTTTTGCGTCTTTATCTTTGCTAAAGCGCATTCCAGCAAGTAGTCTTTATACTCAAGCTGAGAAGACATCACGACAGACATGCGTCTAGTGAGCTCTTTGTCACGAAGTGTCGTGGTTAAGGCTGTTTCCAGTAGGTCAGCCATTTCATCCTCCGGATTGGAGGGTTTGGCCTTTTGAATCTTAGTCATGTACTGAGGTATCAGCTGACTAGTCAAGTTTGCCAACACTGGGTGTATGTCCCTCAGGGGGTCTCCCTGGCTGGACTCTTTTGTGTTAGGCATGTTTGGTTTTGGTAAAGAGGTGCAGGTGGTTGGTTGATGAGTTTGAGTTGACTTAAAATGAAAGGAAGAAGCAAAATATCAAATTAAGTGGGTTAATCGACTTAATTTATCAGTGCTTGATAAAGAGGAAGAGCCTATCTGAGTAGATCTCTAATGGAGAGAAAAATAACATAAAGTTAAATTCATTTCAATGAAAATTGAAAAAAAAAAGTGAAATGATGTTAAATTAAATTTAACATCAGATACAGAACCATTGAATAAAGGGTTCAAATTGTCTCTGTGTTGCAGAGATCAGCAAAGCTTAAATAAACTGCCTGCTGCAGTTGGATGAATTGGCAAAATCGATGAAATTGTCAATTTAAGGAATTAACTCTGAAGTTAATTCACAAATTGCAATTAATCCAAAGGTTCAACTACCAAATCTATCTGGAATGTTAAAAGAAATTTCAAATATTAATTAATTTGTTCATTAATTAATTAATCTTACGAGGAGGGTTTTAATGTATTATAGGGAACAGTAAAACTGCTCAATGGTGTGATAAGTAACAACAAGATCAGGTGATTGATTCAAGGAGTTACTTTATCAATACATCATGGAGGCTCTTATAACAAAGACAAAAATCAAAAATCAATGATCAATGATTTAGAATAAGCACATCAAACTTCATCAACCAAGTCAATCACATGAATTATGTCTGTAGAGTGTTACACACTGACTACAGAGAGGCAGAACAGCTGGCTGATACTGCAGGCAGATAATAGCAGTGTTAGCTCAATACCAAAAGCAACCATGTGGGGCAGTATGGAGTTGGGGTAACTGCGCAAGCTCAACACAAGTGGAGAAGAAGAAGAGAAGAGGAAACAGTCATCCAACTATGAAGGAAGGGGCCTTTAGGCTCTGCCTCCTTGAAGGGCCTTATCTGCTTAAGGCCAAATGGTCAATCTCTCCACTGACAACAAAGGGTTAACATTTCACAGCAGGCTGCGTCTGCACCCTCAAACATAGAACTTTACACCATCTGCTCAGGCAGATTGGTTCAATAAAATCATTTACAGGAACAAGGATCAAAGTGGCAAATCCTTAAACAGCAGATTCAACTGCAGACTTAAAAAAATCACAAATGTGGCGATTTGTGATCACGGATTTTGTCTGAATTCATTCAAACAACAGCCTCCCACTGTTACAGTGGTTTCCTGTGACAGGTAGTTAGTCTGTCAGGGGAAAGGAGGAAATCTGAATCCCATACAGTATAGTTACTAGAACTTCGTAGCAGACGATAGAGACAAGAATCAAAGTGACAAATCCCTCAACAGCAGATTCAACTGCAGACTTTAAAATCACAAATGCGGCGATTTGTGATCACAAATTTTGTCTGAATTCAATCAAACAACAACCTCCCACTGTTACAGTGGTTTCCTGTGACAGGTAGCTAATCTGTCAGGGGAAAGGAGGAAATCTGAATCCCATATAGTTACTAGAACCTCGTAGCAGACTACAGAGACTTCAGGGGCTTGAAACCACAGCTCGGAGCATCGCGAACACTGGGTTCAGCCAAAGGCCTTAAATACAAGCGTACGGCGACGCAACAATCGTGCACTTAAATATTGGACAGTCTAGACAGAGTAGAAGAGTCAGTCTCACTGCTACTCAGAACAACATTTCACGCTGTCCAGCTCAAACACAGACTACAGGCATGTAGTACAAAAGTGTGTGAAACACAGAGCATAAAGGTTTTATGCATAGATCAGGAAAACATCAGAACTTAGTCAAGCAACTTCAGCAAGCATAGCATTGATTGTGATTAAGTCTAAAATAGCCTGGGAATAAGTTTCTCTCATCAATTTGGAAGGCTAAGTTTTAGGTTGTCTGTTAGTATCCAGAAGTTTTGTTTGAAACGCCTCACGCAGGGGCTCCAAAATATATGTAGCGGTTGAAATGAGCCTCACAAGGCCGCACCAAAATAATACTGTAGCGATTGGAATTTATAATAAATGTCTGAAGATTAATAATCTCAAATTATGACATTTATGCACTCGTTGAAAGGGGCACCACCCACCCTTAATGGTGGGAAAATAAAGAAAACAAAAGTTTAATTCAGAAATCAAACATCAAGTCAGTTTTAATTAATCAGTCTCATATCTTAAGTCGAAATTCTAATTTCAGGGACTCCACTTCTGGAAGAACACTAACAGTCAAGAACTTAGAAAAAAAATGATCTGTTTATTACAGGATAAATGATGGTACGACACACATGCAATAAATGATGATCAGATAATGAGGATAAAATAATAATAGGTGAATAAATAAAGATTCTGAGTCAGGCTAGGAGCACTAAAGTTAATGATAGTGGGTGAATATGCGCTAACATATTAACCTACACTAAGTTTGGTGTCGAGATAAACTCGGATGTGGATTTGGAGGAATCTAAGATTACCAGAATAAGTGGATATCTGAGTTATGAACGCAGGAGACAGCACCAGCCCTCTTTAGAGCTCTGGAGGTTTGCATACTTAAGTGAGACTGGTCCTTGGCGAAGATGGAGCGGTTCGAGCGGTTCATCTCAGAAGACGACTGAAGTCAGCCGAAGGATGAGCCAGGAGTTGCAGCACTCGGGCCCGAAGCAAAGCCAGCGCCTGTGGATCCTGTGGATGCTCCTTTGGGTACTTCTTTAGTCTCACTCAAAAACTCTGGCACAGAGGATGACCTGGGCCTGCTGGGTTGCGTTCAGAGGTGACTTTTGAAATCACGCAGATAACTCAGAAAAACGAGACTCGAGCAGAGAAAACTTTAAAAAATGGCTTCGCGAAATTAAAGAAAAATCAATCAAAGGCTTAATCTTGAATTGCTATGCGCACAAAAAGTTGAAGTTTCAAAACTTGAACTAAGACGATGTTAAAGAAAAATCAACGTGAATCAACACGTGGCGTAAAACTTAGTAGACTAAGAAAAAGTTCTAAGAGAAAACAAAGAAACGCACCACAGAAGGGTGTGGGCAGAAGAGAAGGGCACAAGAGAGGAACGAAGACTAAGAGTGAACAAGAGAGTGAGCAACCCCACTTCACTGGTTTTATCTTCTCACACTGGGAGTGTTTCCGGGGTGTGTGTGTGAGGAGAAAGGAGGGGTCGTGGAATCTCTGATTATTTGATCTAACTTATTCTTTTGGCTGGTAAAAGAGTCAGATCTGATACTCACTCACTATGATTAATATCATTGAATGCTTGGTTTCATGATAAATAATTTGATACTAAACACATATGAAGTGTAGGATCACATCAAACATTCTCATTATGTTTTAAGTATCACATTGAACATGCTAAATTACTCTGAAATGAAACAGATAGTAACACATGGAAACTGTGAACAACAAAAGAGTAAACACATGTGAATGAACTTCATCATGATTAATAATGGATTCTAAATACTCACATTCAGATTATTCAATGACATTATAACCACCTAATGGTTAAAAATACTAAATAAACATCTACAATATAAACCAAACATTTCTAAACTATTTCTGTGTTCATAGAGTAAGTTATGATCCATAGTCAATAAATTTAACTCTTAACAGTTCATGAAACAGTCTGAAAAGCTGTTGGTCTAAAGAAACTAAAGAATAAGGATTTATTCTGTCAGTGATAACTCGGCTTCTGAAGCACATAGAAAAATGGGAAACATCTCATTTTAACACAAATTTCATGATTAGACAGATTAGTACATTGCTGAATGTATAAGATGTCAGGATCAGTCATTTGTATTCTTTTACCAAAGGAATGTAGTCTTTATCAGTGCATGGTCGAGCAGGGTTTTACGACCGAGGTCTGGAGGTCAGTGTCCCCCCTTATCCTGGGGTCCGTATGTTCACACACTTTAAGAAGGTAAATCTCAAATGGGAGATCTGGGTTGAGACGTTAATGTTTATTTAGATGGTCAGTGATGGAGTCAGTTTGAAAGGTAATAAAAACTCTGTCTCTGTTCTCCTAATTGACCAATCGTGTAGAGTCAGAAGTTTGGTCAACCTCCGGTTGGGTCATTTAGGTAACCTGAAAGTGTAAACGAGTCTGGAAAGATTTATATCCTGTTTCCTGGGACCAGATAAGGAAACTTTCCTCTGAGGAATGTGTGGGTTTCACATCCAGGGTTGTCTTGATTGCTACAGCGGATACGTCATTTTGTGACATTCAGTAGTTTTTTAATCATTTCTGGAGTCTTGGCAAATCTAATCACCCCCGTCTGCCTCTGATAGGTTAATAAAGCGCTCGGATTCATGCTCTGATCTTTCTGTGTGCTTCAAGAGTAAAGTAAACAACGACGATTTGCTATGTAAGATTATTAGTATATATTTTATTTAATATTTTATATTATTCTTCTCTTCCCCTGCTGTCTTGTTACATTTTTTGTTAAATATTTGCCACTTTTATGTATAAAGTGTATATTTATTATTTAAGCTCTGATAACCTGTTTTGTGCAGAATTGCCCCATTGTCTTTTACAATGTTGGAGGTGGAGAATATGCACCTTAAAAAGTGTCCTTCCTGGGGGGTCTCACCCGGGGAGTAATTTAGTCTAGAGCCGCCACTGCTGTAGATATTTAGATTTGTAATAAATCCCATTAAAAAAATAACGTAGAAGTCTTGATATTTTCTGTCTCCATCAGCCTGTCAGTAGATTATTTTTGAATGCCAATAGTGTACATTAATTATTTTGTTATGTTAATTTCTCCGTCCTGTTTTCAAAGGGAAAGGTTTTCTCTTGCAGTTGACAACTGTTGTGTTTGTACTTAACTCAAACTGGAAGAAACAGGGGATTTATTCAAAAGAGCAAACATTAGGGGTCTCATCATACGGGCTGGATAAGTCAGGAGGAACAGGTACTGACAGTGTTATTATTTCCAAGAGACGTTGCCACAGGTTCATAAAAGGGTTGCTTAGCTTTTGTACCTGCCAGACTTGTGCGAATAAGACAAAAAGACGTTAAAAAAACAACTGAGCAGGAGTGAAGGGAAAGCACCACAAATTGTCCTGCAAAGTAAAAACGATCTACTTCACAAACTCTTCAAAGAAATTTTCACCGACTGCAGTTAAAAGTTAGAAATCACGCCCCACTAAATCTTTAGGTATTGTGACACTGACACACCCTGAATGACCCAAAACAATATACTTACTATATGCTCAATCTGTTGATTGACTTTGACGTCACTGTTTTTATCATCAGGGTTTGAATCAATCTGATGGTTCAACCAAGGCTCAACCACAGAGGAAGAACTCATGTTTTTCACAGAATGAGCTGCTCTTTGTTAGCTTGATCTTGAAGTATGCCCCTTCTGCAGAATTGTACCAAAATTTTAGTGACTGTATGGATGATGTGCTCATTTACAGTGTAGTTTTAATTCAGTACTCAGCAGTGTATAGGATCCCATCTACGCAAACTACAGTGAGTGTTGGTGGTCCTGGAGGAACAAGCTGCACATCATGGCTTATAAGCCATGTTTACATGGGCAAAGTTTCTTGATCCGATCAAAAATTTGAGGAATAGGATAATCTGAAACCACTGTTTATATGGGTGCAAAATCAAATAATCTGATCATGACGTGGAAATACATACACCAAGTTTTATTCAGATTTCGGGATAACGATGGGCATAAACCACCCCTCTCGATCGGAATACAGTTTCTTTCCGATTGAGCCGTGTTGGATCAGAATCATCCAATCGACATGTTTACATGGCGCATTTTTATTCCAATCTGGCATTTAATCTGATTATTTGTGCCCATGTAAACGCAGCTATTGATGCGTTTGGCAATTCAATTTTTGAACACAGTGGAGTTCAGTGTCAAAGCATAAACATTTATGAGGCTTTAGGTTGTTGAAAATAAGAAAAAGAAGGACTATAAGCTGGCTAAACTCTTAATTAAATTGACAAATAAAGTCAAGGGCAAGTAAATTTGACTGAACAAAACAACATATCTTGAATCACATCTTTTATCGGTGCTTTTTATGCAGATACAACAGCAAGGTCTTTACTTTTCATGCAGCGTGCAGACGTCTGGGAGCGTGCCACACTGGCACCATATATTTCAATCAACTGGCACCACTTAGAGTCTGCAACAAAAGATTCAAAATGGTGCCTTGCAGCTACAAAATGCTGTCCACCTGCAGCTCACTCAATGTGATGCAGAATTTGCTGCAGAGCATTGTAGGTCAGAATAACGCAGAGCATGCTTGCTGAAGAGAGATCTCGTTCCTGGATTTCTCTATCTGAGAGACCAAACTCATTTGGATGCGTTGGGATAGTATGGAAGTATATGAAAGCTGATATGTTTAAGCTACTGAATCACAACAAAGACGTGTGAGGTGACATCTTGATAACATTGTTACCTGCCACTCTCTCGTGCAGGAACTTCTCTGTTATAAATTCCAGCCGGCAGTGAACGGAGGAGGAGATGGACAGTTTCAACTGCAGTGGAGGCGGAGCTTCAAGAGTCCTCTGCTCTCGATCATCTACTTGGACCTGACAGGGGATGGACTGAGAGAGCTGGCTGTTCTCACACTGAAGGGGCTGCATATCTTACAGGTAAACTTGATAAATGCAGGAATAAATACATGAATGAATAAATACATCAATAAATGCTGTATTTTAAGTTTCTAGCATATCTTTATATTTATTCATTTATCTGTTTCCTCAAGTATACATGCATTTTTTAATTAATTAATTTCTATATTCATGGTTTTCTACAATAACTTAAATATACATCGTTTTATTTATTGATGTATTCTTTTATTTATTTTCGTATCTCTGCATTTCCACATGTATTTATTTACATATTTCTGTGCCCATTTTGTCAGTGGAAAAGTATAGATGTAAACTGAGTGGGCGGTCCTAACTCCACTCTGAAGCAGGATTGGTTACATGGATGTGATCCACCCTGGGTCTACTACTGCTGCTTTGACTTGACCATGATGCTTTGCATAAATTATGGGCGTATTTTCCAGTGCCTTCTGATAATTGATGTGGAGTCTGCAATTTTCTCTGTATCTGTACGTGAATCGTGATTATTAAAGCCATCGAGGATGAAAACAATATAAGAACATTATCTATCATCATAAACGGGACTATGTTATCATTCTGCAGCCCTCCTCTATCAAGGGGTTGCGGGACAGTATAAAAAATGGCTTCAAATAATGTATGCTACGAGCGTTTAGCTGGTTTGTCAGCACCAATGCTGTAGACAGAGAGGCTGAGGTTTATCGGTTCTTACAAGGTCAATCGCATTTTGTTAACAGAGGTTAGCCATAGGCATGTGCTGATATGAAAAATTTGATATCACGATATTGGTGGCCCAAAATATCATAATTCACGATATTATCACGATATTAGCGCATTGCTTTCAACGTTATTAAAAATGGCAAAAAAAATGCAAATTCACTTCTCTGTGCACAGCATGACATGCACAAACATTATGAGCAAGAGGCAGCTAACGCAACGTTGGGATCATTAGCTTTTTGAAGCTCAAGTTAGCAGAAACTTCACTAACATTGTCATAATAAGCAGTAGAGTAGACCAAACTTGTTGCCGTCATGTTGTTTTTACCTTGATTTTGGTGAACAGTGCTGAATGGTGTTCACGGAGGTGGGCACGTAGGTTTGAAGTGTTAGACAATGGTGCTGCAACTTCCTTATTGCATAACCTGCAGATTGGTGTCAGGTTTACCTGCTTCGTCTGTTTTGTGAAGCTGTAAAACGTCCATACTGCAGAAAAAAACCTTTCCAGTAGGAGGATACAGCCGAGGCGTTTCGTCATTCTCAGTCTCCGACTGTTCTTGGTCCGGTGTTATGCTGTAGAATGCACCCCTGCTGTTGAATGCACCCCTGACGGGAGCGCGGTTGAAAGTACATAACAAGGCGAAATAATCCAAGTTTTCCTTACCGTTGGGTGGATTCTACAGCGTGTGCCTTTAATGATTTCATTCAGACTATTCAGATAAGCCAAAAACAATAGCCCTCTAATTCGGAATATTTGCTGTCCTGAAAATATAATGCTCTCTACCTTACCAGCTTACTGTACCGTTTATGTACCCAATTACATCTCCATATGTGCATTTTTGGGACACATACAAACAGAACGAAAGTTTGCTGCTCAATTGGCAAGTTGTCATGATCCAATACTTGTGTTTTTAAAATATCAGATCATATTTCCTCCACTTTAAGAAGCTAATGAGCGGATGGGATGCATTGTGAACACGCTCCAACAGTGCTTTGGGTGGCCGCAATACATTGTGGGTGGCCACGCATTTTGTTGTAAAATTTCTTCATTTCTCTTTTAATGTTCCCGTTTTTGTTAGGCTGGCATTAATGTACTTAATTCGAGAGTTTGTTTTGGATTTGGGACTATGTTTTGGGACTTGGCATTTGTTGTGGGATTTGGGACTAGTGATGAATGATAACCAGGTAGGGTTATGATTATTGCCAGAGGAGTTTGTATTTTCTAAGGAGATGTAGTCTGTGAGCAGATTTTTCCAGTGTATGATGTGTATGGAGTTCTGAGACTTCCAGTTCATGAGGATAGTTTTCCTGGCGACGGTCAGCGCCACTAGAAGTGAACGTGTGTGTGTTTTGTCAAGTTTTAATGTAGATAGGTCTCCTAATAAACAGAGGGAAGGGGAAAGTGGGATGTGGCAGCCCATGATCTGTGATAATGTTTCTGTAATGTTTCTCCAGAAGTGGTGAACAGGTGTGCAGTGCCAGGTTGCATGAATATAGGTATCAGTGCAGTTTAGTGAGCAGTGTGAACAGTTTCCAGATGATGCGAAGCCCATTTTTTGCATTTTGTGTCCAGTCAGATGAGTTCCATGAAGGATTTTGTATTGTATGAGTTGTAAATTGGCATTTGTCGTCATGGAAAAAATGTTCTTGCAGATTTGGGGCCAGAAGTCAGCATCAGGAGCAATGGAGAGGTCAGTTTCCCATTTTTCTGAAGGTATAGAGGGTGTTGAATCGGCCTGTGATAATAATTTGTATATCTTAGATAAAAGTGTCTTCGAGGAAGGGATGTTAATGAATTTAGAGGGTGACGGGAGGAGGACTTAAGTTTATATTCTTGTTTTTCATTGTTGATTGGATGGGTGATGAAACCTGTAGCAGGGTTTTTCCTGGCTCAAATTGAGGCAGAGGTGGCACCATCCTGACCATGCGCCATGACGTGCATGTATTTGTAAATTCAACTGACTCACTTTCTTTTACAGGCAACATACTTTAAGTTAAGAGTTCAAAAAAGAGTGTGACCATTATCATGTTAAAGCATTCATTTATTAAATCTATATACATACATAAATCAGCTGGCAACTTTAAATTGAAAGTACACTTCATCCACACATCTCACAACTAGACAGAACATTTCAGCCTCCTCTTTTTCATTCTGTAGAACCTCCTCATGCACTCCTTGTAGTCCAAGGCCTCCTGGTCTGGTCCATCAATGGCCACCTTACAACAGACATCCAAGTGCCTCTCCTTCAGTCTGTTCCACAGAGGTGTCTTCACCTTAAACAAAACAATTCATCATGCATTAAGTATTTTTGTTTTTATTCAGATACAGACATGAAGAGTGATAGTGTTTTCAATCATATATTATATATACGCTACAGTGTCCTCCCTAAAAAAAAACGACAACCAATTATTTCTTAAACTATCTAAACTATGATATTTTAGTTTTTGTAACTTTATTAGTTGAGTTTTTTTAGGTACTACCATCTTTAATATACTTCTCCTTCTCTTCTGCTGCTTTGTGAATGGCTGTCACCTCATGTCTTTTTAATGTGTCCAGCCTGTAGTTGGTTGATGGCTGTCTCACTAAGGAGGCAGCAATTGCCTGCTGTGTTGGGGCACAGTGCTTTTGGCATAAATAGCAGTGCATGCCTTCCTCAGTATGCCTGAGCCAGGTAAATTGATTGAGCCACTGCTTGTTAAAGCCACTGGCTCTGTGCTTTTGAGAAGATCTGGAAAGAGGAATAAAAACCACGTACACGTAGGCTTTGCGTTGTTATGCTCCTAATTGGAAACTTATTAATTAATTACCCTCGCCTCGCCGACTCGTCCTGTCCTGCATTCTGACCCTCGCGATCACCAGTCCCTTGTGAAGTACTTTCAGACCTGACACAAATTTCCACGTTGTCACCACCATGAATTATAGCATTTTAACTGCCTGTTACGTTTTTTCTCTGCTGTGTTTCACCTGGACTCTTGACTTTCCTCCTCGCAAGGTCGCTTTTTAAAGTACTGGCTGATTTTGCCTGTCATAACTGCAACGCTAAAAAACGGAGGAAACTTTTTTTTTAAATAAACACGTCATGCTTGGATGCAAAAAAGACAAGCAGTATTTACCTGTTTGTACCATCCGCCAGGGAAAATCAGGACGCCGATAGCACCAACTAGCAGGAAAAAAAACTTGATTCGATCCGTTTCTTCTTCGGTAGATGCTTCAGGTCTTTCCGGTGCACTGCTGTTGATATAGCGCCTCTATAGTGGCGCAACGCTGCAACTGCAGTTAAAATACGTTGCTGCTGCAGAGGGACATCGTACGCTCAATCAACACAGCTGAAGCTTTACGCTGTGTTGAGCGAAATCAATCGCTCTGGCTGGGGGCGGCACAAAATTAGGTGGAGGCGGCCGCCACGCAATTTTGAACGCAGGAAAAACCCTGTGTAGATATTGTAAGAATTGATGGCTCCTGATGCCAAACTTCTAGACCAGGAGAGAGAATGGAACCAGGATGTTATTATTGAAGATATTTTTGAGGTGAGTAATCCCTTTCTCTACCCAAGTGCTGAAGTATAGTGATTGTTTATTGCTGATGAAGTCCAGGTTGTGCCAGATCGGGGTGAAAAGCAACGGTGCCAAAGTGGAGTTAGTAGTGCTGTAGAATTTCCACCAGGCTGTCAGGGCCGATGATATTATGGGGTTTTGGAAACAGGGGTGTTTTTTGATAGTTTGACTAAGGAATGGTAAGTCTGAGAGATGGATGTCTTTGCTAACTGTTTGTTCTATGTCAAACCAAGTGCTATCTGACTGGGTGGGGTGGGTCCATTTGTAGATGTATTGAAGTTGATTTGCTAGTGAGTAATAATGAAAATTTGGAGCATTGAGTCCGCCTAAACTTTTTGATTTTTGAAGAGTGGCCAGTTTGATTCGTGGGGGTTTATTTTTCCAGTAAAATTTGTTGATGGATGAATCCGAGGGAATGAAACCAGGTGAGAGGTGGATGAGAGGGAATCATTGAACAAAGGTAACTGATTTTGGGGAGGATTGTCATTTTAACTGTTGCAATTCTGCCTAGAATGGATAATGGGAGGTTCATCCATCGTTGGAGATCGTCATTGATTGTTTTTAGGAGTGGAGTGAAATTCAGGTTGATCAACTCTGACAGCCTGGGGGAAATGTGGATGCCTAAGTAGGTGATGTGACTAGTGCAGAAGGGGATGGGTGTTGTAAGGGCTGCCACAGCCAGACTGTTGGTGGGAGTATGGAGGATTTGTTCCAGTTTATTGAGTAGTCAGAGAGAAGGGAGAAGGATTTGATGACTCTGATTACTTCTTGTAGTGATGATTCTGGATTCTCCATAAAAAGTAATATGTCATCTGCATAGAGGCTGATTTTATGGTGCATGTTGGGGGTTTGGATTCCTGTAATGAGGGGGTTCTGACGGATGGCTGCTGCTAGGGGTTCAATGAAAATGGTGAACAAAGAGGGAGAGAGTGGGCAACCTTCCCTGGTCCCCCTGTGAAGAGTTAAGCTTTGTGAGGTTTCTCCGTTAGTAATAACTGTGGCTGTAGGTGAGGTGTAAAGTGTTCTAATCCAGTTAATAAATGAATCCCCAAAGCCGAAACTGTGTAGGGTGTGGATGAGGAATGACCAGTTAACTCTGTCAAAGGCTTTTTCTGCATCCAAGGTGGCTATGATTGAATTATGGTTATGTGTGGTTGAGTGGTGCATTATATTGAATAGTCTGCGTGTGTTATTGGATGAGTTTCTTCCTTTAATAAATCCTGTTTGATCCGGGTGAATAATGGATGGAATAATTTTTTCTAATCGGTGGGAAAGTGCCTTGGTGATAATTTTAATGTCAACGTTGAGAAGTGAAATGGGGCGGTAACTTGAAGGCAGGGTGGGGTCTTTGTTTGGTTTAAGAAGCAGTGAGATGGATGCTGTGTTCATGTTGGATGGAAGTCTGGAAGTTTTTGTGTTTCTGTTATCATTCTGTGGAAAAGTGGAGCTAAGATGGACCAGAAGTGGTTGTAGAACTCAGCAGGGAAGCCATCAGGACCGGGTGCTTTATTGTTGGGCATTCTGTTGAGGGCAGATTGGATTTCTTCAGTTGTTAGGGGTGTTTAATGTCTAATGGGTGTCTAATGTGTTTTTTTGTTCAGGGGAGAGTTGGGGTAAATTGAGGCTGGTGAGAAATAGTCTGATGTCTTCTTCCTTAGGGGTATTATCTGAGGAGTATAGGTTGACATAAAATTCTCTGAATATTTGATTTATTTCATCGGGTGAGTTTGTTGACTTCCCTGCTGAGTTCATGATGGTGGAGATTGTGGATTTTTCTTTATTTCTTTTGATTTGGTTTGCGAGATATTTACCGGATTTGTTATTGTGATGGAAGTTTTCCTGTCGGAGCCTGCTGATCATGAAATTAGTTTTCTTGTTCAGAATTTCATTTATTTCTAGTTTATATTTTCTTAATTTCTTCTCGTTTTCTTCTGTTGGATTAGTTGCATTGACAGTTTCTAGCTGTTTGATTTTTTCTTGTAATTCAGATTCTTGTTTGTTTTCTGTCTTTTTCTTATAGGCTGAATATGAAATGATAATTCCTCTGATGACTGCTTTACCTGTTTCGCATAGAAGTGTGGGGGATGGCTTTGGGGCATCATTTATTTCCAGGAAGGATACCCACTCTCTTTTGATGAGGTTGTTAAATTCAGGATCTTTCAGGAGGGATGTGTTAAAGCGCCATCTGGTGACTGGTTTGTGTGGTCTTGGTGGGTTCCATTTGAATGATACTGGGGCATGATCACTGATAATGATGGGGTGGATTTGATTATCAAAAATATTTGAAATGATTGAATTACTGGTAAGGAAGAAATCAATGCGTGAATATGAATAATGTACTGATGAAAAAAAATGAGAAATTTCTGATTCTAATCAAAGTCCGTTGTAAAGCAGATGATAGAAATATTAACGAGGGTCACGGGAACACTCCTCCTTTGTTTTGGGTGCTCCTCAAGCCATAAATTTGACTTTGTTACGCAGAGCAGATCAAGAGTGGAAGTAGAGTGGAATTGATTGGTCCTTCTTCTTTTGGGTGGACAAGCGAGACACATTGGGGGGTTCTGCCCTCCACAGTCTAAAGTCCTCATTTATTTATGCAGAAATCTGTAATGGCTCATTAGCTCTTTCGAATTGATAGCTTTTTTCTGGGTAGTATGGTAGATTTCATAGATGCAAAGGTGCAAAAATGAACTACAGGAAGACAGAACCGAGCTGGAAGCCTCCCGCGGGATTTTATTGCAGCTACAGCATCAACCACAGCTCATGAGAATCAGACAGACAGCAGAAGCCAAACATTCCCAGAATCTCCTTGAATTCTTTCCCTTTTATACACTATTTGGGCGCTCCAATGATGTCTCTTATCTTCCCGTAAGTGGTCTTCACATTGGTGTCTGATTGCCAGCAACGTGACTTCTTCTGTAAACATGTTTTGCTCACTGGCCGGCTCTGCCAAATTTCCTGTCGAAATGTGTGACAAGTTCAGGTACCATGACCTCTCTGGCTGTATCCTCCATCCTGTTTTGCAACTTTCTTTGCTTAAATCTATTTGCTCCCATATTCGCCCAGGAAACCAATCCTGCCTCAGAGTGAAGCTAGGACAGCCCACTTAGTTTACATACATGCTTTTCCACTGACAAAATGGACAAAGAAATACATATATTAATAAATGTGGAAATGCAAAAATACGTAAATAAATAAATGAATGCATAGAGAAATAAATGTAAAACAGCATTCATACAAAAATATAAATAAATATATACATTTTTAAAAGCATGCATGATCGAGGAAAAAGATGAATAAATAAATATATAATTATGGAAATAAAAACAAAAAATATATGCATTTATTTATTTATCTATGTATCTATTTCTGTGTTTATTTATCAAGTATTTAGTTATTTATTTGTGTATTTTTTGTATAACATGTACATGTATACAGATACTGTGGTTTACTTGGCTGTAATGTTTGCAGGGCCAGTTTTTTAAGGATAATCTGACCAGATTTAATGTGTTAGATGGGCTCAAATCTTGAAAACAGGCTGTTTATTATTATAAAATAAAATATGTTCGAATGAGTAAGTAAATAATAATAAAATATGACAAATCAAGTAAATTTTAAAAAAAGGACTTTAAGAGGGCTGTTTGTTGTTTTTCATCTGAAAAAAACAAACAAACTCCAGATTGTGTTTCTTACAGCTTTTGAGAAGGATTTGGATAAATTTCATTTAAAAAAAAACACCTCAGTTATGTGGCCATAAAATATTTATGACTGTGCTATCACAATACTTCAAAGTAAAACAACACAATCAGTCCAACTACAGGTAAGACAAGGCTCGAGTAACACATTATGTCACAGTCCTTATCAATAAGGCAACTAACTTAAATGATTCTGTCAAATTATATTTATGTAGCACCTTTCATTCAAATCAAATACAATTCAACTAATGCGCACCACAAGCATTCAAAGACCCTCATATAAAACCATAAAGATAAAGAGTTAAAGGTCCCCTATTATGGCATTTTTCATCAAGTTTCAATCAGTCCCAGAGATCCCACAATAGTAAATTTAGTTTGTTGTCTAAATCACCAGTTTAAATATCAGTTTGGATATCAGCCAGCCTGTACCCCCCTCTCTTTTTGAGCTCCACTGAGAACGGGTTGATTCTGCGTCTGTACCTTTAAATGATAATGAGCTGTGTGTAACCACACTCTTCCTCCACTCTGAACTGCCGGCACCGCCCCAGTGGTCCAGGAGCGTTCGTCTGGAGATCTTCTGAGGACCTCTTCAGAGGTCAGTGGTGTCAGTGGTGTCAGTGGTGAAATGGTTAGCACACACATACAACATCTTCGGAGTTGTTGTGGGTACATTTCCATCAAAAATAAAATTAATCCACTGGGTCCTCAAATCTTTGATAAAGGAGGCAGAAATAAACTCCTGTCTTCGTTTGTGCAGCCAAGAACCACGCAGTGGCTGGGTCATAGCTTTGACATGGTTGCTGTAACAGAGTGGTGTATGCGAGGGGAAAAAATGGCGGATGCTACCTAAGTTGGCTTGGAGGGGATGCATATTATTGGTAGAAAACCATCCAAAAATGGATTTTTCATAATAGGGGACCTTTAAAAAAACACAGTAAAGCTCTCTTGTGTTGTTGTTGTTGTGTTGTTTGCTGTCCTGTTGTCTTTATTGACTGTATAAACTGACTCCCCTGTGTTGTCACAAAAATGTCTGTTTTTAAATGTTAAAATATTTTGTCTTGTAATTACTTTTTAATTAAGTAAAGGAAGAAAACAGTTAAAAAGAAAATTATCAAAAATATTGAGTTTATAATAATGCATTAGATTTTTATAGTGCTTTATCAGAGACCCTTAAAGCCCTTTACATTGGATACATCATTCATTCGCTCACACAGTCACACCTTGATGGTGGTAAACTACCTTGGTTGTCACAGCTGCCCTGGGGCAGACTGCCAGAAACATGGCTGCCAATATGCGCCTACGGCCTCTCCGACCACCACCACACAACACTTACAATCGTACACCAGTGGAGGACACACACTGGGAGCAAGGTGGGTTAAGTGCCTTGCCCAAGGACACAACGGACAGACTAGGGATAGGGGGAATCAAACTGCCAACCTTCCAGTTATTGGATGACCGCTCTCCCTCCTGAGCTACTGCCGCCCTATTATTATTTATAAAAAGTAAAGATGAGAAATCAAAGATAAAAGCACAAGCATTATAATGAGTAGTTTAACAATGAAGTGACAATAGTTGGAGTGATGAAATAACATCAAAATCAATATAATAGAATAAATATCCAAGCTCGTCTCATCATGTCATCTTCCATTTCATATGGTGGTCAATTTTCTGATTTATCCACATTACCAGCCCTGTGACTGAAGCTTCTTTTGAGAGGACATCACCCTTTCAGTGATTTTTATGTTTTTATTTTGATATTTCCTGTCACTGTGAGATACACTTTAATTTTGTAGTATACCATTACTGGCATATTGTAAGTTACAAAATTAAGTTAAAATGTTAATTAGAAACTTCAAATGTTCAGTTGAATAACCTCTAGAGGCATAATCTCTAACTGTGTTTGGATTCACAATTACTCTTTGAATAACTATAACTAAATATGTCACTTTAACTTTGTCATGTTCAAAACCAGCCCCACATAGACTGACTCAAATATGTGTCTTTTACTCTTTGTCTCTTCATTCAGCACTCTCTCACATGCACATCTGACTTGGTCTTGGAGCGGCTCGCCCACAGGGTGTCAGTGCTGACAGATAGGTCAGAGCCGGAATCAGACGAAGCTCCAAACACTGAGCAGACCAGCACTGCAGTGGAAACAGAGGAGATTCTGTCCAATTAAAGTGAGAGAGGCTCTATGTTTACATGAGGAAGTCCCAGAGGAGGATCACATTTAAGAATTTACCATATTCACAGGTGTTATGTGGAGGACAACCTCAGGATGAATATGTGTATTTACTTGTGATGATGGACACCATATGTCAGGTTTATACCAACTTTGACGCTCAATTTTGCTCAAATGGTGGTAAGATAAACTGACTGAAAAGCCCACATAAATCTTTAATGAGCTGTAAATTGTGTTCAGTAGATAATGAATAAAACATGTACATGTATACAGATACTGTGGTTTATTTGTCTGTAATGTTTGTAGGGCCAGTTTTTTTTAATAATCTGACCAGATTAAACGTGTCAGATGGGATCAAATCTTGAAAACAAACTGTTTATTATTAAAAAATAAAATATAATCAAATAAGTCAGCAAATAATAATAAAATATGAAAAATTAAATAATATAAAAAAAGGACTTTAAGAGGGCTGTTGTTTTTCATAAAAAAAAAAAAAAAAACTCCAGATTATGTTTTTTTACAGCTTTTGAGAAGGAAGGATTTGGATAAATTTTAAAAAGAAAAATCAGGATTATCCTGATTTTAGCACAGGTTTCACAAAAAGAAACTTGTTATAAATACCAAAATGGATTGTCCTTGTTAGAAAAAAAAAGAATGTTTACAAACTTGTGTTTGCATCTTTTTTTTATATATAATAAATGCAGAAGATAAAAATGACAATTTCAGAGCTATGGTTGCTCAAAGAAAATTTAGGGGTATTCGCAATGGTCTGTTTAAGTATTTTATTTTTTTTATTGTTTTTTAAAATTTCATAAATAAGCCACTCATTTACTGCGTAGTTTGCTAAATACCTATGCTAGTGATCCATTAGTGGTCAGTACTCGGACCACAAACCACATACCACAAAAATAAACTAGAAACAGAACCCTGTCTGTGCTGAAAATCTAGCCTATTGGGTGTAGAGTCCACATATTTGAGTAAAATCTGTGAAAAGAAATTAAAGCTTTGGTCAACCAGAGCTGGTCGTAAGATAAGAAAAAACTCTATTCATCCCACGGTGACGAAATTTGCTGTGTTAAAAGCAGCAAAGGATCAGCACAGCAAACATAAAAGAACAAGTACATTCATCATTGGCACAGTGCTCAGATAATTATGAAAAAGTTAACTTAGACCTACTCTTACCAAAAAAAAAAAGGAGACCTCAAGTACATTTTATCAAGTATACTTCGATTAATTTTGGTGTATTCCATAAGTATACTTTGTCTTGCCATCAATGGTAGGACAGAGTGGCAATGTAGGAGATAGAGAGGAGGGAATGAAATGCAGCCCATGGTCAGGACAGTCAGGAATCGTACCCGTGACCACAGCGGGGAGCAAGTCCCCAATATGAGGAGTGACTTAATTAGGGTTGGGTTACGGTTCCCAGATTGTAAAAAAAAAAAAATTACTGTGGTAATGTCACGTCACTCACGTGCATCTCAAAGAATGAGTCGAGTGGACCGGCCCACTGATCTCAGATAAGCGTCAGTCTGCAACAGAAGTCATCCAAAGCCTGGTTGTACTTTGAAAAATTCAAACATACAATGCAAAGTGTATGAAGTGCAGTGCAGTCAACTCTTGCGCTGGTGGTACCACATCCGCTATGATAAAACACCTCCTGAAACACGACATTCATCTCAGGCAATGTACCATGTTTTACAACCTGGGAAAACCTCTGTTACCTGCGCCACCACCCTCACCGTCACACCTGTGGGCGGTACAGGATAAAGCCGCTCCAATAGAGCCTGCATCCAGAGACCCTCCAGGCTAGGACTAACACTTCAAACCCACATGTCTGTGTAAACTACTTAGGTAGCTTGAAATGACAATTTCTGTAGATCCATTGTCGTATGAAACAAGCGCTGTGTATTGTTGCACTCCTAGCTATTTAGCTAGACTAATCGTAATGGCTGGTTAGAGTATAATGTTAACGACACGACTTTTTGAAAAACACTAGGTTTCCCTGCCTGTCTAACGTGCTATTGGTAATGTTATTAATAAAAATTGGCTGTAAATCAGTTGATCATGAATATAAAGTAACATTAAGGTGTCATGTTGTGTTTTCCTCTATTTAGAAAACAAAAGCAGAACCTGTAACATAACGCCCTTCACTTTGGCAAAAGCTGGGAGGATGACCCTGGAGAGAGCTGATGAGTGTCATCATGCTGTGATGAGATTTATTGTTAAAGATGCACATACATTTAGAAAAAAGTTTTTGCTTTTCAGGTTCCGGTCTGCCTGGCGAAGGGATGGCAGCATAAGCGACAGGCTCCTGACAGTAAAATTAAAAAGGACCCGGTTACAACTCGAAACCCACACGTAAATATAAATGCAAATGTAACAGGTTAAAGACTATGCCCACAAGAAAAAAAGGTAAGAAAAGTGCCGCACAAAAGAAGGAAAACTACGACATGGAAGAAGATTGTGAATCGCAAGCTAGCGACGTCATGCTAGCAGACATGCTGCCGAATGACACCGAGCAAAGCCAGGATGCTAACCTAGGAATCATCCTGAGAGAGCTACGAGAATTCAGAAAAAACTCCAGCCAGAAACTGACCGACATCAGCGATGACATCAATAAGATCTACAAAAGAGTGGAAGAGGCGAAGGAGCATATTGACACAGCCGAGACTCGTATCCAATCAACAGAGGAGGTTGTGGCTGAGTTGGTGAAACTCCAGGAGCAAACAGAGGCTAAACTGATGGACTTTGAGGGGCACTTGCGACGGGAAAATGTAAGACTGTACGGGGTGAAGGAGGGAGCCGAAGGAGGCGCAATGCATACGTGGAAGAGTTGCTAATCAAAGGCCTGGGGCTCCCGACCTCCACAACCTTAAACATTGAGAGAGCGCACCGGGCGCTCAACACGAAACCCCCCGCCTGAAGCCCCGCCTAGATCCATTGTGATCAAATTCGCGAGCTTTAGAATGAAAGAAGATATTCCCAAAAACCTGGCAAAGAGGGGGATTCGACTTCCAAGGAATGAAGATAAACATGGATCACAATTACGCACCGGAGCCGCTGAAGAAGAGGAGGGAGTACGCAGAGGCGAAGGCTGCGCTTAAGGAAAAGAATATAAAGTTCCAGATTCCATTCCCAGCCAGGCTATGGGTGTACTACAAGGATGGCACAGTGGTTTACAACTCGGCAGAGGAGGCTACGGAAGACATGGCATGGAGGGGGATACCGGTGACGATTCGGAAAAAAACTGCCTCTCTTCTGGATCAGATCAGCCAGCATTCCTGGCAGCCCAGCAGAAGGCGAGGAAACCGGGAGAGCACGAGCACCAAACACGGCTTCAGGGAGCAACTTCAAAGATTCTGACGGGACACTTGATAAGTATCGATAATGTAATAATTGATTACACACTGATATCCCCTTGTGACTTGAATCTGAGATAATGAAAATCATATTATAAAAGTAAACATAGCCCATCTGATGGGAGAGTATGTACATTTTGAGGGCATAAGGAAAATTACACTTGAATTTGAGACATTTTACTAGACATAATGGACCTGTGTAACAGCTTCGATGATGAAGAGGGCCCTCTCACATCGCTCGATGGAAGAGACTTTCCCTCTAAACTCACGTTCCATCTGAGTTATGAGGCTAAGGAAGAGGACTCACTATTGGAAGTCAGCGTGTATTTTTGTTATGACGTTCTCTATTTTGTTGTAGTAAATGTTTACGTGGGTGCTATCGTTACCTATAGCACCAGGGGTGCAGGAATATTTTCTTTTTATTTAGTTGCTCAGAAATTAAAGGATGCCTAAATGACATATTATGCAAAAGTCAACTAAGGTCATTACTTATAATGTAAATGGTTTAGGCAATCCAATTAAAAGAAGCAAAATTATGGCAAAATTAAAGAGAGAAGAAATAGAGGTAGCTCTTCTCCAAGAGACACATTTATCAGATTCAGAACACGAAAAACTCACAAAATGGAGATTTAATCAATATTCATCTTCCTATAGACATGGTTGTAAGAGAGGGGTAGTCATCTTAATCTCTAAGAAATTAAATTTTGAATGCACATATGAAAAGAAAGACCCAGATGGGAGATTTGTTTTGGTCCGAGGTTACTTACAGGGTGCTTTAGTTACCTTTCTGAATGTCTACGCTCCTCCATCATCCGAGTGGACTTTTTTTAAACAGATTTTTGAGTTATTAGTTTCAGATGCCCAGGGAACCCTAATCTGTGGTGGAGATTTCAATGTTAGACTACACCCCACCCTGGATGCATCAAAACCCTCTTATACAGGAGAGAAAAAAACTACTAAAAATATAAAAATAATGATGAGGGAAATGGGTCTCTCGGATGTATGGAGAGAACTGAACCCAACTAAAAAAGACTTCACTTTTTTTTTTTTCTTGATTACTATCTAATGTTTCAAAGGGATACTCATAGGGTTAAAAAATGCAATATTGGGACTATGGATTTATCAGATCATGCACCAGTCTATTTAAAGGTAACATTGGACACTGAAAAAAAGGGCACGATTTGGAGTCTAAATGCAGGGATCCTAGGCCCAATGTAGGAACAAATAAAAACCGATATAAAGCAATATTTCGATGAAAATGATAACGGAGAAGTATCCCCACAAATTCTCTGGGACGCTTGCAAAGTGGTTGAATGGGGGAAATTATAGGCTACTGCTTGAATTTGAAAAAACAGAGAAAAGCAAAAATTGAACAGTTACAGTCGGAACTGAGAAAATTAGAGAACTTACATAAAAAGACACTAAAGCCAACAATAAAAATGAAAAAAAAATGAATTAAATGAAATTTATTCTAATGATATAAAGAAAAAATTTAACCATTCTAAAACAAAAATATTATGAAGCAGGGGGCAAATCTGCTAAATTATTAGCCTACAAACGAAAAAAGCAACAGGCAGAAAATACAGTACACAAAATAAGGGACCCCATTAGTAACACTACACATTACAAAATAAATTATATCCAACAAACCTTTGAAAGATTTTATACTAATCTATATGCCCAACCTAAAGCAGATGGTGAAGCAATGGAAGCCTTTTTGAAACGCATAAAATTTCCCAAAGTTACTGATGAACAAAATAAGCTGTTAACCAGAGAAATTACAGATGAAGAAATTAAAAGGGCAATATCACATTCAAGGATAAATAAACCGCAGGGGCCAGACAGATTCCCGGCCGAGTGGTACAAGGAGATGAAGGACCTACTCGCCCCTAAAATAAAAACTACTTTTAACCATGTGCTTAAAACTGGCATTACTCCTCCCTCTTGGAAAGGAAGCAGTGATATCTGTGATACCAAAAGAAGGTAAAGACAGGTCAGACTGTGGAAGCTATCATCTAATAAGTGTTCTAAACCAAGATTATAAGATCTATACCCACATTATGGCAAAAAGACTTGAAAAAATTCTTCCTCAGATAATAAGTCTAGATTAAACAGGTTTTATTCAACAAAGACAGACACAAGACAGCATTCACTGAACACTGCTCCAAGCCGTAATGCTAAGTCTTGACGCTGAGAAGGCTTTCGACCGCGTTAATTGGGAATTCCAATTTAAATTATTAGACAAATTTGGATTTCATCAAATGTTTATTAAATCTATTAAGGCATTATATAATGAACCAAAAGTCAAAATAAAAATTAATGGAGCAATATCTAACCAATTTGGCCTGGAATGAAGGGACCAGGCAAGGCTGCCCATTGAGCCCATTGCTGTTCGCTCTGTTTATAGAACCGCCAAGTCAGGGAATTACTCAAAACAAGAATATTACTGGAATAAAAATATTAGACCAGGAATATAAGATTTCTTTATTTGCAGATGATGTTTTAATTTATCAAACCCAGAAAAATTAATTTTGGAACTGCTATCATTTTTAGATGACTTCGGCTCGGTCTCAGGCTATAAATTAAACATCCATAAGACTCAAACAATAAACTTCAACTACAAACTTAGACAGATCATTACATCTAAAATTCAACTAAAATGGCATCTAGAACATATGAAGTATCTCAGAGTCATTGTCCCAAAAGATTTATCGAGTCTATATAAACTAAATTTTGATACATTAAATAAGAAATTAAAGGAAGATATAAGGAAATTGAATCTTATCCCTGTATTAAGTTTTGAATCTCGAATTGAAACGGTTAAAATGAACATCTTGCCAAGGATACTATATCTATTTCAGACCCTCCCAATTGAAATTAATGATAAACAATTCAGTGAATGGGATAAATTATTATCTCTCTACATTTGTCAGGGAAAAAAAACAAGATTAAGGTTCCAAATTCTTCAACTGTCAAAGAGCAAAGGTGGACTGGCTCTTCCTTGCCTAAAAGATTACTTTATATCGGCCCAGCTGAGGATCCTGTTCTGTTGGTGTGCTTCAGATTACAAAGCAAGATGGAAAGAAATTAAAGAAAATTTATCAGGAACAATGCCAATTCAAGCAAGGCTAGGAGATAAAAGACTAATTAAATGCTCGATGGAGAAAGGAAACGAATGGATCAACTTAACTTTGAGAACATGGCTAAAGGTTATCACTAAGACTGATATGGTAGAAGAGGTAAAGATCCTTAATCGGTGCTGCCATGATCTTGATTTTGCCCCAAATAAAATGGATACCACCTATAGGGGCTGGGTTAGCCATTGTCTCTCTTTATACTGTACCTGGTTTGACCAGGCAGCACTGAAGAGCTTTCAGATGTTGAAAAGAATGCTCAAAATAGTGACTTTTTCAGATTTCTTCAGCTACGCCACCACCTAAACAGCACTATGTTAAAAAGTCAAAAAGCATTTTAAAACAGTCTATTAAAAGTGTTCATTAGTGCATACAGGACAGATTCCATGCTCAAAGTCATCTCTAGACTTTATAGAGGACTACAGGAAATAAAAGTAGTGAGTACCACTTACATAAAACAAAAGTGGGACAGGGAAACCAACAGCTGTATTTCAGAAGACACTTGGATAAAATACTGTGAACTTCAGTGGAGGATATCAAGTTCAAACACATGGAGGTCATTTTGCTCGAAGTGTCTCATTAGGTATTTCATTACTCCTGCTCAATCGAGCCACCACACAGGATCCTCCAGCTGCTGGAGAATGTGTCGTTCTCAAGAAGCTAATCACTTTCATTTGTTTTGGACATGTCCAAAAATAAACACTTTCCGGCGTAAGGTCTATTCAGCACTTAGAACTGTATTTGGAACTGACATTACATTTACCTGGCATGAACTTTTTTCTTCTCTTCTCTATATCAAAATGTACTTGATCACTCAATCTATTGTAATATATCAGAAACACCCCATGTTCATGTTGTGTTGCATTGTAAAATGTTTTGAAAAATGGAAAAAGAAATAAATAAAAAAAACAAAAGATGCACATGCGTTTTCCACCGTTGATTGTCCATCCTTTAGGTACAAAGTTTATGAATCAATATAAGTATTTTTTATTACAGTGTTACTGTAGAAATCAGATAATCACTTTTTGGTTATATTATATAGAACATATGCTCCCTTTTGCCTCAGAAAGCTGAGCAAGAAATAAAACTGCACAGGAACCTACCCCCTGTGTCCATGAGCACAGACCCTGCTAAGTGGTGATGGGAAAATTGGTCTACTCTCCCCATCTTGTCAGATTTGTCTGCCACATATATGTGTGCGCAATAGGGATGTGGAGATTAATTGATATGGATCGTGGTCGCGACACAGACGTGCGCGATGCAAGTGCATTGATTCATTCAGTGTGTATTGGTACAATGACGGCTGAAATTCGTGATGCTTCGGTCGCTGCGTCTGTATCGGTAATCTTCACAGTTGCATCAGTTTTTCCATGCTGTACTGCATTCTATCATGTGTTTCTGAGGCATCTTGAATGCACCATCACCATTTTGTGATTTGTTTTGAAGACAGACGGAAGCCATGCACGCGCACACTCTTCAGTAATCATGGCAGAGGGAAGCAGCAACGCTGCTGAAGAAGAGATTTTTAATGCTTAATGCAAAAGTTCAAATCCAACGTTTGGAAGTACTTTGGATTTTGCAAGAGAGATGGTGAACTTGACAAGACGCACATTATTTGTTAAGAATGCTGTGCTTCTAAACCTCACAACAGCAGCACGACAAATATGGCCACTCACTTGAAAAAACATGGTATTGATGTCACGAAAATCGCTGCTACCGGAGTGCAGGAGGCGAACGGCAATACGGGTGAAAACAAGAAAATCACAAAACACTCAAAAAAACAAAATCAGATTTGAAGAATTTATTAATTTCTTCACTATTCAAAAGTCAAACATGCTCAATGTAAAAATGTGAATGCAGAAAATGTAAACAAGTTGTAAATATGTACATACAAAAGTATAAGTGAGATAAAATTAACGTTTTGGGATGAGGGGTAAATCATATCGTATCGAGAACAGGGGTGAATCGTGGAGTATTGTATCGGCAGGGATTTAATGTATCACAAATTATATCGTATCATTGGCAGTGCATCGAGATGGGTATCTAATTGCCACAGTAATGGAGATGCACATCCCGAGTGTGCAAGCATCATCAACCCCATCAAAGTGTTTTCTCAGTAGCTGGAGATACTATTAGCCAAGAACGGTGTAGGATTTGTCCAGAGAAAGCAGATATGCTTAAAAAACTGTTAAGAGGTGTACTCATGCTCCCCAACAGCCTAAATGTTCAGTCTAACAGTGCAATCATTTTCTTTACACAAATGTGTATTTTCATCTAATTGTACTGGGCAACAGTTAGAATTATTTTTTTGTGTTGGTATGATTGCATTTGTGTTTATTATACTCTTTTCAGTATAGCAAGTATAATGAATATGATGGTCTTTTATCCTCAGCGGGAGACTGGCAGTTGAAGGTGGACCTGGGGAGGCAATTGAAGTTTCCGGAGCACATCACCAGCACAACACTCAGGCCGGACATGGTCTTAACATCAGAGAGTTCGAAGCAGGTAGTGTTACTGGAACTGACAATACCCTGGGAAGACCGGATCGAGGTAGCCTATGAGAGGAAGAAGGCTAAATACCTGGAACTGGTGGAGGACTGCAGGCTTAATGGGTGGAGGGCCCGCTGTGAGCCCATTGAGGTTGGTTGCAGAGGATTCCCAGGACAGAGCCTGCATCGGGCACTCAGGCTCCTTGGAATCAGGGGGGCTCAAGAGAGGAAAGCCACCAAGAACATCTGTGAGGCAGCTGAGAAAGCCTCTAGGTGGCTTTGGATCAAGAAGGGCGATAAATGGTTTAGTGCGCTGCTTGGACACAAGTCGGGGTCTGATCAGCCCCGGCTGGGTCGCCCAGGTGAGGGTGTCTGATGATCCAAGACCCGAAACACCCTGTGACCCTGGGTTCATCACTGAAGATGTGTCCAAGCTGCACCACTAAGGTGTTTGTTAAAACTATCTACATCTGGCATAGCCAGTGACCTCCAGGAAAGGCTGGATGACGACTACGAATAGTGTAGTGACAACTGGAGAGACAGTGGACAGCTCGGAGAGACGGCACCAGGGGGAGCAAGGGTTAGCACCCCGAGCTGCAGCTCCCGTGAGGGAGCACCCAACTAAGCTACAGAAAGCCCTAATGAAAGATACCCCCAGGGGTGCCCGAGAGGGGGGGAGGATGAGCACCCCACACGGACGGATTTACTGGCAAGGAATATGAGCAATGGATTACCGACAACGAGAGTAACCTGTATGTGTGGCAAGATCTGCAAGAATCTCAAAGGTCTGAAGATCCATCAGACCAAGATGGGCTGCTCGAGGAGGAAGCAAGCTGAACAATGCACAGAGGCAGTGCTTAGCACGACCTCTGGTGAGACGGAGGAGGAGCCGGACCAGGAGTCAACCCACAGTGTCCAGAACCTCCAAGCTCAGTGTGCTCCACCCAGCAATCCAACCGAACATCGCAGGGTCTTGTGGCCAGCTGCACATAAGGAGACTGGGTGGCGCCAGTTCGATGAAGATGCACATGCCGCTCTGGAAGCGTCATCAAAGGGGGGAGTGGACCAGCAGCTTCAAACGATGTGCACCTTCATCATCTGCATCGGTGCTGAGCGATTTGGGATCAAACAGCCAAAGGCTAAGACAACAGCAAGACCAAACTGGCGAGAGAACAAGATCACTGCACTCAGGAGAGACCTGAAGACCCTGAAAAAGCAATTCAAGAAGGCCAGCGAGGAAGAAAGGCCCGCCCTGGCTGAGCTCCGAGCCATCCTCAGGAAGAAGCTCATTTCCCTACGCCGCGCTGAGTGGCACAGGAGGAAGGGTAGAGAGAGGGCCCGCAAGCGCACTGCTTTCATAGCTGACCCTTTCGGGTTTACGAAGAAGCTGCTAGGGCAGAAGTGGAGTGGGACCCTTATGTGCCCAGAAGACGGCATCAACCGCCATCTCTCAGAAACCTACAGCGACAGGCAAAGGGAAGAAGACCTTGGCCCCTGCAGAGAGCTAATTACACCACCCCCACCCTCCAGCCAATTCAACATCAAAGAGCCAACACTGGCAGAGGTCAGGAACACAGTCAGGGCTGCACGAACCAGTGCAGCACCAGGGCCGAGTGGCGTGCCATACAAAGTTTACAAGCGCTGCCCGAGACTACTGCAGAGGCTGTGGAGGATCATCAGGACAGTATGGCGAAGAGGCAGGGTAGCCAAGCAGTGGAGGCATGCCGAAGGTGTCTGGATACCGAAGGAGGAAAACGCAAGTGACATCTCGCAGTTCCGAACCATCTCACTGCTCAGTGTAGAGGGCAAGATCTTTTTCAAGATCCTTGCCAACCGCATGACAGAGTTTCTCCTGAAGAATTCATACATCGACACCAGTGTGCAGAAAGGGGGAGTTCCAGGCTTTCCAGGCTGCATTGAACACACTGGAGTTGTTACCCAGCTGATCCGAGAGGCGAGAGAAAACCGAGGAGATTTGTCAGTCATCTGGCTCGACCTGGCAAATGCCTACGGATCCATTCCCCACAAGCTGGTGACAAAAGCTCTGACTATGCACCATATCCCGCAGAAGATCACAGATCTCATACAAGACTATTACAACAGTTTTAGCATGAGATTCACCTCTGGATCAATAACGTCAGCATGGCACCGCCTAGAAAAAGCCATCGTCACTGGTTGCACCATATCAGTGACGCTGTTTGCTCTGGCAATGACCATGCTTGTCAAGGCAGCAGAAGTGGAATGCAGAGGACCTCTCTCCAGATCTGGCATTCGCCAACCGCCAATCAGAGCCTTTATGGATGACCTAACAGTCACAGCAACATCAGTGCCAGGGTGCCGCTGGCTCCTTAAAGGTCTGGAACGGCTAACATCTTGGGCGAGAATGACATTCAAGCCAGCCAAGTGCAGGTCCCTTGTGCTGAAGAAGGGGAAAGTGGAGGACAAGTTCCGCTTCCACATGAACGCTCTTCAAATCCCATCTCTGACAGAGAAGCCGGTGAAAAGCTAGGGGAAGATCTTTGATGCTTCTCTGAGAGACACAGCAGCGATCCAAGCTATGCACTCAGAGCTGAAGACCTGGCTCACTGCGGTGGACAGATCAGGCCTCCCAGGGAAGTTTAAAGCCTGGATATATCAGCATGGCATCCTGCCAAGGCTTCTGTGGCCACTACTGATGTACCAGGTCCCAGTTACAACGGTGGAGGCCTTAGAGCGAAACATCAGCCAGTTCCTGCGCAGATGGCTGGGCCTGCCGAAGAGTCTGAGCTGCATTGCCCTTTATGGGCACACAAACAAACTGCAGCTCCCATTCTCAAGTCTGACAGAGGAGTTCAAAGTAACAAGAGCCAGGGAAGTGTTACTGTACAGAGACTCCTCCGACACCAGAGTCTCCTCTGCAGGCATAGAGGTCAGGACTGGGAGGAAGTGGCGAGCGCAGGAGGCAGTCCAGCTGGCAGAGGCAAGGTTGCGGCATGGTGCACTACTAGGCTCTGTGGCGGTTGGGCGAGCGGGACTCGGCTGCCATAAAACACCACGCTATGACAGAGCACAGGGGAGAGACAAGCGGCAGATGATCCAGGGTGAGGTCCGAGCAGAGGTGGAGGAGGAGCGGCGCAGCAAGACTGTGGCCATGTGCCAGCAAGGAGCTTGGACCAATTGGGACCATGCACTGACTTGGAAAATCACCTGGTCAGAACTTTGGAGGTCAGAGCCAGCAAGACTCAAGTTCCTGATCCAGTCAGTGTATGATGTCCTCCTGAGTCCATCTAACCTGCACTGCTGGGGTCTGGCAGAAACACCATCATGTCCACTCTGCCCCGCAAGAGGAACACTGGAGCACATCCTGAGCTGCTGCCCAAAAGCACTGGGAGAGGGCAGGTACAGGTGGCGCCATGACCAGGTGCTGAAGGCAGTAGCTGACACCATCTGTGCTGGGATCCAGCAAAGCAAGCACCAGCCTCCAGCAAGGCATAACATCACATTCGTTAGGGCTGGGGAGAAACCACAGTCACAGCCAAAGGTCCCAGGTGGTCTTTTATCCTCAGCGGGAGACTGGCAGTTGAAGGTGGACCTGGGGAGGCAATTGAAGTTTCCGGAGCACATCACCAGCACAACACTCAGGCCGGACATGGTCTTAACATCAGAGAGTTCGAAGCAGGTAGTGTTACTGGAACTGACAAGTTCATGGGTTCATCACTGAAGATGTGTCCAAGCTGCACCACTAAGGTGTTTGTTAAAACTAAACTAGTATTCAGTGAGAGGATTGGTTAAGGATTCGGACTGTTAAGTAGGAATCGGTAAGAATTCAGAACTGTTAAAATCCAGACAAATCCCAACCCTAGTCTTAATCCATCCGGCTATCTGCATGCTAATTCTGATAATTAAAATTACTTTTTGGTATGCTATGATTTAAATAGTAGTAGTAAGATTTATATACCTGGCTTGTACTGCTTATCTTTCTAAAAGAAACTCTGTAAGCGCATACTCTTAAAAAGGTATATGCAAGCATTCACTGATAAAGTATACTTAAACCCAAGGCACAAATACATACTAAAGTAGATCTTAATTAAAAGTTTATGTATAAGTATAGGTTAAATATATTTACACTTAAAGTATATATATTAAGTATTCTTGGCTTGTACTCAGAATTATACTCAAAGTATATCTCTTAAAGTGCATAAAAAGTAAACTGAAAGCATACTTTGTTTGAAAACAGTACAGTTTAAGTAAACTCAAACACACTTCTTTTTTTGGTGAGGGTATACAAAAAAAAGTTATTGACTGAAGGAAGAAAAATCAGCTATAAAAAAACAAGCAGTTTACACAGTAAACAATAAGGAATTTGACACATTATTGCATACTATTTGAGTTATTATATCTGAGAAAGATGTACACTACAGGCCAAAAGTTTGGAAGCAAGATCAGATTTGTACAAAAAAAGTTCATAGTTTCATTAATATACTTTGCAACACTATAAACATGACTATTGTGTAAAGAGTAACTTATCAGAATACATTTTGACTATAATTATTAGGTATTTTAGCTTTTCTTGCTTTGACTTTGCTTTCTTTAAAGTAACCTCCTCTGGCTTTAACAACAGCTCAGCATATACCAGGCATTCGTTCCACAAGTTTTTTAAGGTATGTTCCAGGGATTGCATTCCAAGCTTTCTTAAGTTCATTAAAAAGATAGTGCTGATTCGTGGGATGCATTTTTCTGACCGATCAATCCAATTCATCCCGCACAAGCTCTATTGAAGAAAGGTCTGGAGACTGAGGGGGCCAAACCATCTTTTGAAGAATACCTTCCTCTTCTTTTTTGTCTAGGTAACCCTGACAGAGCTTGGCAGAGTGCTTAAGGTCATTGTCTTGCTGCAAAACAAACTTATGAGCCACAAGTCCGAGTCCAGATGGAACAGCATGGTGCTGGAGGATGGAGTGGTACTGTTCCTTTTTCATGATACCCTTTACTTCAAACAAATCTCCTACTCCATCACCTGCAAAACATCCCCATACCATGGAACTACCACCTCCATGCTGAATTGTGGGTGTAACAATTCAATTGTAACAATTGTGGGTGGGTGGTGCTTTCAGACATTCACCAGTTTGTCTGCGGACTCTGCGTTTTGAACCAAACAGTGCAAACTTGTTTCTAGTCATCATAAGTCCAATTTTTGTGAGCTTTTGCCTACTCATATCTCTTTTTCTTGTTCTGTGGACGAAGTAGTGTTTTTTTGCAAATACACAACCCTTCAGACCAGCCTTTCTCAAACGTCATTTCACAGTTGTCAGAGATATGGGTTTCGACCTTGTCATGTTGATTTCCTCCCTTATTTTTGGTGCTGTCTTTTGCCGATCTTTCTTACTGGTGACAATGCTATGTTTATCCTCTGCTCTGCCTTTAATGGCCTTACTTCCAAACTTTTGGCCTGTAGTGTGTGTTTTTAAAGTAAAAAAAAAAAAGGTGCAAGAGTTCATCTGACTCAAGCAATGGACACACAGACAGAAATACCCTCCACGCCTTCGTCACAGGCAGATAGTAGGCCTGTATCTAGTCCAACCAATTGGGAATTATGCTGTTTGTGCCAACAAAACATCAGTGAAAGGCTAACTAATGCCACAGGCAGTGGTTATCTGACTTTGGCTAACAATATTCCCGAATTTCACAAAATGAACTTCATGCCAGTTCTTTTTGACCCAAAGCGACTTGATGATGGTGATGGAATTTAAAAGCCCAAAAAAACAAACAAACATAAACAAACACAAACAAAAAAACTACCCACCTAGGGCCCAGTCAGTACCCACATGGACAGCCGAAGTGGGAACCAAGTGTATCCCACGAAATTCCCAAATAGCAAGCCCACCTTGAAACATATGTGGGTCCTACCTGGGCGTGCTGGTCTGGGTAATGGTACCTATGTCACTAAAATGCAAATCACTTTAAATGTGTCATCATAAATTGATTCTATCTATGGAAATAAATACAACTATTGCTGCATGCTCTTATGGCTTAACCGTGAACTGCAGTATATTTCTGCTATTTATTGGCAGCCATATTGGAAATTTGCCACCATATTGGAACCTAATATCTTATGTTTAATTGGAATAAATACCTAAAACATTATCATAAATTAAAATGAGGGTATGTGTAAGTTTTATAGCTGCAGCAAAGTGATACAGTCCAAAACGTTGACCTGGTGAAAGCCATTTCTAAAAGCTCGCGGGCATCATGAAAAATGGCGCCGCCCAGGTGGCCAGAGGTTATATTATGATTAGTAGTGGTATCAAGGATATCTGTACCAAATTTCATGCTTGTATCACCATTTGCACTATCGCCTCAAAAATCAGCATATTCCCGCTAGACTATCTTATCCAAGTAGCTTCTTCAGTTCTAAATTCAGCTCCTCACACTAGCAATATTTAGAACTGAAGAAGCTTCTTGGATAAGAGGCGAAACATCTTCTCAACTCTACACAGTCCAGTTGCCTGTTTTTGGAGTCTTTAGAAAACCATGACCTGGATTAATGAGAATCTACATGGACACATTTTAATGAACGTATTCTAAAGATTCAGTTCAGTCAAAAGAACTGGTCTTCCCATCACTAGTGGTGAGGAATAAACATGGATCCTGATCCTAATAACTCAGTCTTGAAAACCTTACAAAAAACTCAATCATTGATGTATTTCAGTTGTCCTGCTTTGGCTTCAAATTGGACATTCGTGTTTGTTATGGGGTGTTTGTACTGTCAAAGGTTAAAGGTATGAAATATGTGTAAATTCAAGAAAAACTAGCACCCTGTTGGGCAATAACAGGCCCAAGCGGTGTCGCCCTGCCACCTCTTCAGCGCACCGCCACCTCGTCGCACCACCCACCATCCCCGGTGCGGTGCTCTCCACAACAGCCCAACCTTTGTGTTGGTTGGCACTTGTGACTGCCTTTGAGTAGAGTGGCTCATTTAGTGTGAAAAGATGTCAGAGATTGAAAGGACGCCATAGTAACGGCCTTAGACATAAACACGTGATTTTTTTGATTTGGTCTCAAGGTCTGACAGACTGGAAGAGAAATAACATCATTCCAGAAAAATTAAGCATGCCTTAACTAAAGAAAAAAAATGTTTTATTTGTTAAAAGTATTATGACAACTGCACTTTTTCATACATTTAGAGAGTGACTGTTAGTCCAGCTACATAAGCAAAGTTGGTCTAATCTGTTTATATGTTTGAGAGTTGACTTATAATCACCAACTAATTTGAGATACATGCAACAGATTCCTACATCTTACCAACAAATTTTGTAGATGTAATTGTTTGGCTGCAATTCACATAAAGTAACATGACGAGAGGCACAGAAAACAGGAAGTATATTTCCTAAATGCTAAAATAGACAAAAACTAAAACCAAAAGAGAAAAAGTCACTGTTTTTTTATAAACAGGTATTCTATTCATAAGAGGTATATTTGATAGTCTTAGCACACACACCATTGAGGAAGAGGTGTTACAATCTGTTTGACTTATATTTGACAATAGCTGCCCTTTTTGGAGGCTGTCCTTTTGACAATACAATGAAATAAAAATTCTTCACAACTCACATGATGCAATATTTCAAACAGTTGAACAGATTCTTTGTCATTGTTGTGCAACATAAAAAAGTAAGGTTGTAAGTTAATAGGATATTAGAACATGTGAATTTATAATAATACCTACATTGTTGTCCATGTTCTCTGGCATTGTAGCAGTGTTTGTCACCCTTTAGTCACCAATCTGTTCATTTGTTGTAGTTTCCGGCCTGGATGAATTACAAGCCATTTCAGTTTTACACTTTGAGACCTGCCTTTGCTTTTATTTCCAAAAAGGATGAACTATAATAATAATTCTATTTGATCTGTAAGAAGTGCTAAGGTGGCTTAGGAGTGTTCTTGGCTGCCCAGATAATTCAACTTGAATTAGTCCAAACACAATTAAAAAGCCTTAAAAATGAGCCCCCTGAATTCAGACTCAAGCTATCTGCGTGCAGTGTATCTTGGCACATGTAGGCAGTTTGATATTTCATATTCAGCTATATGTGTGTCCTCTCCCTGAATGTTAGGGGGCCTCGAAATAATGATAAAAGAGCCCAAGTTCTTTCTTGGATCAGAAAACAACATGCAAGTATTATAATGCTACAAGAAACATATTTTACTAATGATCTAATCGAAAAAGTGAATAAGGAATGGAAAGGAAAAGCTGTGCATAATATTGGAACAAACCACAGTAGGGGTGTAAGTATTCTATTTGACCCTAAACTGAACAATACGGAATTGAAAGAGTTTAAGGATGATCTTGGGAGAGAAATATGTGTCAATTGTAAGATTGCCGACAAAGCATATTCATTTCTTAACATTTATGCCCCTAATGTGTGTGGCGATAGGATCATCTTTTTAAATGAACCGTCCAGGTGGCTTACTGGTATTGACATATGTAGCGTTCGTACTTGCGTTGTGTGATTAATTCTGTAGAGAAACCAGACTTCTGTGTTAGAATCGATGTTTATTCAGTACCTGGTAGAAAATTATCATGGTCAGGTCTCGCATCAGACATGCGGTCTCTCTCTAACCAGCGAGCAGCTCAGCACAACTGTGCTAACAATATAAATTCAAACTCTATACCTGGTAGAAAATTATCATGGTCAGGTCTCACATCAGACATGCGGTCTCTCTCTCACTGCAAGTATAAAATAACAACATAAGTACCCTCTTAAATAAGGAAATTAAAAGATAATTAAAACAAATAATCCCGGAGATCGGACATGTGGACTTCCCCAGCGAGCAGCTCAGCACAACTGTGCTGCTAGACTGGGGTTCACTCCCCAAAATCCCCAGGGGTTGATGCATTCGAGGGCTGCAGGGAATCTAAACATCCTTAAAAGAACCTAACGTAAGGCATGGCAAGTGAAATCATTAAATATTAATTATAACTACGTTACACTCCCCCCTACTGATTTCCACTTGCCCATACAAAAAAACGAATACTAAGACGCAGAGTGAGACCAGGCCATAAAAACATCCAAACAACAAATATACAAACATACCAGGTAGCAATCACAGTATAACAAGAGGAGGACCCGAGAAAAGGAAAAAAAATGTGTACAGTGCCGTCAAAACCACAGATACCAAGTATACCAGTCACAAGACCATTCCTGAAGAATTAGAATGGGGAGGGGTTGCAAAGCCTTCCACCACCCATAGGTAAACACATGCCCATATACATTTTAAATCACCCAGAAATCATGTCATAAAAAAAACAGCACAATTTGTAACCCCCAGGACATATTCACGCTAGCAGTCCAACACAGGTATCAACCATCATAGAAAAAAAAGACATAAATGACTCAAATCCTCCCCAAAGTGACATAAAGATACCAACCATACATAAACATTTTAAAGAGCAGTACACAAAAAAAAAAAAAAAAAAACTAGCGACCAGCAAGAACCCTCTGGTGCATATTCTGAATAAGTCTGACTACTGGCCTCACTACCCTCCCATACCTTGTCCGCCTTCTCTGCAAACCGTCAGGGGAAGGGTTTGGTCCTGCCTCCGATGCAACAACTGAACCAGCATCAGAAGGCAGCAAGTCAACAGGAAGAGTAGGGACAGCAGGTCGAGAGTCGGGCAAGTCAACAGGACAGTCAGTATCAACAACAGGGTCCGAAGGGTCAGACTGGTTCAGTTCTACAGAACCATTCTCGTTTTGCCTGTCAGGTCCACTCTCCATATGACTGGCAGGGATAATCTCATCAGGTGCGTCAGATCCGGCACAGTCATTCATATCCACATCAGCCATAGTTGTCGACTCTGAGATGGGAGCTGGTTCAACCGCACTCAACAGTCAGAGTGCGGTTGAACCTTTCGACTGCTCCATTGCCCATGGGGTTGTAAGGTGTCGTGTGAGATTTTTCAACACCGGCAACTTGGAGCATCTCTGCAATCAGACTGCTTTCGAAATTTGCACCCTGATCGGAATGCACTCGCTCTGGGAAGCCATAGATACAGAAAAAGTTGTTCCAGAGTTGATGAGCGACAGCTTTGGCTGACTGATTGGGACAAAGGTAGGCTTGAGACAGTTTAGTGAAATGGTCTGTCACGACCAGCACATCCAAAGACTTGTTGGAGGAATCTTCAGCCGACCAAAAATCAATGCATACCAACTCAAGAGGTCTAGAGGTCTTAACACTCTCGAGTGGTGCTCTGGCCTAGGGTTCAGGAGTCTTACTGACCAGACAGCGCCGACAACACTGCACATAATCTTTCACATCTTTCTCCATCCCAACCCTTGTCTAGCCAAGTAAAGTGTCCGTCTCTGACCTTGGTGACCCGCCTCATCATGAATACCCTTCAGGACTAACCCTAACCCAAGCATGGATCAGTACGCTGCTGTGACATGAGCTTGGCCTTGGGCAGGGGCCGATAATCAGACAGCTCGGATGGCAGGAGGGACTGAGTGAGCTGAGGCAAGCAAAGTGCATGAGAGGGAAACTGGTCTTCAACCAGTGAATGTTCCAAGACAGCCGACACTATTTCTGAGGAGATAGGTGGATGCTGGGGCACAGCTGTTGCACTGTTGAAGGCCACAGGCAGAGGGTGATGCAGCAGGCGGCTGAGAGGATCACAGGACAGCCTAAAAGCATCCTGCACACAGTCAGGATCAAGGGCATTCGCTTCCTCCAGGAGTGCACCGTAGGGGACTGTCGTGAGCCGGTGGAGAACACTGGGGTGCACAAAGGGCTCATGGCTGAGGGCGTCTGCCACCACATTTCTCGGACCAGGGATGTATCTGATGTCAAAGTCGTAGGGGGCCAGTTTCGACACCCATCTCTGCTCACAGGCATCTAGTTTGGGCTTACTGAGAATGTAAGTGAGCGGGTTATTGTCGGTCCAGACAGTAAACCGATTACCTCTCAACCAGTGGCTGAATTTGTCGCACACAGTCCACTTGAGTGCGAGAAATTCGAGTCTGTGTGCCGGGTAGCGAGACTGGGCATAATTGGGGCTCGATGGTTACTGCACGTTTGAGCTTAACAGTACCCACCTTGTCAGGACACTTACCTCCCTTCCATGTCTCAACAGCAGCCAAGAACTGCAGCAGACTTCTCCCCTCCTCAGGAAGCTGATCTGAGAGAGACACCTTCTCCTCACCAGAGTGCTTCAGCACCCGAATGAGGTGTTTTATGACATTGCTGCCAAGAATGAGATCATCACTTTTACCCTCCACTATGAGTGTCGGAACTGAAAAGCAACAGTCAAACACTTTCATCTTCAGCTCACACGCACCAGCAGGTCTGGTTGTTAAACCACCGCATCCAATGAGCACAACCGATGTGGGAGAAATGGAGTCAGGGGAAATGACATTGTTCTCTATCATGAGGTTGAGCACATGAGAACTCAGGGAGCAGGCCATTGAACCACTGTCAAGCATGGCATTGAGTGTCATAGTATCTTGAATGAGCGCTTTCGTGCGGAAAAGGTTATCAGTTGCAGACAGTCTTTGTGTATTTTGAATGACCACAGTGGAGCCTGCACTTGTCAAGGAGCAGAACTGAGAGTACACTGATTCAAGGTCAACATCATCAGATTCTTGTGGGGAATTGCTCTCCGGCCCTACATTACTCCCCTGCTCATGCGGGCCAGCTAGTTTTTTCTGCTGGGTGGCACCATCAGGTTTAGCAGCAGATGAGTCAGGAGGAGGAGCGACATGGCAGGATACAGCTTGGTGGCCTGTGGAAAAACAGCGGAAACACAGACGCTCCCTCCTGCAGTGAGACACAGTGTCATGATTGTCATTCCTACATACAGCACAGGGGCCCGGAGACTTGTTGCGGCTACAAGTACCTGATGACCTTGGAGGTCTGGAATGTTGGAAAGTCTCTCGCTGCAGTAACCGCTCAAGGAGAGTGATGACGTGTTCAAGTGACTGCCCTTCAGCATGTGACACTCCACTGGTTGTAACTGGTTGAGGGGCAGGAGCGCTCCCAGCAGACTGAGCATGGCACTGTACAACACTCACAGGTTGGTCGGGTTGCTGGTTCCTAGCCGGACATGAAGACTGACGTTGCTGGAGGCGCCTTTTCCTGTGGTGTTCATCCAACCGCACCTGGACATCAGCGGCAGTCCACTCCTCTAGCGGTTTGCAGCTGAAGACTAGAGACAACTCAGTGTCAGGACAGTGAGTGATAAACACATACATGACATAATTAAAGGTGGGGATTGGAATACTGTCTTGAATTTGGAGATGGATAAAAGCCCCCCTATAACCCACTCACCAGTGTATTATCGTAAAGCAGCTGAGGTAATTGGTAATTTGTGTAAAAACTTCCAACTATATGATGTATGGAGAGAGAAATATCCAGGGCTAAAGCAGTTTACATGGAGATGTAAGAATCCAGAAACAGCTTGTAGATTGGATTTCTTTCTAATTCATCAAGACTTAGAACAGAATGTGGTAAATGCAGAAATTAAAGCTGCTTTAAGAACAGATCACCAGGCTATTATGTTGACAATAACATTGGACCACTCAATTCGAGGCCCAGGTATTTGGCACTTTAACAACAGCCTCTGTGAAGACAAAATGTATAGTAACACTCTGATCACAATTATTGAAGAATGCCAAAATTATTTCAGTGATCAAGATCATAGAACATTTTGGGATCTGTGTAAATTCAGGATCAAGGAAAAAAACTACAAAATATTGTCAGAATAAAGCTAGAATTAGAGCTGAACGCTTGACTACCTTAGAAAATAGTCTCCGTGACTTAGAAAGAAAAGTAGATCATGAACCAAATAGGGAAAACATGGAAAAATACGATGAAGAACAAAAACAGCTAGACCAATTATATGCATATTACACTGAAGGGGCAAAGATTCGTTCAAAAGTGAAACACTATGTTTACGGAGAAAAATCCACTAAGTACTCCCTCAATTTGGAGAAATCAAACAACAAAAAACATACTATAAGTAGCCTGAGAGTTGGTGGTGAAGTATTCTGCCACACTGCTGACATCCTCTGTGAAGCTAGGAAGTTCTATCAGCAGCTCTATAAAACACGTGAGGTAAATCCCGAAAAGGTAGACTGTTTTTTGAGAAATATAAACATAGACCATACTGTATCTGAGGAAGCAAAACAGCTACTAGATGAACGACTGGTGGATAAAGAGTTTTCGGATGCTGTAAAGAATCTGAAGACTGGCAAAACACCAGGTACTGATGGAACTGCATCAGAATTCTATCAGTGCTATTGGGATATTGTAGGAGTGTTTGTTATTAATTCAATCAGGGAAGGTCTTGCACATGAACAGATGGCAGACTCCCATAAAAGAGCCATTTTAAAATTACTTTATAAAAAAGGAGACAACCAACTATTAGATAACTGGAGACCTACAAGTCTTTTAAACACAGATTATAAAATACTTGCCCATGTGCTAGCCAATAGGTTAAAACCACTGTTACTATACCTAATCAATGAGAATCAAACTGCCTATGTAAAAGGCAGATTCATTGGACAAAACGTACGCCTTATTACAGATGCTATTGACTATATAGATGAAATGCAAATTCTGTCATGATCTGTGCTGTGAAATCACTTCCTGTTTTATTTTGAAGATCCTGTTTTTCCTGTGTTGCTGTTACCTTTACTTCTGGTCTTTGTTCCTTTTCCCGCCTTAGTTAATTACCCCATTGGCTTCACCTGTGTTTTGTCCCCTTCTCTATTTAACCCCTCCTCACTAGCTCTTCCCTGCCAGATTGTCTTTGTCACTTTAGTACAGGCTCTCTCGCGTTTTGATATATCTCTGCTTCCCGTGTATGACCTGTTTTGATCGTCCTGGATTTTTGATTCTTGCCTGTCCCACTGGTTTTTGTCGCCTGATTATTTGCTGCTCTGATTTTGACCCTGCCGGGTTTTCTTTTGGTTGGAATAAAAGAGTTTGCCCTTTGGAAACTGAACAATTGCCTCACGTCCACTGCTTTTGGGTCCACACACTCTCGGCGCTTTACAGTACAATCTGGCCATGATGGACCCAGCAGGTGAGGACTTTTGCCATGCTCTGGGGGCACAGGGAAGACGTCTAACCGAGTTGGAGAGGGCCATCTCCAGCCTGGGCCCTGGAGTTCAGTCGTTGTCTGCCCAGCTGCAAGCCTTGGCTACTCAGACTAACCAGCTGATGGTTCGCCTGGATACACTGCAAACTGTCGCTTCGAGCCCCGACATCTCCTCTTCACCTTCAGTTCCCTCTGCTTCCCTGGGTCACCATTCTGAGCCGAGTGCTCCGCCTATTGAGAGGTATGACGGAACTCCTGAGACTTGTCGCTCATTTTTGACTCTCTGCTCGCTAACCTTCGAGCTTCAGCCCATCACCTTCTGCACTGAACGCTCTAAAGTGGCTTTCATGATCACAAATCTCACCGGGCGGGCGAGAGAGTGGGCCACTGCTGAGTGGCAGAGGGGTTCATCCGTTTGTGCCTCTGTGGATGCCTTTTCTGCTGCTTTGGCCCGTGTGTTTGGTCAACCTGTTTCGGGCCGGGAGGCAGCCTGTGCACTGGGTCGGCTCAGGCAAGGCAGTAGCTGTGTTTTTGATCATGCCATCCGGTTCCGCACTCTGGCGGCTGAGAGTCGCTGGAACGATGAGGCCCTTGCTGACACTTTCTTTTGAGTCTTTCTGAGGATTTAAAAGATAGACTGACCATGGTTGATCTCCCTACCAGTTTCGAAGCTCTCGTGGAACTAGCTATCAAGGTTGACAACCGGCGACATGAACGGGAGCAGCTCCGGCCAACGGGCCATGTGGATCGGCTGAATCGGGGAGAGCATGGCTCTGCAACGGCCTTGGGAATTACACCGTCTAGCCCCCCAATGGAACCCATACAGCTTGGTCGGACTCGCCTAAGTCTAGAGGAGCGACGTCGCCGCCAGCGTGAGGGACTCTGTCTCTACTGTGGGGGAACCAGAGGCCTACTGGTGAGTCACTCCGCAAGCGCCTCTGCACCTAAACGCGCCTTGACCCCAGTTCAGCTCATCACTTCTTCCACGAATGTCCTGGATCTATCAGCTCTCATCGATTCCGGCGCTGATGAAAGTTTTATGGACCGGGACCTGGCCTGACAGCTGGACCTGCAGCTCAAGCCTCTCCCTGAAGCGCACCATGCCCGCGCCCTCGATGGCCACCTGCTTGGACAGGTTACTGAACAGACTCCTCTCCTGTCTCTGCAGATGTCAGGTAACCACAAAGAGACTATTTCTTTCCTGATTATTGATTCCCCCCACTACCCTCTTATCCTGGGTTACTCCTGGTTGTGTAGACATAACCCCCTGATGGACTGGGCTACAGGCAGGGTGTTAGGATGGAGCCTAGCCTGCCAGTCAGCCTGCCTGCTCTCTCTGCCTGTTCCCCATAGGTCTGCTGATTCTTCTTTTGAGTTCCCAGATTTGTCCATGGTGCCAAGGGTCTACCTGGACATAAAGGAGGTTTTCTCCAAAGGCCGGGCCGCATCCTTACCTCCACACCGCCCGTATGATCGTGCTATTGAGTTGCTTCCTGGAACAATGCCACCCAAGGGCCGTCTGTACTCTATATCCGCGCCTGAGCGGAAGGCCATGGATAAATACATCCAGGAGGGGCTAGCGGCAGGGATCATCCGTCCTTCTTCCTCCCCTGCTGGAGCTGGGTTCTTCTTCGTGGACAAGAAAGATAAGACCCTTCGTCCATGTATTGATTACCAGGGACTGAATGATATCACGGTGAAGAACCGCTACCCATTGCCACTCCTCTCATCGGCGTTTGAACTGCTTTAAGGGGCTCGTGTCTTCACCAAACTCGACCTGTGCAACGCCTACCATCTAGTTCGGATTCGTGAAGGAGACGAGTGGAAGACGGCTTTCAACACCCCCAGTGGCCACTATGAGTACCTGGTAATGCCTTTTGGACTTACTAGTGCTCCTGCTGTATTTCAGTCGCTGATTAACAACGTTCTCAGAGAGATGCTGAATGTTTACGTTTTTGTCTATCTCGACGACATCCTGGTCTTTTCCCAGACTGAAGAGGAGCATGTGGGTCACGTCCGTCAGGTGCTGCAGCGGCTTTATCATCATCAGTTATTTGTAAAAGCTGAGAAATGTGAGTTTCACCGGACAACGGTGTCTTTTCTGGGACTTGTGATTTCACCAGGTCAGATCAAGATGGACCCTGAAAAGGTCAAGGCCGTTATGGATTGGCCTGTTCCCACCGATCGGAAACAGCTCCAACGTTTTCTGGGTTTCGCCAATTTCTACCGCAGGTTCATCCGTAACTACAGCCACATAGCAGCCCCTCTGCATGCTCTCACCTCCTCAAACTCGAGATTTGCCTGGTCCTCTGAGGCAGAGTCAGCCTTCCGAACCCTCCTGTCCAGGTTCTCCTTGTCCCCCATCCTGCAGATGCCCGACCCCAAGCTCCAGTTCATTGTCGAGGTGGATGCGTCCGACGTTGGGGTAGGAGCGGTTCTCTCCCAACGTTCTGCGGGTGACGGAAAGGTTCATCCGTGCGCCTTCTTCTCCCGGAAGCTGTCTCAAGCCGAGCGCAACTACGATGTGGGGAACCGGGAGCTGCTGGCCGTGAAGCTGGCACTGGAGGAGTGGAGGCACTGGTTGGAGGGGGCAGAGCAACCCTTCCTAGTCTGGACGGACCACAAAAACCTGGAGTACATCCGTGGAGCCAAAAGACTAAACTCCAGACAGGCTAGGTGGGCCCTGTTCTTCACCAGGTTTGATTTCACCCTGTCTTATCGCCCTGGGTCCCGAAACGTCAAGCCGGATGCCCTGTCCAGGCAGTTTGAGGCAGGAAACCGCCCCCAGGATGCAGCTCCTATCCTGCCCTCCGACTGTGTGATCGGGGCGGTGACCTGGGACATCGAGAGGGAGGTCCAGCAAGCACTTTTGACGGCCAGGATTCCTGTGGGATGCCCTCCTGGCCGGCTTTTTGTCCCAGGCCCGCTCCGCTACCGAGTCCTGCAGTGGGGGCACTCCTCTCTATTAAGCTGTCATCCTTCTCCAAGATGGCCCATTTTGTCGCCCTGCCTAAGTTGCCTTCCGCCAAGGAGACAGCGAAGGCAGTTTTATTTAATGTGTTTCGTCTCCATGGTCTTCCTCAGGACATTGTGTCTGATCGGGGTCCCCAGTTCGCCTCACGCTCCTGGAAGGAGTTCTGCCGGCTGCTCGGAGCGTCGGTCAGCCTCTCCTCCGGTTTCCACCCCCAAACGAATGGCCAGACGGAGAGGTACAATCAAGAGATGGAGACAGCTCTCCGCTGCATCACCTCCCGGAGTCCAACCAACTGGCCGCAGCAGCTCCTCTAGGTGGAGTATGCCCACAACTCCCTCCCTGTGGCTTCTACTGGCCTGTCCCCGTTCCAGTGTGTCTACGGGTACCAGCCCCCTCTTTTCCAGGACCTCGAGGGGGAGGTCACAGTTCCATCAGCCCACGCCTTGGTCCGCCGATGTCACCTCACCTGGAGGAGAGCCCGTGCAGCCCTTCTCCGCACCAACATTGGGTACCAGAGGTCCGCCAACCGCCGTCGCTCCCAAGCCCCTCGCTACCACGTTGGTCAAGAGGTTTGGCTTTCCACCCGTGACCTGCCGGTTCGGGGGGAGTGTCGCAAGCTGGCTCCAAGGTTCGTGGGGCCCTTTCCCATCTCAGAAGTCATCAACCCTGCTGCCGTTCGCCTTCGCCTTCCTCGGACCATGAGGGTCCACCCCACCTTCCATGTGTCACGGATCAAACCCGTCAGGACAAGTCGTCTGCTCCCACCCTCCGACCCGCCTCCACCACCCAGGGTAATTGATGGAGGCCCAGTTTACACGGTGAATCGCCTGCTGGCTGTCCGTCGTAGGGGCAGGGGCCGCCAGTACCTCGTCGATTGGGAGGGGTACGGGCCCGAGGAGAGGTCCTGGGTCCCTGCAAAGGACATTCTGGACAAAACGTTAATCAGAGACTTTCAGAGACTGAATCCAGATGTTCCGGGGTAGTCTAGAGACGCCCCTTGAGGGGGGAGGTACTGTCATGATCTGTGCTGTGAAATCCACTTCCTGTTTTATTTTGAAGATCCTGTTTTTCCTGTGTTGCTGTTACCTTTACTTCCGGTCTTTGTTCCTTTTCCCGCCTTAGTTAATTACCCCATTGGCTTCACCTGTGTTTTGTCCCCTTCTCTATTTAACCCCTCCTCACTAGCTCTTCCCTGCCAGATTGTCTTTGTCACTTTAGTACAAGCTCTCTCGCGTTTTGATATATCTCTGCTTCCCGTGTATGACCTGTTTTGATCGTCCTGGATTTTTGATTCTTGCCTGTCCCACTGGTTTTTGTCGCATATCTCTGCTTCCCGTGTATGACCTGTTTTGATCGTCCTGGATTTTTGATTCTTGCCTGTCCCACTGGTTTTTGTCGCCTGATTATTTGCTGCTCTGATTTTGACCCTGCCGGGTTTTCTTTTGGTTGGAATAAAAGAGTTTGCCCTTTGGAAACTGAACAATTGCCTCACGTCCACTGCTTTTGGGTCCACACACTCTCGGCGCTTTACAAATTCCTGGTATAGTTCTCTTTCTAGACTTTAAAAAGGCATTTGATAGTGTAGAGTGGATCTTTTTATTTAAAGCACTAAAGAGATTCAACTTTGGGAGTTTGTTTCTAAGATGGATTCAAACTATTCATACAAACTGTAGTGCAGTAGTCAACAATGGAGAATTCTTTGACCTTAGTCGGGGAATTAGGCAAGGTTGCCCTTTGTCCGCAATCTTGTTTCTTTTTGCCATGGAAATTCTAGCACTGTATATTAATCAAAATGCAAACATCAAAGGTATCAATTTGTCAGATGGAAGTGCTACCCATGAGGTTAAAACTTCACAAGTAGCAGATGATACTACTCTACTGCTTGGTGGCGAAAGGTCACTAACTACAGCACTAGAAATGATATCATCTTTTGGCAAAGTTGCAGGCCCTGAATTGAACTTACAGAAAACCGAAGCAATTTGGGTTGGTTGCTGGAAATTTAGGCGAAAAGAAATCAGTGGAATAAGGTGGCCAACTGGTCCTGTAAAATCACTTGGTGTACATTTTGGTTACAACTGTGGTGAGACGCCTCCTTCTCTTGTTTTATTTTGGCTGGACTTCCTGTGTTTCCTTGTTTGCCTGGTCTGGCTTCACTCTCTTCCAGAGCTTCCGCCCCTCCCCCGGTCCCTGAGGCTGAGTGAGACTACACACCTGCTCCACATCTCCAATCAAAGCACTTTAAGAAGCCTGCAGCCCTCAGCCTCAGCGCCGAATTGGATGATCTGTCCCCGGCTAAAGCTGTCCCCGAAAATGTCCCCGATTTAAGCGTTTGATGAATGAGAACAAAAATTTTGCATGTATGCTAGAACAACAGTTGTTACAGTAGGTAGGAAGCACAAGTAAACAGTCATGAACAACAGTATTTACGGGGTTATTAAAAGGGGCATGCGCTGCTACTAAATAGTACCGAGATGTTGTCTGTGATCACGCAGCCCATGCCCATTCATTTCCAAGATGAATTCATTCATGTATTCATTCCTATCGTGTTTACATGTTTTGTGTGATATGTCGGCCATATGAGCCTTTCATAAAGGTGGTCATCCGGAGAAGTAAGTGGGTCCGTGCGGTCCCTGAAAACTCTCGCGCGCCGGAGTGCTCCTCGGACAATGCGAGCACCGAGGTCTACAGGATCCTCCAAGAACGGACAAGCCGTTTTTCGAGAGAGCTCATTGGTCAGTGGGCAGGGTTTTTATGCTCCGTGAGTTCAATCTGGAACTTAGCCTGCCCCGGAGCAGGTAAGCCGTTCAGCGTATGTTGCCATGGAGACTCGCCTCGCTAAGAAGTGAACCCGCGTCGTAGAACAGGAAACCCCGAACTTATCCTCGAAGTTACCTCGCTAAGCAGTAATCCTGCTTCGTAGAACAGGCCCCTGGCCTTCCTCGTTGTATGAGTATCAATAACTTTGCTCCTTGTGATTCTTTGCATGTTCACTTACTTCCTTCTCCTCTGGTTTTTCCTGCAGTGTCTCCAGCCTACACGACAGCCAGCCAACCAGCCCTCCGGACTTCCTCTGTTTGCATTTCAATCCTGAGTTTGGACATTAAAATTACACCTTTAGTTGATCTCTGTCTCAGTGCCTGCTTCTGGGTCCTCGCAGCTCACCAGCCACACCACAACAACAAACTTTCATGTGAGACGAACCTATGGAATGAGAAAATCAATAATATAGAACATGTTTTAAATCTATGGAGACAAAGGAATCTCACATTATATGGCAAAGTAACTATTCTGAAATCATTGATTGCAGCTAAAATTATGTACTGGGCTACTGTGTGTGATGTGCCAAATAATGTGACTGTCAGGCTGAATACTTTGTTTTTTGACTTTCTTTGGTCTGGAAAGAGAGATAAAATCAAAAGATCTGTTATTTTAGGAGATTATAATACAAGGGGTATAAAAATGTTAGATATTCAATCTCATATAGAAGCACTTCATGCTGGCTGGGTGAAGCGCATCATGGATACATCATCAGGAGATTGGAAACTGCTACCCAAATTGTATTTAAATAGACTAGGTAAAGATTTCCTTATCTTAAGAATGCACTTTAAAGAAAAAAAACACTGTCCAGATCTGACAGGAATTCCCACTTTTTTATCAAGGCATTATTCAAAGCTGGCACAAAGCAGGAGGTGGTTTTGTGAAGGAACCATGTACAGCAGATGAAGTCGGAAACCATATCATCTGGGGATCTGCCTTTTAAACAGATTCTAGAGGGAAGTCCCTTTTCTACAAACATTGGATTGACTCAGGCATAATTTATCTTGAAAGATCTATCTGTAAAGGAAAAACCAAAGCTTCAAAACTGGATAAGAGAAATTAGCGAATTATTCATCATCAGAAAGGAAATTCCCAAAAATGGCTCCCATTTCTGAGCAACAGTATAACATTAAGAGATGACAACACTGATGCACACATTGCTCCGACAGGCTATACTTGCGAGATAATCTATAAGCTGTTGTTAAAAGAAAAAATAAAGACATCATATATGCAGACATATTGGTATGCTGCACTAGCCGACCAAACAAACAACATCATGTGGAGCAATGTGTGACAGAGACAAACAATAAAATTATCTCCAGATAGGAAATTGGCCGAATACAATTTCAAAATATTACATGGAATTCTTCCAAATATGTCAAACCTGTATAAATGGAAGCTGGTCCCCACTCCTCTATGTGCTTTTTGTTTGGTAAAAGAAGATACAGAACATATGTTTGTTTCATGTCGTTGTCTGGGTGGCTTTTGGAACCAGGTTTCCGCACTTATGTCTCAGTTTAATATCACCTTTAGAGTAGAACTGTGCACATCAGCAAGTAACAGATATTTTACAAATCTGACTCTAACAATAGCAAAACCGTCCATCTTTAAAATCTGGATGAGATATAAAGATGATCAACAAAGGTTTTCTACAGCAGACAGGGTATCTGTCTTTCTTTCGGAGCTGAGGTCCTTGGACCTTTTGGTGGATGAGTCTAGAGGTAACGAAGCCTGGGCAAACTTATTGTGGTTGTTGGACAGAACATAAAGAAAAGGCTACCCATATTCTCTTTTTTTCTCTCTTTCCTCTGTATGTATACACTCCATCTATTTGTATATACATGATGTGTGAGGGTTTTTTTTGCATCCTTTTTATACGCTGTTTTGTTATGTGACTCTCCTAAATAAATTTTTTTTTTTTTAAATTCAGCTATATGTCTGCTCCCAAATATTTTGATGTACAATTTTTTTCCATATTGTATATAAAGAGGAGATACAAAAAAAGGAGAGATGTCAGTCCATGTACTTGGTGACCAATGGAATTTTGTTATTAAATGTAAAAACAAAAATCATGACCAGTAGGCAATCAGAAAATTAAATATAAACCGCTTTCCATTTTAATCATAAAAATCTGAGAATGGAAAAACAACTCAGTATTTGACTTTCTGAGATGTGGCTTCAAACAGAAATCGTAGCTCAAAATATGTGCATGGAAATCTTCTGGTCCAAGTTTCATTCACATTTGTTGCAACCTGGAAGTTGTGACTTGGAGCAACTGAGTGAGAGTTTCTGGTTAGCACAGACCCACATAAATCTTTTATATAGTTTATAAATTATAAAAGTTAATACAGTTATTACTGATGTTTACTTCAGATCGCTACTCTGTGTGTGCGCGCGCGTGTAACGCTGTGTAGGATCCTCAGGGAGTAAGCCTCTCTCCCTGTAGAGACTGATCGTCACTGGTCGGTCAAAGGAAGACACTTGTCCTGCTTTCTTGGTCATTTGAGCAGCTGGGGCAAAACAGTAGGCTACTTTCATTGACACTTGCCACGCTGTGCGTGCAGCCTCTTGCTGAGGTAGGCTGTAAATTGGTCTATGGCCCAACCACTAGGGACTCTGCTACCCAGTAACCCAGGACCCTATATGTACTGTTAATGAAGTTAGGTGCTGTTCCATTACCAAAGTTGGTATAACTAGAGGAGCAAGCAGTTGGCAACATTCATCTCCTGATATATAGATATATATATATAAAATATATATGTGTGTGTGTGTGTGTGTGTGTGTGTGTGTGTGTGTGTGTGTGTGTGTGAATGCCAGCGCGCTGTTGCAGCCCACTTAGCGAAGTGCCTACGTGGCAGCCATCTTGGTGCGGGCAATGTTCCCGTTAAAGGCATTAGACGTACATGGAAAATAAATACTTTGCCCATTTCTCAACTGATTTTTACACAAGTACTTTATTGATGATGTCAAACGTGTGCTATTAATACAGAACATTTGATTAAAAATGAACAATGTTTGATTAGCACAGGTCATATCTGTGGCGGAGCCGGCATTTTCCACGGTATCTATGCTAATCACGTTTATTAAAGCCATCAGGGGTGGGAACATTACCTGTCACCTTAAACGGGACAGTGTTATAATTCTGCTTCCATCCTCTATCGGGGGGGGGGGGGGGGATATAAAGAACTGGCATCATAAAACGTAGTGTTATCTTTTTGCTACCTCATGGTATGGGACAGCTACTTTGGCTCGTTTAATGCTTGTAACTAGTCCTGCCATGTCAGGAGAAAACACAGGAAAAGACGGAGTATAATGTCTGAACAGTTTACTTTATTCAGAGCTGCTACTAGGGGCAGACTAGCTATCTGGATGTTCTGGAGAATACCAGAATGGCCGGTGCTGCAGGACGGCTGCTGCGCAGCTGTCACCATTTTTATTTTTATTTTGCTTATAATCTACTGTTGTTCCATATCCAGACTGATAGGTGGCAACAATGCATCTGCAGGCCCATAGATGTGCAAGCTCACTCATCACTCAGTCAAGTGCGAATGCAGATGGAAGAGACTAGAGACCATGGTCACTGCTGGTGTTGCTAATCCTAAACAAAGGGGGAAAAAAAGGGTGGGACTGAGAAGGTGAGAGAAAAAAATTAGGCAGTTCGAGAGCAAAGCATCCAAATGTCGGAAGCTAACAGAAATGTTTGCCAGCAGCAGCAATTTTGGAAATGGTGGTTGTTTCCAAAATCTTGCGATTCCCCCTGTTCATAATCTGCCACGTAATTTGCCTTACAAACAGATCAAATAGGATTTGGGGGACAGCGACAATTGCTGCTGTTCTGGATTGGAGCCATTCCAGATGCGGTGGAAATTGGGAGTTAGTCTACTCCCAGGGTCCACAATAGGCGGACCGTGGTCCACATCTGGACCGAGGACCACCTCTTTGTGGACCCAGAGCAAAAAAAAAATCAACAACACAGCACGGCACTCTCTCTGACTGACCAACGCGAGATTAGACTGGCCGAGAGATAGAGAGAGAGAGAGAGAGAGAGAGAGCGTGTGTGTGTGTGTGTGTGTGTGTGTGTGTGTGTGTGACTGTGCGCGTGCTCATGCTTGCATTATGGGCTGCCATTCCCATGACAACGATGCCCTTATTGGCTGATAACTACCCAAACCGGCAGTCATACATCTTCCTCCTTCAGTCTGTCTTCTTTGCACAGCGCAGGCAACAGTAACTCTTTGCAGCAGGAGCATTGCTCACACCCAGCACCCGACATCAAAATGGCAAATCAGAGAAAGGTGGACACTGAAAATCGCTGATTCACTGACGAATGGACTGACAAATGTATGATTATCTTACCTCCTTCAAGCACAAAGGCAATGTGTCTTTTGTGCGAAGCACTGTTGCGCTGATAAAAAGTGAAAACAGAAAATGCCATTATGAGAAGCGATTTTGATAGAGATTGCCCCCCAAAATCTGAGCTACAAACAGATAAAATAAAAAGCTTATTTTATTTTATTGAGTAATTCTAAGTAAGAAAAAATATGTGTGATGCTGAAAATGAATTTTTTTGTGTCTTCCAATAACTCTACAGTACATCCAGCCTAAAACTACATAAAAACATAAAAAAGGTAAAAAAATAAAAAAATAAAAAAAACGAATCCTGAGCCAAACAGCTTCATCAGCGTTGTATCAACTCCTCTTGTAGAGCCTTGGGTGAAACGGATATTTACAGACACGTAGAAACTACGCACTACAGCTTTAAACTGATCATCATGCAGGATGGGGGCAGTGAGGTCTCTCTTTGTGGTTGCTGATGTTTCTCAATTTTAATTCACAAAATAATATGTATCTCTGCTTTTTATTGAAACCCAATAAATAAGAGCTGATTTTATGCATGAGGTCAGTGTGATATTTTTAATGTCATATATTTGCAATAACTGCATTTTGTTTTAAAGAATCTTGTAAGGTCAATTTTGTTTTTCACCGATAATATTGTAACATTTTCACAGTTTAATTTGCTTTATGTTGGCGTGTCTTTTATTTAAATAGGCTACAACAGAAATGTAAGAAAGTGAGGTGAGAGGACAACAGTGGGTACTTCGAGATGGCGATCAGTTGGATCTTGGCCTCATCTTCAGTGGCACTGTAGTTCTCTAACTCTATTTCTGCCCACTTCACTCCAAAGGAACAACAGCTGCTTTGATCACACTGAGGACTCATTCAGACATGAGGCGGAGATTTGGAGAGATCTGTCCTCCCGTTGCTTCCTGCAGCTGAAGCTGTTGCACATGCTTTAATGGCTGATTCTCTGTCAGCTGCTTTTCTTTTTTTTCAGCCTCTTTTTCTGCGCGTCAACAAAGGGGAGCATGCCGCTGCTGCTGCTGGAGCGACGCTGAGCGTGGAGAATCAGCACGTTTCACCCAATGGGATTCTTATATTTAGCTCTGTGAGCGAGAGGAAAGAGGAGAGCCTGATCCCGGTGTTGTCTGACATTTTGATCCCTTTGAGACTGTCTCGAGTCCCCCAAACTTGTCGTCAGTAGTGCGGTGCGCGCTCTCAGGTTATGTGGTGGTGAGGAGAGTGCGGCGTGCTGTGAAAGGAATAGCGCAAATCTATCTACACCATACACCGGGGATGATGATGATGATGATGATGGCCGGTGGTGGCGGAGCAGCCGTGGAGCATAATGGAATTTACTCAAACCCGAACCTTCAGAGCTTGCAACAGTCCCTTATGGAGGCGGATAACCCGGATTCCCGCAAACGACCGCTGGAAACCCCGACCGAGGAGGCCGGCTGTACCAAGCGCACCAACACTGGAGGTAAGAGAGAACCTACACGCAGCTGCACCGTGTCTTCTCTACAGAAAGTCAAAGTTGTTGTTAGAGAAGCAATTGCAAACACTGATTGGAGCTTCAGAACGCAGAGCTGCCTTCAGTATATCATATCAAATGTAAGTCCATGCAGCATGGAGGGAGATTTGGACCGCACACTGGGCTGGAACGCACAGCACCTTTGCAGTTACTGACTGTGTTTATAGCTGTTACCCTGCTTCATATCCCAACAGGGAGACTGACTGAGTAACTGAGTAAGTGGTGTTCTCAGCTCGGGTCAGCTTCAAATTTGACCCAAATCATCCCTATGATCTGCATCTGGAGAAATACTATAAAGTCAATGTGATTTCATTCTAGAAAGGAGCAGTATTCACAAATCATAGCAGTATCAGAATTTGATGTCATGCAGTGATTCCCTAATGCTTCCAGAGACTGAAGATAAATCAGCATTTTCTCCTGAGGAACACGGTGACAGTCTTTGCAGACAGACAACAGGAGTAGGAACCATGAGAGGGGGATAAACGAAGGACTGCAAATTCATGGACACGTTCATAATCAGGGCTAGTTTGATTGACAAAGACACCACAATTATGCAAGTTTATTTGCTCAATTTAAATGACTTTTTCTTACTGTTTATTTTAACCATGCAGCTACTGCTAGGGCTGGACTGAAACAAAAGACTCACTTTTGGCCCACACTTTATCAAAAGTTTTACTTTCATGAAAGAGTTGATGATTACGCCATTGAAAACAGAATGTTTACTTATAATAGAATATTTAAAGGTAAATATCAGAACTCATATTTTACTTTTTTGTTGCTGTGTAATTAATCATACTGGCCGTTAGCTCTACAATGGGACTCCTTTGGTTGATTATATTATTTATTATTACTATTTATTTCTTTTTCTTCGAGATGGCTCAGTGTGTAGCCTGACAATTGATAGCTTGTTAATGCATGCAAACATGACAACTTCATTGTCAGGCTCATTTTGTCAATCTGCTTTACTAACACACACCTAATCTGCCAGCATCCAGCTTGCTCTGCTGTATATTTCTGCACTCCTAATTATAGATTATTTGATACAGA